ACGAGAAAGAATAGGATACTTACAGCAATTACACATGGCGATACAAGAGAGGATACTTACAGAGATTTCAGCGGTCTTCGTTGAGGGTAATTTGTTCTCCAAACAACAGACTTGTATAAATACAGATAGGATTTATGCTGTAGTGGATGCTAATTGGTCACTACGATCGGAACCACGTATATCAGAACGGTGTTAATACACAAACACACATTCAATGTTTGTAATTATGTTAAATCTCCTTAAAATAGGCAAGAAAGATCAAGATTGAATCGCCTCTACTTTATAAAGGTAGAGTGACCCTGATAATCCGTTTTAAGCGGTTACTTCACGGATTAATATAGATTACCATTCAAAAGTTAAACACTGATGATTATAGTGGTGACCTGTTAGAGTCCTAACAGAATATTAGTAATCTAACAAAGGTTAAACACTGATGATTATAGTGGTGACCTGTTATAGTGTAACAGAATATTAGTAATCTAACAAAGGTTAAACCCTGATGATTATAGTGGTGACCTGTTATAGTCTAACAGAATGTTAGTAATCTAACAAAGGTTAAACACTGATGATTGTAGTGGTGACCTGTTATAGTCTAACAGAATATTAGAAATTTAACAAAGGTTAAACACTGATGATTATAGTGGTGACCTGTTAGAGTCCTAACAGAATATTAGTAATCTAACAAAGGTTAAACCCTGATGATTATAGTGGTGACCTGTTATAGTCTAACAGAATATTAGTAATTTAACAAAGGTTACTGATGATTATAGTGGTGACCTGTTATAGTCTAACAGAATGTTAGTAATCTAACAAAGGTTAAACACTGATGATTATAGTGGGGACCTGTTATAGTCTAACAGAATATTAGTAATCTAACAAAGGTTAAACCCTGATGATTATAGTGGTGACCTGTTATAGTCTAACAGAATATTAGAAATTTAACAAAGGTTAAACACTGATGATTATAGTGGTGACCTGTTATAGTCTAACAGAATATTAGTAATCTAACAAAGGTTAAACCCTGATGATTATAGTGGTGACCTGTTATAGTCTAACAGAATGTTAGTAATCTAACAAAGGTTAAACACTGATGATTGTAGTGGTGACCTGTTATAGTCTAACAGAATATTAGTAATTTAACAAAGGTTAAACACTGATGATTATAGTGGTGACCTGTTAGAGTCCAAACAGAATATTAGTAATTTAACAAAGGTTTAACACTGAAAGGTAAGGGTGGTGATCTGGTACACAGACACCTGTAATACCCCACCGGTATGTTCGGGTCAGTTTCGAAAATGTATGTCAAAGTTCAAATGTTGTTCCAAGCTTTATTTTGTCATTCTTTTGACCAGTAGTGAGTTGTAAATGGACGGACAATGCCATACGGTGTAGTAAAATGTTTACTATCTTTGGCTAGCTATCTGCATCTACACACTAATTTTAATGGGTCTTCCTGTAATTTGCATTTCTAGTAAATATTTGACGAACAATGTGCTTGACTCTGTAGGCGGACTATCAGTCCCCGGGACTGTTCGTAACTTATTTTGACAGGTTTGACATGAAGTACTAATTCGAGTACAAAACATCTATTGTAGTCAAAAGTTGTAAATTTATAATATTATAAAGGTTTAATAGGCACCTTTCCCGTTTCTATATTTAATTCAGTAGAAGGTTTGGTTAGCACGAGGTTCATGAGCTTGACCTATAACTGCATTAGAACGACAGGATAAGGGTGGTATTAATTGTCGGGAGCTATTCCGTGAAGCGATTTATACACTATTATCACACTTTATTCTATATACAAGGATTATGTTTAGTCCATCCAACATTTCTCTCGATAGTGTTAGCAAAGATAATTCTGGTTTAGTACTCAAGTAAATCTATGTATTTGCTCTTTGTTGCAGTTTCCCCATGCTATTGGCGCATAGTCGAGATTATCATGATCAAACTTTTTCACAAGAACTTTTCTTGTAGGCCCTAGATATTTTCGAAATAAACATTTATTAAAGCGAGTCCAGCTAAGGATGTGAAATAGATGGACCCAATCTTTTAGAGTCCGAACTGACTTTACAAGACGTTATCTTAGTTGAAGTTCAATAACACCGAATTCTTGTAGTGAAGTTTTTGTTTACTTACATGCGGATAATTGATTTCTTCCTCGATAAATTTAATATTGTTTGTATTGCAACATCTTTTATGTGGTTTCGGTCAATTTACAATTTTGAAGCAAAACATCATTTGCATTATTAATTACATTTCAACATTTGCACATAAATAAATGGAGACACGGTGTGGACTCTAAGTTTTGATATATTGTGGTTTTGATTTAGGATCTGTTGCTTTCACGGTTCAGGTTTGACAAAAGTAAGCTCTCCATTGATATTAGTACTGGACAGAATATGTACATACTTATATATATATCTTATTCGTTTGAAACACAGCCTAGCAAAGCATGGGCTGCTACCACATCATGTTGAGTTGTCGACAAGCTCCGGCCATACTCGCTTCCAGGCGTTTGCTTTTTGCCCTCCACTGTTGGAGGACGTTCCCGTTTCATTGCTACAGTGTATGTTGTTACACCGCTAGTTTCATGTTTGTCGCAGAAGGGCCTATGGTACTTCATGTGTGATTAAAAACATTCAACAAGAGGCCCGAAGGGCCTGTATCGCTCACCTGAATATTTAAGCAGTCATAGCAAAATATTCTCATTAAATGTTATATTGCACTACAAATATTTCACTCCCAAACTTTGTCGGCGTTATCTGTTGTAACTACCAGCCAAATAGTATTATAAGATTCTATGCTTTTTTGGTTCTTCTTCAGAAGATGTTCGACATATTTTCCCCTGTGACCTTGTAAGTAGGTCAATGTCATTTTCTTTCTCAAACTTTGTTAGCTCTATCCCAAGAAGCTACGAACCAAATCTTATGAAGTTATTCAGAACAAATCCTTTGAAATGGTGTTGACCTCTGTGACCTTTAAAGTAGGTTGGTCATTTTCATTTGCAAACTTGGGTGAAGCCACCAGCCAAATATTATAGTTTTATGCCCTTCGATTATTCTGCTGAAGTCGTTTGATGTTTTTGACATATTTGGCACCTGTGATCTTGAAAGTAGGTCAATGACATATTAATTCTCAACCTTTGTCAGGCTCTATCCCAGGAAGCAACCAGCCAAATATGAAGACTCTATACTTTTCAGTTTTTCAGGAGAAGTCGTTTGAAGAATTCAACATATTTGACCGCTGTGGCCTTGAAAGTAGGTCAAGGTCATTTTAATTCTCAAACTTTGTCTGGCTCTATCCCAGAAAGCAACCAGTAAGTTATGAAGATTCTATACCTTTTAGTTCTTCAGAAGTCATATGAAGAGTTTGACATATTTGACCGCTGTGACCTTGAAAGTAGGTCAAGGACATTTTAATTCTCAAACGTTGTCCGGCTCATTCCCAGGAAGCAACCAGCCAAATATGAAGTCTCTATACCTTTTAGTTCTTCAAGAGTTTGACAGTAGGTCAAGGTCATTTTCGTTCTCAAATTTTGTCCGGTTACTATCAATGAAGCTTTCAGACAAATTTCATGACTTTTTGCCTGTCCGTTCTTCAGAAGAAGTTATTTAAAGGAAAAGTTGACGGATGACGGACACTGGACACTACACCATGACGTAAGCTAACTTGCCCTTTGGTGAGCTAAAAACCACCGACATTCTTTCAGAACCTGGCGACTGCCCCACATAGGCCTCAAACTAGCCTGAATTTCCTCTGGCCCCGACATCTATCTGTCAAAATGTCTAAGTCTGGTCACCTGACATCTATCTGTCAAAATGTCTTAAGTCTGGTCACCAGACATCTATCTGTCAAAATGTCTAAGTCTGGTCACCTGACATCTATCTGTCAAAATGTCTAAGTCTGGTCACCTGACATCTATCTGTCAAAATGTCTAAGTCTGGTCACCTGACATCTATCTGTCAAAATGTCTAAGTCTGGTCACCTGACATCTATCTGTCAAAATGTCTAAGTCTGGTCACCTGACATCTATCTGTCAAAATGTCTAAGTCTGGTCACCTGACATCTATCTGTCAAAATGTCTAAGTCTGGTCACCTGACATCTATCTGTCAAAATGTCTAAGTCTGGTCACCTGACATCTATCTGTCAAAATGTCTAAGTCTGTTGTCAGGGCCAGCCTCGAACCCGCAACCCACAGAGTTTCTAGAGATGTAGGTTGATAAAGACCAAGCTTTGTGATTGACATGGTAGCTATAATGACAACGTTGGGAAATATACTATTTTCTGTGGGATATGAAGGTTGAAGATTTAGATTATGCTTGTTAGCGTGCCTTGTTTTATTGCGACAACCCCGGTTCTCTCATTGAGAACATTACTTTGACCTTGATTTGCATAGGTGTGTCATCAATTAAACAGACACTTACCCTTCAGAATACCTGGTCTTATTCTCCTTGTACTCCATATCATTCCTTTATTCATAACTTGTCCAAGGTTTAACAATTTTGAGTTTGAATCATGGTTTTGTTGACACTTTGGTATCTCTATGTTTTTTTACACAAGGACCAGAATCGCCATCACATCCACCACATTTTGTCTTGCACCAAGATCCAATACCTTCTTCATAAATGAAATAAGAAATGTTATCATCTACATGACTAAAATTATAAGATAGTCTCAATGTTGAATAAAAATTGAAGAGTTTCACTCATCAAGTGTCCTTTATTTTAAAAACAAAAAATGTGTACAATGTGTGGTAGGGTACGACTGGACAAATTATAAATATTCAATTTAACCACAGGCCTACCAACAATTACATTAAAACATAAATGAAAATAAAGCTTAAATCTCTGTGCCCATGATTTGTAGTTACTACTTCCCAATCAAGCATTAAATATCACCAATTCATAAAAGAAAAATAGTGTGAATTCTCAAGCATGAAGAAATCTCTGAATGATTTGTAGTTACTACTTTCCAATCAAGCATTAAATATCACCAATTCATAAAAGAAAAATAGTGTGAATTCTCAAGCATGAAGAAATCTCTGAATGATTTGTAGTTACTACTTCCCAATCAAGCATTAAATATCAACAATTAATAAAAGCAAAATTGTGTAAATTATCAAGCATTATGGAAACTATTTCTGCAGTAAGCTCTATTAACAGACTTGTATTAAAAAAACCTAAGTCCATATTGTGACACTCTATGGCGATGTTCAATCACTGTCAGAGCTAGAGCTTCTATGTCTACGACGTCGACTGCGACTTCGACTACGCGAGCTACTAGAGTGTCTCTTACGACGGCTACGACTTCTGCTGCGACTTCGACTTTTGGACGATCCTGAACTTTTGCTGCGTCTGTAACAAAATCTGTAATATGTAGTGACTGTCTCGAGGTATTGTCTTCAATTGCACTTTTCTATCTTATTCAAAATTATCATTCAGTTACTTGAGATAAAGGGGTGTAATTAACTTCCATCATTTCTGAATTGGCATACAAAATATCTGTTTCAAAAAGCGACAAAAACAAAACTTTTGGTTTTGACTCGCAACACACCATTTTTTGCTTTAAACAGGTTCACAAGTTTTTTTAAAACATCCCTAATAATAGCAACAGGTATAAATATTACACTTAATGATTATTTTTAATATGGTTTGCAACCATTTTTTGTGGTTGTTTTCACCAACTATAATATGCGTAATGTTGATATAGCAATGCATTGTTGATGTGTCATTATACAAATGTTATGACTGGGGAATCCTCTCCAATTAACCCTACTGTGTGAGATACTATCTCACACCTAAAGGTACCTGGTCATACACCTCTTGTGGTTAAGAGAAAATGACAGGTTAAGGTTTTACCATGCTACTTAATTAAGAATTCATATTCCAATAATATTTCATGTCACACAGTGAAAATATGATTTCACGAAGGATGTATTTACTAGAAAATGAAAATTCTTGTGTGTGAAAATGTTTGCGCTGCGACTCATTAAACTGATTGTGGTTTGTGACTTATTAAACTGATTGTGGTTTGTTATTCATTACCGGTAAACTGATTGTGGTTTGTGACTCATTAAACTGATTGTGGTTTGTGACTCATTAAACTGATTGTGGTATTAAACTGATCGTGGTTTGTGACTTATTAAACTGATTGTGGTTTGGACATTTTTGTGTTGGCAATGGTCCTGAACTTTATACATATATCCTTTTTATCTGTAATGAATGTGTTTGCATGTGGATATTTTTCATGCTAATTTTCTTAATGCAAAAAAATGCAAGCAATTCCATACTGCAATAATTTCTACTTTTAGAGTGGTTACTACAATAGACATTGCTCTGGGCAAGAGGTCTTACTTACCTCCTGCGTCTTTCTCTCGAAGGCCTGCGTCGTATAGGAGAACGTCTCCTGCAACACCAATGAAAGGATTTCATTACAAGTATGATCAGATATGTAAAATATTTATATCAGTAATCATGATCTGGTGATCTTAATAATTGTTATCAGTGTATACATGAAGACGCTATCAGTTTTGCCCAATACTGGTGGGCAGTTGAGCAAGTGATAAATCAGAACTAACACTTAAAAACCAGCAAAACTGTATTTCACAACAAGCTCATCTGCCATTACACTGATCAAGTCAACATACTATTAAAGATAGGCTTTAAGTTTACTTTTTGAGACTTGTATTCGATTATGTAAAATTTCACAAATGGTAAACAAATGCAGCAATTTCTTTATCAATCTTTTTTGTATGAAATTTAAATTTGAAACATTATTGCATTTGAATAAGAAATTCAAAATTTCCTTCTTGTTGCAGTTATTTCGAATGATGTTAAAGAAAAGATTTTGGTGAAAATTCACCATACCACTATACTCAAAACTTACCTTGACCTAGATCGGCTGCGACGTCGTGGAGAGATACTACGTCTCCTTGGTGATCTTCTCCTGGAGGACCTTGACCTTGAACGTCTTCTTCGTACAGATGCCCTCCTGCGATTGGACAAACTTCGTCGCCTTGGTGACACAGATCTCCGCTTTGGAGACCTTGAACGGGAACGACGTTTTGGTGACCTAGACCTTCTTCTGGGAGATGGGGAACGCCTTCTAGATCTCGACCTCCTAGGTGATCTTGATTTCCTACGAGGACTGGTTCGAGACTGCCTTCTGGGTGGCACTGGTGAATACCGAGCCGGAGAAATCCTTCGTCGCTGTGGAGAGCGTGAATAACTTCTTCCTCTAGAACGATAAGGAGATTTTGACCTACTTTTGCCACGTCTTGGTGACTTCGAATGACTTTTCCTCCTCACTCTAATTGGTGATTTTGAACTCCGCCTTCTTGAGCGAAGAGGTGACTTGGAATGGGATTTTTCTCGAGACTTTGATCTACTTTTCCTGCGGGATCTGTGAGGAGATTTACTACGGTCTTGGTTTCTGCTGCCAGATCTATTGGATGGTCTTCTAGTAGGAGAGGATTTCTTTGGTGAAGCATCTGATGAAGGGCTTCTTGATTTAGCCTTAGCCTTATCTCCTGAAGGAATAAAGGCAGATTTCGAACCACTGATCCCAGCAGTGAAATCTTTCAATCTTTCTTCCAGACTTTTCTTTGGTGGTTCATCGGGTGAAATTTTCTTCTCGGAACTGCTGGAAGATTTGTCTTTGGGTTTCTCTGTACTCTCCACTGGGAAAGGTATGTTGGCGGGACTTAGCATGTTCAGATCCAGTGAACGTCCACCCTGGAGAGGAATACTCTCTATGTTTGTGACCACTTGAATCGGATTGCTCCTTCCTTTGTCTGACTTTGCAGGAGATTTGGATACAGACTTTGTAATAAGAGATTGTGAAGCAAATTCTTCAACCTGTTTAATTGGCTCCAGTGGCTTAGTCTCTTCATTGTCCAATGGTTTCTTTTTATCTCCATACAGATAATTGCTAGTTGGAGACTGAGACCTTGACCTGGAACTGTCTGATGAATATGAGGGTGACCTTGATGATCGGCTTATCCGAGGAGGTGAAGGTTGTTTGGGGGGTAGGGGGACACTCACTATGGTCCTCTCTGGTACAACTACTGGAGCATGGACATCCCACCTATTTTTCTTTCTGTGAAAAAGATGGACATTTAAATCATTCTTAATTCTTGTTTGTTCACATTTGAAGTACAGGGGAAGGCTTTTGGAAGACTTTCATATGTATGGTTAATTAGAAGAACCTGCAGGCCAAAGAAACATTGTCTAATAACGCATGGTTATAACCAAAGAACAAGAGGCCCAGAGGGCCTGTATCGCTCACCTGGATAATAAAGCAAGTTATTCTTATTACATAAAATCCCTCCAATGGTTCAGAAGAAGAAGGATTTTAAAGATTTAAACCTCAAATCCCCCTATTGGGCCCTGTAACCAGAGGGGCCACACCCTCCGTTTATACAAAATTTAGTCCCCTTTGCCCAAGGATGCTCCAAGCCAAATTTTGATGAAATCCCCCAAATGGTACAGAGGAAGAAGGATTTTGAAGGCTTAAACCTCAAATTCCTCTATTGGGCACCACAACTTTGAACCCAGAGTGGTCACTGACACCTTCCGTGTATACAAAATTTAGTCCCCTTTGCCAACGAATGCTCCACATCAAATAAGGATAAAATCCCCCCAAAAGTGCAGAAGGAGAAGGATTTTAAAGATTTAAACCTCAATTTCCCCTTTTACTCACTCGACCAATCAGACGTATATTTCCCCTTTTTGGCCCCACCCCTCTGCCCCTAGGGGGCCACACCCACAGTTTGTACAAGATCCCTCCACCATACCGTAGAAGAAGGATTTTAAAGGTCTTACCTCTACTTCCCCTATTGGGCCCTCTGCCCCCAAGAGGGCCACACCCACCGCTTATACAAAATTGAATGCCCTTGGCCTAAGGGTGCTCCTGATCAAATTTAGTCCAAATCTACTGGGCCGTTCATGACAAATAGTATTTTAAAGGAAAAGTTGATGGACGGACGACAGATGCCGCACCATGGCATAAGCTCACCGGTCCTTCGGACCAGGTCGGCTAGAAATGCCAATACTTGTCAAATAATCTTACCTCAAAGAAAAAATGAGTTCTTTTCACTACTGTTGACTTTTATCTGCCAACTTTCAACCACTCGTGTAACAATGAATTTGTCTGATAAATCTGTAAACGTTTGGTGATTTTTAATTTAAAAATTAAGTCCTTTGATGAAAATTTCCCCAAAAATTTAGAATAGCTATCATTTTCAATGAGCCAGTCGGCACACTGCAAGCAAAATACTTGTCTAAGGATAGCCTATAAGGACCCTTTAATTCTGCACCATTATAGACTACTTAAAGTGAGAGAGAACGGGTCTGGTATTACAGCTTACCTGGCCATCTCTGACGCAGCCTCAGCCACTTGTCCCAATGGAGGCAGTGGGGGGGTCCTCATTCTAACAGATGTCCGACTAACATCCTCAGGCTGCTGAAAACAACAATTAGAACATGTTTGTAAAACATACATATACTGCTGCTCCAGTTTTGATAGAAATAGAGGTAAATGCAAAGTATCAACATTACAATGACAGTGAAGCAGAAAATATCGATCACAGTGACCTACTTAGAAATACTTTTGCATAGTACTCCCTTAACCCTTTCAACCCTAGGAAACTTTAGTAGACTCTACCATTCATTTATCTCGATGAGTCCATTATGGTCTAAATTTACACCCCTGCTGTTGGTCTTATGGTATAAGAGTAATTGAGCTAAACATTTAAGTCTTACCATGATGTTGGAGGGACAGATCAAATGTCTGACAGCCATCTTTAAACCAAAACATCAAGAAAATACTGAAATTTTCATAAACATTTTCAATTGTTATAGTAATGAGCGTCATTTTTTTTACCTTGGTAACAATACGTGGAGCCTCCTCACGCTCTGGCTCCTCAGGGTCCGGTGGTGGCTGCCATTTTATGCGTTCCTGTAATCATATATTGACATTCTCTCAATTTATATTTAAAGTGAAGAAGTATCAACCTGAAGGGTGCTATGAAGTTTTATTCTATTCCAATGTATTTAAAAAAATCAAAAAAAAATCACTTCCATTCTTGATTCATCAGGGTTATTCTAGATTTTATGGGGCTGGAAGGACACCGATCCACCACTACTTTTGTGTCCCCACATATGTTAACAATTATGAAATAGAATCTCAATCCTGCCTGCCTCCCACTCTCCAAATAGCTTTCTTTCTGAAACAATCCTTATTTCACACTGTTTTAATGTACTCTCATTTACCACATAATGTACTGTGCTACCAAGTGAATATACCCATGTGATATTTTTTAGCGTATTAGCCCATGTAATTAATATGACCATTCAGCCCTGCGATTGGTTTGAAGTTTCAATTGTGACGTCATGACTAGGACAAGTACATGACGTCACAGACTTACGCACTGGAGTCAAAATTGCAGCTTTTTACATTTCAAGGTTGAATGAAAATTGTAGTTTTACACGAATAAATGCCACAAATCTTGTTTATGTGATAAAAAGGATCTTACACTTGTTTTCATTTCATATGAAATTGATGAAACCGGTCACAAATTTTTCATTTTAGCTCGCCAGAGGCACACTAAATTGAAAAATTCTAAGACTCATTTTATAAATCTCATGAAATGGAAACTCATGTAAGATCCTTTATATTCACATTTTGTGAATATTGATATACAATACAGGACAACCTTGTTAGCTTGATATGATCAATCTTCTGTTATATTTAAACTCACCTCTACTTTTCTTACAGTACGTCGCTGTTCTTCCTCAGATTTTACCGACGTATCAGATTCCTCAGAAGAATCGGATGTTTTATATGAACTTTCTGATCTTGAGTCTGAGGAATGTCTTGATTTGGACTTTGATTCCTTTCGAACAGGACTTGCCCTAATTGGATCTACTTGTTCCGCCAAATCATACTGGATCTTACTAGCTGGAACAGGATCCCGTCTATAGGAGTCATCATCCATTTTACTGAGATGTACAGACCGTTGTTCTGTCATATTCCCAATGCGCACTGTCCTCAGGTTATCTGGCTCTGACCTCCCTCGCATGTCAGTCTCAAGATGAATGGACCGAGTTTCCCGTGAAGGGTCCGATCCGCTTGATTTCCGACCTCTAGACATATCTATACCTGGGCTGGGAGAGCGGTCACTGTCATCACTATCGTCAGACTGTCTGTGGTGACCATGAAGTTTGACAGGAGAGTTACTTGAAATGCGACTTGGATTCACTTGACTGTCTCCTGGGCTAACACCAGATTTCTGTGGACTCTTATCTTTCAACTCGGGTGCACCAAGAACATCACTACAATAGAATATATTTTTGAAATAGTTTTAACGTAAGTAAGTAATTTGGTGACACTTATGATGCCTAGATTAAAACACTGCCTGGGTTGCTGATGTTGACTTTTTGAACCAGTCAGCAGTTGAAGTTGGCCTTTGACCTCAACACAATATTTATTTATTTTTGCATACTTTAATTTTTTCAATTGCTGGGGAAAATTCTTGGTGATTAACCAATATTAAGAAATATTAAAATCTTTGACACATACTTGGTTGTGAGTGGTCTGTCCTGTGGCTTGACCTTCCAAGGTTTCTGTCCCGGTTTCCAGTGAGTGGGAGGTGGACTTTCAGACTTTTGTCTCACTGGTCTGCACACAAGTATTCAGAAAATATTTCTTAAGATTCATGAGTTTAATAATATTTAAATCAATAACAGAGCCACTTTTTAATCAATTCTCTCAGCAAGGAGTTGATTGTCTCGACTTTTCAGGCTCCTCTCCTACTCCCCCGTCAAATCTGGTCTTATTTTATCATCCATAACCTTGACCTTATAATTTTAAAACTCTTTTAGCACATTTACATATCAGTGTATTACTATGTCAAATTCCCAAAAGATAAGTCTTTCTGGATTCCGGAGATAAGGACCGTATCACACTTGGTCATTTTATGAAACAATAACCTTGATCTTAGAAACTTTTTAAACCCCTTTTGCACATCTACACATCACAGTGTATTGCCATGTCAAATTTCTAAAAGATTGGTCTTTTGGATTCTGAGATTTTGATTGTATGGGTGTCCTACCAGGCAATGTTACCCTGTGATATCCTGTTTCAGATTGAATGAACCACACTAACTGGGCTTTATTGTTACATTTGGATCGCTTTAAGACGTTTTCAATGGAATTCTCTCACACAACTGCAAAAAGTTGTGGTCAAAATTAATTAATGATCACCTTTATGAAGCAACTAATTTTGAATTATATGTTTCAAGTTTTATTTTTAGTAAAATGCACAAAGAACAAGCAAAATATTTGAGCTTTCACCTCAACCTTGTCAGACATGGACATCCAAGGGTACCACAAGACTACCAACTGATGGTACGCTCTGAACAATCGGGAAAATCTAACGTTAATTTCTGACCTTCGCCTACAAGTGAGTCCTGAAAATATCCAATGTCTCATTTCCTAGGGATGGTTCCTAGATGTACAAAAGTTTCATTGAAATGTTTACATCCATTAACAAGGCAGTCCACAGACAACTGTGTTCCTCACCAACAACTGTGTATCTCAGAATTATATTGGAGCCTTCCATTACCTGGTACAGTAATGTTGTTGTTTTTCTTTCTTTTTTTTACTTTCACTGGTCTTCTTTATAGGAGACTCCGTTATTATTCTAAAGGGAAAACTCCTTACATGGGATAGTTGGTTGTCATCTCAGCCTAACTGTACATAACCAGCTGTTCATTCATTTGATAAGACAATGAACATAATTTCTTGAAATAAATCTAATGTAAAAATTAAAAAAAAGTTTGTGACATCAATTACAAATACACATCCCTTATAAAATCAAACTCTACTACCTACCTGATACCTGGAAGAACTCTGGGACGTCTTTCCTCATCTCGCCTGCCCCTTCTGCCAATATCACGTTGGAAGCGATCCCTGGACCTTGACCTACTCCTACTAGAACTATCTCTGGAGGACCCTGACCTTCGCCTACTTTGCCTCTTTGATCTGGTTCGGCTATCATCCTCTGAATCTGAATCTGAATCTGAAGGTCGTCTCCTTCGACCTCGTGAATCAGAAGATGGTCTTCTGTCAGGCGATCTGGATTTTGAATGATGGCGATCTCTCGATATTGATCTCCTGCGAGCTGGTTGCTTTGACCTGATCTCTGGTGATTTTGACCTTCTCCTATCATGTCTCCCCCTTTCAACACTATTTCTACTGTCAGCAGTTGATCTTTAAATACAAACACATTTATCAATATTTAATACATTTGGTTTTTGCATTATATGAACTTTCAAGATGGATATTTGAAGCATAAATTTTCATATAGTTTCCTTGTTGAAATGGTATTACTAGGGAATATCTATTTCATTTATGCTCTTACATCAGATTTATGTGATCTTTAGATTAACAGACATAACACAAACCTTCTGACATCTCTGCGCTCACTCAACCTTCGTGCTTCACTGTGACCATTCCTCTCCGGTTCATTCTTGCTTTCCCTGCCTGACCTTGGTGAGGGTGACCGGGAAACATCCTCTTTATCAGAAACACTTGGATGCCTTGCCTTCCTCGTGTCTTCCTCATTGTCACTCTCCTTGTTGTCTTTGTGCTTTTTGGTTGTCTTTTTGTGCTTTTTATGTTTCTTGTGGCTGAAGTTTAAATGTGAATGAAACTTACAAAGATATAACATCATCTTAAAACAATATCTTAGACGATTGACAGGTCTTGTCTGAAAATAGCATGCCGAATACAAACTACAAACTAGATAAGCACAAACTTTACATATGACACTATCGGAGACAAAAGTAAGCCATTATTTATATACGAGAAACTTGGATAAGGAAAAGACTCCATTTTAGTGTACCGTAAAAACCCATGTAATTTGCGCACTTTTTTTTCAGAAATTTAATACCCGAAGTGGGGGGTTCGTAAAATACACAGGTATAGAAAAATTAAGTTTTTTTCAGGAAAAGATCGACGATTCTGAGAGATCGCCATCTTGGATTATGTCCCTTGGTACACGGAACTCTAAGACAAATGACGATCAACAAATTTATTTATGTCAAACATTAATAAAAGATACATAATGTGTTGTTATGTGAGTTTATGTGAAAAGTATTAATAAATAGGTAACCGTTAACAAAAAAAGTTTAGCCAAATTCCTATGCCAGAGAATCGCTGATCAACTTACGACATTACGTTTCGACATCTCGGTGCGTTTCCCCATACTATTACGAAAATGTAGTTGTTCAATTTAAGCTCCATTCTATGTAAGTTCTGTAAGTTTTTTCAAATCGCCTATGCGTATACGTATAGCATGGTTTTTTTCCGGCTCACTTTCATGTTGATCTCGCGTCTAACATTACGTAAACACGTGATTGATAATAACCTCGTGAATTATTTCAATATTTATTAAATGAAGCATCGTAAAAATAGTCTGCGTTAACTATTTTTTTCCTTGGAGTAGATTTGAAGAGGATGTATTGATTGTCCACGCTTCTAGTATAAACATATTTTTTATAATCCCTTATCAGTCAAATCAGTCTGTAGTTATGACAATGCAGTAGGGCTTCGTAATTCACGCCACGTGTTGGCGAGTGAAAAAAACAACAACACGGTCCGTCGATCGCGACTGCAAATCATTTCAATTAGTAGAGCTATTGTTAACGGGTAATCACAGAGATAGTGTTAGCTAATTACTGCATTGTAATTTGTAAAAAATATCGCCAAACCACGGACTTAGATAATCTAATTCCGTGGCCAAACTGAACTGTGACATGACCTGGTTTGAAGTGACGTAACCCAAGCCGCCATGATGAGCCCTTCTCACTGATCGTAATTATGATCAATAAAAGGTATCTAATTATGTCTTTCACCAGGAGATATGCACATAAACATCGAATTACTTATTAATTGATATGTTTTTGTAAGCAGGTAAATGTTTTATGTAAAATATTGCTAAAATGAATTGATGTATGCCGATATGCGCACACGTGTGTGTCATGTGTGATCAGATAATTCAAAGAAAACAAGCAACAAAATACACATTTTACGTAGTTTCTTCTTATTTTTAAATATCATTTTACATCAATGAAAAAAAAATCATAGAAATATATTTTTAAAAAATGAGATCGATTTTCGGAGCATGAACATCGGTTTTTTTTCCAGATTTTTTGGGTGCGCAAAATATTCGAGTAGAACCTTTTTTCCAGATTTTCAGCCTCAAAAAGTACCTGCGCAAATTACACAGGTGCGCAAATAACATGGGTTTTTACGGTTTTTACGGTAACTCATATAACCACCACCATCATGTCAAATTACCTTTTATCTTTCTTGTGCTTTCTTCTTCCATCGTCTTCCTCCTCCTCCTCCTCTTTTTTCTCAGCCCTGGTAATATAGATATTGATTCTTTAGTATCAATTTGACACTGCTGCAGGCTTTCACACTGAAGTAACTTATTTTAAGCTTAAAGATTGTCCAATTGTATTTGACATCAAATTTGTTATAAGTAACAACAGACCCATACAAGCCTGTAACGCTCACCTGTTAGAAACCAGTGATGGCAAACACATTAACCCTGGTGACCTTCAAAGTTGGTCAAAATGATTTCAACTTAATTGTACGCATGCTTATACCTTTTGCTTGAGGATTATGACATTTTAATCATATGACCCAAAAATTGTTCCAAGCTTTTCATTCTAGTTAGCTACACTCAAAATATTAGTTCTCTACATCTTGCGAACTACATCTGTGATGGTGAAAAAGTTGTTTGAATCTTAGATTCCTGTGACCTTTGAAGTTGGACAAGGTCAGATATGATAGCCCCTCATAACAACAAGTTCAATGACACATATAATTATTCTATGCAAGATTTTTTTATTTTAGAAGATTTTGTTATTTTGAAAGCAGATTCAGGTCAGTTATTTAAATAAACTTTGATAGTTCCCTTGAGTATCAATTTGTTTAACAACACATACATTTTCTCTATTTTGAAAGATGTAAAAATTCAGTAAATAATGATTAAACTATGAAAGCCAATAAAATCTTCAAAAGTGGAAGCATTTTTTGGTAAGTGGCTGAAGGAGACAGTGTAAATCCTCACTTCTCATCTCCTTGTCTGAACCTCTCCCTGAGGGGCTGCCTGTCTCGGTTACGACCCCGTGTCCTGTCATCATCTCTATCTCCTCCGCCTCTGTTGGCCTCTCGTCCCAAGCGGGGGTTGCCTCCACCATCACCTTGACCAAATTCTCTAGGTTCAAAGTTACGATCACGCTCAGACAGTCGCCGATTACCTCGCTCACCCCGCACCTGGGGCAATTTGTCACCCCTGACCCAGCGGTTTCCTTGGTCTTCATCTTGTTTTTCCACAAACTCCATTGGTTGGGGCTTCTGCATGGCTTGTCGCCAGTGAGGTGGAGTTTCACTTCGGCTACGACTCCTGTAGCGCTGTAATAAATTACACAATAATTAATACCACTCCTGTAGCGCTGTAATAAATTACACAATAATTAATACCAAGGCAATGCTGATTCATTTGTATCCTAAGGACAAAATCTCTATAGATACACACTTTCCAATGTATTTACCAAAATTAACTTCCATGACCGTTGATCACGATCTAGTGAATATTACCACTGATTTATGACCCTTATCTGTCTATTTAGGACACAAGCTTTTACTGTCAAATTACTTTTATATATGTGTAAATTCCTAATGGTGAGATAAATACCCTGCAACCCTTGATGCTGCTCTTATAAATATTTCCTTACCACTGTACCCCGACCCTTGATCCTACGTCCACTTCGTGTCACCTTGACTTGAGAACTGTACGGAATCCTGTCAATTGGTCGCCGCTGACCATAGCCAGGGGGAGATTTGGCTTTGCTGAAAATGGATAGAAATTTCACTTTTACCATTACTTTAAGTCACCAAATACAGCAACTTTTCTGGCCTGACAATTACACCTGAAAGCAAATCATCCCAACCAGTGAATTGTAGTGGGGAGGGAATAACATCCTTTATTTGGAAAAAAGATAATTTTGTTATCTAGATTTGTTTTGCTTTCTACACATATTCCAAAAGACTACATGCAATTGGAAATGTTGTTTGTCCAGTGTGTCCTTGCAACAACTGAGCAGTGTATAACCAACACTGTATACACATGATGAGCCACTCTTGACGTTTGTGCAATCATTTGTTCTGAAGTAAAGCATTCAAACAAGAAATGTTAACGTGCAGACAGATAGAAGGGCAAACAGACATTTCCCCATGTTAAAATTTCAAGATGGCCACTTGCCAGCCATTTTGTATTTTCAGTCTCAAAACAGAACATTTAAAAATTAGGACCAAGAAAATATATTGTATCAACTGGTATTTATGTTAAATTTTTCAGTCCAAACAAAACCTATTAAATATCTAATTGATTCAGTAAAGCTTCTTACTCATCCTGATCTTTTTCGGGGTTATTCCTCATCAGGAACTTCTGAGATGGCACTTCCGGGATTTCATCAGGTCTGATTGCAGCAAATACAGTGGTTATCTCTGGCTCCTTAGGGCTCTCCTCTTCATCTCTGTCAAGGTGAACGAGAAAAAGTTATATGTCTGCTGAGGTCAAACATCATCACCAGATAAAGTTTAAAAATTCTGAACACACTTTTATTCAAACCTTTACAAAATTTTACATACTTTTCATCTTTATCTCTCTTCTTCTTCTTTTCTTTCTTTTTCCTTTTGGAATCTTTTTTCTTCTGTTTCTTTCTGCGTTTGCGTTTCTTTGAATCCCCTTCGCTGGCCGAGTCTGATTCTGACCCTGATTCTGATCCCGAACCATGTGACAATCCTGATTCAGACTCCGACACTTTCTTCTTCTTCTTGCCTGATTTACAAATTAAACAGTTGCTTTTTATGACTACTGTATTTGTTGCATTAATGTTCACACGTAAAAAAACTCAAAAGTCAGCTTTCAGACTTTATAAACATTCTTATCATTTCTGCTCTCGTTGAAGAGAGATGGAATCTGAACAGATCAGATACTCTACTGCACTTTTAATTTGTTGTTACCGATTGTAAAATCAATTTCGATAATCTGACCATGACAATTGTTTTGCTCACCAAGGGCTGCTTTGAGAAGACTATATTTATTACATGTTATTAATTTGTTTCATTAGGAAAAGACATGAACACCTTTACTATCTAGTCTATATCTAAGTGTTGTTTTAATTGACACAACAAGGTTACTTACTCTTGGACTTCATTTGCAGGACCAATTCCCCACAATTACCAATGCGCACCTCCTTGAGAGGGCGGCTTTTTGTGTCCGTCTCTTGGTTCTCTATGAGACGGACTACATCCTGACCTTGAAGCACTTGGCCAAAAACCACATGAACTCTGAAAGGTCGAAGGTACAGATGATACTGATACTGAGGTCATCAATGCAAAATAGATACAAAATGACAAAACAAGAAAATATCTGTTAGACATGAATGCTCCCTGTCTTTGAAGTGGGTCAACTGATGACATTGAATTAAAACAAAAAATCAAGTTATGGTTGACCTATAGATAATAAGTGATCCTATCCACTTATTTTTTTTTAATTTATTAACTCCGAAACCCTTGTACAAGCTTATCTTTAAAACAAAATACACCTTTTATTTAGCCATCTCTGAACACTTAGTTCCTACCCACCCACTTAAAACACTTTATTACATTTTTGAGATGTTTACTTCTACTAACTTGATAAAACTGTTATCTTTCACATTCTGACAGATATCAAAACTGTGAAGATATAAATTTAAAAGTAAACCAATCCCATTAATACTTTGATTTACTACATTCAGAGCCACAGAATGAGATTTTCTGTTCAGATGAAGTGGTCGTAGAATAAATGGTTGTTTTGGTACATCTTTGATACATACATTATGATATTTTCTTAAAACAAGTAACAAACACAAAATGGTATACAGCCTTGCTGTGGAGCAGGATAGGATTAGAATAAGGCAGTAATGGTTACACTATTTACACACCCTTTTTTATTCAGTAAATTTTCATCATTGGTGAAACTTTACAATGTAATAATTCTGTCGAGAACCATAAATATTTCACTAATACATGTATGACAAATATACTAATATTTTCTTTCTACTTACCCATCTAAGTGTGGAGCTGGTCTAGTTGTTCTATTGTGGGGAATATAAGGAAGTGACATGAAAGAGAAAGAAACACTGTTAGAAAACGTGACTTATACCAATACTGTCCTACAACAAATCAGTGATTAACCACAGTCAATGCCACTGTAGTACATCTCTCAAGCTCATCAATTACACTAACAGAATTTTGTGTTTTGTGTTCAATCTGCAATTTAAGTTATTACCACATTTCTTTTTATAGCATAAATTCTTTGCATCATTTTGCCAGCTTCTGAGAGGTATGCCTATGTCTTATTGCCATGTTCATCAATTCAAGACAAGTCATATTTTCCATTTTTATTTGTTATTAAAAATCAAATAGCCACATTAAATGCGAGGATTTATCCTTAAAAAAATCTGTTTAAAAAAAACATTTTAAAGTAGATATTTGTTGTTGAAATTGTTTTTCCTTTGATGCTAAATTTTCAACTGCAAAAAATATTTAAAAAAATTGTTGGCTGTAAAACTGAAAAATACGAAATACTGTGTATGCTGCAAAAGAGTGAAAAAATTATGAATAATAATTTTATCATCAACTAACATTACGTCTGAATTTTCATTAAAATGGGGAAACACAAATGGCATATTTGATACTATAGCTAACTGATAGATTCGTTAGATAAAATATTACAGCATCTATCGTGAGCAAGAAAAAGATCATAAAAAAAGCAGCAGAGTTCAGAGGGATGAAATATTCAAGTCTGCACAGACGCCTGCCTAGGAAATTTGTGGGCGAGTCTTTACGGACTTGTCATGGTGAGGCATGTGTGTTACCTGGATACTTGCAGACGTCGCAGAGGTTTCTGTTCATAATGTAAAATGCGACAAAACATATCAGTGTATGGTAAAAAAACAAATTTTCTATCAACTAGTATGAACACTGATACATTATTCATATCTTTCTCCTGTTTCTGAGCAGAGCTGTTCCAATCCTTGTCAACAGAAATACATTACAGAACTATTTTGAGTTCATTTTTACAAAACAATTTCGTATATTTATTTTTCCTAATGTATGGCTATTTTTCTTGAATGACAAAAAAAATATGAATGTATTTTTTACTTATAATTTCCACAATGTAAATTGATGCTAACGAGGTTTAGGACAGTGAACTCACAAAAATTATAAATACCTAAATTTGTTTTTTGAGGATTAACAATCAATGCCATATCCAACAAGTAACATGCTATTTCCATACAAAATTGATTCTAAAACCAAAAATAGCATTGATTCATTTATATTGATATTTTATGTGTTTCAGCTCAATATATATGTTTAGGAAGAATTAAAAGGTTGTGAAAATCTGCAACCATCTTGTTGACAGCATTTCCTGCAAAAAAGGCTCTGAAAACAAAGACAAAATCCTATGTATCCAAGTCGTTACTTCTTTAAGATCGTTAGCAAATGGAGAACTTTCAGATAAATACCCTACCATAAAGTTCATAATTACTTGTCTCAAATATCTTTTCAAAATGGACTTTATTTCTTAACAATGAAAACAACCTGTTTCCCATGTAGATGTGATATCTATTATCATTCATCGATCAAACTTACCGTTGTGTTCTTTTTACCATAATATCCCTGGACGGTCAATTATTGTGTTTTTTTTATAACACATCAGAAAATGTTTTGTACTAACGATTTCAAGCTATGAAATAACAAGAGGCCCAGGGGCCTTAATAGCTCACCTGGTATTTTATTTTTCAATTAAAAACCTGCTGAGTACCATTCAGGTTTATCAAAGGAGTACAAGTAACAAAGTTGCATCTTCCATTTAAAAATATTCAATTCCCTTTGCCCAAAGATTCTCTCAAACAAGTTTGGTTAGGTTAAAATCCCTTCAACGGTACAGAAGGAGAAGGATCTTTAATGTTTTCCTCTATTTCCCCTAATGGGCCCCACTAATCTGCCCCAAAGAAGGGGAATCCACACACCTCAGTTTAAACAAAATTGATTCTTTTCTCCCTAAGCATGCTTCAGACTGCATTTGGTTTAAATCCCTTCACTTGTATAGTAGGAGAAAAAAAATCCTCTATTTCCCCTATTGGGCCCCGCTCCTATGCCGCCAGAAGGCCCACACCCTCCGTTTATACAAACTTGAGTCTCCTTTGTCCAAAGATGCTCTAGGACAAATTTGGTCAAAATCCTTCAATTGGTTGAGGAGAAGATTTTTAAAGATTTACCTATTTTCCCCTATTTGGCCCCGTCCCTCTGCCCCCAGGGGGACCATACCCTCCGTTTATACAAAACTGAGAACCCTTTGGCCAATGATGCTCCTGACCAAGCTTCAGACTGCATTTGGTTTAAATCCCTTCACTTGTATAGTAGGAGAGAAAAAATCCTCTACTTCCCCTATTTGGCCCCGCCCCTCTGCCCCCAAAGAGGCCACACCCTCCGTTTATACAAACTTGAGTCTCCTTTGTCCAAAGATGCTCTAGGACAAATTTGGTCAAAATCCTTCTATTGGTTGAGAAGAAGATTTTTAAAGATTTACCTATTTTCCCCCTATTTGGCCCTGCCCCTCTGCCCCCAGGGGGGTTATACCCTCCGTTTATACAAAACTGAGAACCCTTTGGCCAATGATGCTCCTGACCAAATTTGGTCAAAATCCTCTGAGCCATTCAGGACAAGTAGCATTTGAAAGGAAAAAGTTGACGGACGCCGAACGCCGGACGCCGGACGCCGGACGCCGGACGCCGGACGCTGCACCATAGGATAAGCTCACTTGGCCCTTCGGGCCAGGTGAGCTAAAAATCTTCAGAGGATAATTATGATCTGTTGATCTGTTTACTGGATAACGTCATAATTAAAAGTTTGTGGTCAAATTACTGTAGTAGGTCAATAACATGCTGAACATTTCAAGTGACTAGAATTATAAAGATATCTCAGTAAGATCTGGATGCAGAAGCATTACCTCAGTGACCAAAGCAGAGGTTTTCAGGTGTAAAGTTGGTAGGGAATACATCTTAACACCACTATAGACAGTAAAATATCTGAATCCTTTATTACGTCGTACCAAAGGGTGTACTATTGTGCAGACCTCACTGAACTGAATACTTACATGAAGAATTGTGAACTATTTGTGTCCTTTCCACGATTTGCCATGCAAAGGAGAAATTCTTTATCATTTTTTAAAATAAAATTTTCATCTGGAAGAGAAAAAAAGAAAAAAACATGTATTAGACAAGGTTAAAAGTTAAAAACACCAATAGTGAATTGTGAAAAAATGTTTCTAGTAAATAAAAGTAACCATATATGGCAAGAATTTGGAAGATATCCCCCATACAAATACATGTTGTCATTTGACACTTTAAACATCATCACCATTTTCAAGGCTCATTTTCCTTTTTGCAATTTCATCATGCTAAATTTAAAATAACCCCTTTATTATGCAGTTACTCTAAAGGACATATATAACCCCTTTATTATGCAATTACTCTATGGGACATATGTTAGCAGTATACAGAGGTTTTAGTTAGGGCTATAATGGTTATCAAAGTACATAGTTTCAGTATGATTATGAGCAATATTCTGTTAAATAATATCAGGTACCAGACGCTAATAACTGTCCAAAAACATAGGTCAATATTTACTGATAATCCTGACTGCTGTTTGATGGACTACAAAAGCACATACTATGTGATGCATACAACAAATTTACACAGTTAACAACTATGTATGGGAAACCAATTTAGGAGGATTTGAGTAATATTTACCATTAATTTCATTTAATTTGCACTATCATTAAGTGAAGTTTTGTTTTAGGAGATATAATTGTTAACGTGATCAGATTGTCGTGAAAACAAGGGATATTTGATGACTAAACCTGGTGGCAAAAAAAAAAGAACACCAACAGATACCTGGTTCTTGGGTGAATATCAAAAACACTTGCAGTTATCTGACTGGCATTAGTTCTATACAGCCCTAGCTTTAGTGAACATATCACTGGTAAAATCGTAGCAGTATTATACCAAAGTTTTCGTCGACATATTAGTCATAAAGTGCACTTTATATAGAGATGAACAGTTATAGAGCAGTAGACTTAATGCTTTTAGTTCCTTCTTTACTGCTCAGACATTAACAGATGATTATGGCAACATTATCCCTCATACATTCAAATACAAAGCAAAATCAATGGTTATATACTGAATATATACATACGTGCCCAGGGGTAATAATGTTATATACTCATCTAAGGAAAATGTATCCTCACATTAAACATTTTGTTGAACAGAAGGAATATCCTTTCATTTTTGTATTGTACATTGACATGTAAGTACAAAATCTAACTGCGAAATCAAACTATGAACTATGACTAAATCAAACTATGAACTATGGCTAAATCAAACTATGAACTATGAAAGGAGCAATTTAAGTTTATTTAAGCATTACTAGTTCTGTAACTAAAAAGTAAACAGATACCAGCATACCAGCAAATGGAAAATGTTTTGTCTACCAAATGTTAAAATCAACTTGTAACTAACATACCGGTATCTGCAAGTGTTGGTTCATTTCAAATCATTCTATCAAAGTTGGCCCTGAATTAACTTAGAGCATGTTTTTTTTATGAAAAACACGTTTATTCTCAATAATGGCAATATCATATTCTAGAACTGAAGTCAAGAACCCTTCATTCACTCCATTTCAAACAAGCTTTTTTCAAGTCCCCTCATTACTGAAATTGTTCTGTTGGACAGATAAAACTTACCAGGAAACATCCCTCCATAGATAGACTCGCCTCCTGTTCCATCTCCTACAAAACAATCAACACTTACAATTCATTTCATACAACTGCATCAGACATAGACAATATTTCATCAATCTCAGTAATACATTGTCATTTAAACATTAGAAAACATTACTTCAATCAAAGAATGATGGATATATCGGGAATTGGCTCCCACAAGGTGTTATTTCAATTGATGTGGATAGAGGTAGCACATATGTCCTTTGAGATAAAGCACTTTCAAGCTGTCATTCAGCAGAAAATCATATCTACTATTTTTGATAAAAAAAATAACTGCAAAATTCTAATAAGATAGATATTCTTGCGATGGTTCAATGATTAATGGATATTTTGCATAATATAGATTACAGAAATTTCTTCTAATAATGCAACTGTTGACATCTCCATTGCCTACCTTTGGTGAAATCTCCACCCTGGATCATGAAGTCTTTCACCACACGATGGAACGGAGTACCCTTGTAATGGAGGGACTGTTCAGTTTTCTGGGTAACACCCTTTTCTCCTGGTAACAAAAAAAATGTTTTCCTTTTTCTGTTGTTCATAAACATCAGATTTTGCATAATTCAAATCTTGAAAATATTCTACTGAAATGATTTAATGAAGAACAAAAATTACAAGTTCTTGTAATTAAGAATTCAATTGTATATAAATAATCAAAATTTATTAAAACAGGTTTTAAACCGTTTCATATTATCCAGTTCATAAATAACTTATATAAGTTTCCACATACATGTTAATCTCTGAAACTTCCAAACAGGATCTGAGCACATCTCCAGAGAGGGAAGTTTAGTACTAGACTGTTTTTACCCCTTATTTGGGAAAACGATTCAGCAATCCCATTTACATTTTGCACTAATGAACTCTCGATTTTCTTTGAATTAATTAATGGATAAAAGAGTATCTTTGTATCTGTTCTTATACACTTAATTGTGGTTTAAGATAATAAACATTCCTTTGTACTGATAATCTTCATCTGACTGCATACATCTGAATTTGGGAATAAACCTTCATAGTTTTTTCAACTCTTTTGAGAAATATTTTTTTCAGCTCAAGAGTTTTTGCTTTTTTTGACTGAAAAATCAGGTGTGAATATGTATATGTAGGTTCAACAGTATTTTGCTAAGAATTTCACCATAAATGAACTGTACATAAAACTGGCAAGGACTAATGAAAAGACTTTAGAAGACAAGACAAGCAAACAAATCTTCTTGAAATTACCAAAAATAATCAGTTGCAATAACTTTTAATTCAAATAAATTGACACTAGTCTACCTGGAGTTAATTTTGTTTAAGAAATAAGCACATTCTACAACAAAGTTCATCGATAAACTGAAGCTGGGGGTGTAGTGAGCTTCTTGTCAGCAGAGAAACACATTCAAACATTGGTTTACCTGTACATAGTGCTCTGAAATTTTCACAGGTCTTTGGGGTAACATCAGAGAACAGCTCAACTATGATCCGTCCAACTGTATGGGGGAGAATTTTAAATCAAATAACTGAAGTTATTAAAATCAAAGTTTCATTAAAAACAGAAGAAAAAAAATGATATTACTCAATATGTACTTAGCTGTAGTAAAAAATTTCAATCAGATGTCATGATATTATAATATGAGGGCAATGGCAGTATGGCACTGATTTTTACAAATACTTGATTATATAGTATATAATTAGTTTTAATAGAGATAAATGAGAAAAATGTCTATTTAATATATTCTGGTGTATAGATGACTGCCATCCTTGTTCCTCAAGGGTAAAGAATTAAGGTAAACCTGTGACCGAACAATTTGATAAAATTTAAGTATTAATGAACCATTTTCAAATTTATTTGCTTATAACAGAGTACAATATATAGAATATATACACGTTGACATGACAAAAATCCTGATTTCACTTATAATTACCTGACTGGCCACCAATTTCCAGGTCCAGAAAACATCGGGGCTTGTATCCACTGGTCACAGTCATCTTCTTCCTCTTCTACAATTAATAATAAATATATAATAAATATTGGTTAATATATTTTACTGTCACTCAAATGAAGCAACAAGAAGGTTCGTACATTAATAAGCATGAAAGGTTAGTAAGATGTTGTGAATTTCAAACAAATTGCATTTCATTATCACCATTGTAATGTTAAGAGTATTGAGTTTACTAAATCATTTCTAAGTAAATGTCAATGAACATGGTTTTATTTAGTTCATTTAAACAGGATGTTTTTGAATTGAATTGAGACAAGGGAACTTCAGCTTTAGGGAACTATTCTGGTACCAGGTAAATCGAGCCCTAGTGAAACTCAAAGTATGTAGAATATACTAAATTGGATGGCTCAATATTATAGAATCCATTTTCTACGGCACTGGGTTTGTTTTGGAAATTTTCAGAGGTCTGTCTTTTTTTTTTAGAACATCACACTTAAAAGAGGATAACGACACAAAATCAAGACCTCAAAACAATTGCCTTTTTTATTTAATTTTTAGCTCCAAACAGTTGGTTGTACCTTAAGTTCTTTTATCTAGATTTGTCCTACGTAACTAAACCAAAGGTGAAAGCTTCCAATAGTTAAGATTCAGAATATTGAAAAATGGCCATGGGGGTACCATCACTGCAATATTGAAGTGGTCGAATGCAAGCAGAACTTGTAATAATTGGATGACAGACATAAGTTCTCATATATTAAAAAAAATATGTAGCATTAGCATTTCAAACTACCCTATTGTCTATAACAACAATCAACTATTCCTCTACACAGGGGCCTGATCATTTGCTGTTGTATATTTGGACCTAAACTAAGGTGTTTGAGTAATTTTACACATTTAATGGTTTAGATCAACTTTTGGTAAAAATGTCACCCCGATGATGGCATTGGGCAAATTATCAGGCCCCTGTGTTCCTCTACTGTAGATCTATTGTACCTACTGAAGCCCCTTGTGCAAAAACAAATAGATGCCATGTTCATTATCTCAAAACATCATAAGCAACAGGCCCATGCTGAATAATTTAGTGCAGGAAAAGAGTTTCGAAATGTTCTATTAAAGATGCATTACAATGTTCGCAACCATAACGTAAATTAGCTTCGGTCTAAACAAACGAAAGTTGAAACAGGGAGGGTGGTCATGTAGGCCAACTCGCCACTGATAGATGGACACGTTCACATTTATACACTTTCGATGACATTGTCAGCTGGTCCACAGTTATCACATTTTACAATACAATAGATACAATTATCGGTTTGAATATTTCAAATTAACAGCTTGGACCATTGGTCATAATAGAAAATGGACGATAATCACACCTTGCCGCATCTACTATCGAACCGCCGCCATTCCTCCGGATTGAACCATTTACTTATTGGGGGGGGGGGGTCAGGTTATCGTTAGAAAACAAACGACGCATTATTCTGAGATTGTTTTGGATAAAAATGATTATTTTTACACTATAACACAATAGGTATTTTTTATAAAGTATTATTTTACCAATTTTGTTGTTTTACATTGTGTGTGACAGACTCTACATTTCAATTGGAGACAGAATATTTTTTAAGGAAAATAGACTCGTCCAATATTCATAAACTCTCGTATCCAGGACGAAAAAATGTTAAAGGTTTCTTTCTTTGTGAATCAATCAAAAGTGACTATCCATGCACATTTTATACAAAAACCTAGATGTTGAAGCAGTAGAAATAATTCTAGACAACCAAAAAAAAAATACCACTTTGTTGTCATTTGAGACTAACAATAATCGTCAAAATGGCGCCGAAGAAGGGTGATTTCACTGAATTGGAGAAGAAAATTTATGATGCTGTGTCACAAGGTGAGTGACTGTTACACTGAAACAGACATTCTTTTGATAAACCATATGCTATTTACCCCATAGCAAGAGGTGATAATCGTGGTATATCTCCCTTACAATACATTTTTTTTTTAAAAGAGGGAACGTTTCCAGTTTTGACGGACGCCGGGTAAACAGCATTTGACGTTTTTGCCGACTAGGTCGCATAAGATATCCCTTACAATATATATAAAAAATTAAATTAAAAAGAGAGAACGTTTCCAGTTTTGACGGATGCCGGGTAAACAGCAATCCCGCGCATGCTCTTGGACCGAACTGTAGGCAGATCTGAAAAAATGCATGGTGTCCGGCTTTTGTGACAAATACAAAAAACCAATAGGCCCTATATTGTTTTATACAGGAATAATGCAAACTAGCGTCAAGCAGAATTTAATTTGGTTAGGCACGGCCTGACCCCTCGTTATACATGAGCTGCAACATCCCTGAAATCAGCATCACTGCAATCAGTTTAGATCTTTGTCAGAATTATTCTGACATTTTTTATCGACTTTTTTTTTATATCGCTCTTGCGTCGGTTAATCGTTGCCAGACCGATATTAAAAAAAAGGAGACTAAACACCTGAATAATTCGGACTATTCAGATCTTAGCCTGTCGTTTTCTTTCAGGTTCAGCCCTGTGTAAACACGACTTAGCGTGGACCACAGTGAAACAGTGTCACACATTATGTCTTGAGTAATTTTTAATTGATTAACTTCAAACATCATAGGAAGGTTTATTACCAAGACAACTTGGATGTTTTCAATTACTACCATTATCTGACTAATTTACAGAGTGGTGCGCATGCCCCATTATTCAATTGTAGCGTTTTGTAGGCGGGTTGGATATTATCTGACATAATTTACAGAGTTATGCACCCTTGATCATTGGTGTCAGTGTAATCATAATTATTGATTGTTGAAACTGTGAAAAGAATGTTCTAGGCAAGTGGAGCAAATACTTATATATAATAAGAGGTCACTGATCTTCTTGATTGTTTTATCAGATATAAGTATTCAGTGCCAGAGATAAATAAATAACCTCTCAATCTGTGTGTAGAAATTAAAAGGACATGCTCATGCAGGTATACAAGAAAACATTAAGTGAACTGTAAACAGAACCCAATAGAGATTGGGTTCTCATGTCAAAAGATATGCAGAGTTATGGTCCTTTGTTTATCATGTGTCACTGACTTTGTTCAGATCATTTATAGCTTAGAAAACCACACCACCTACAATTGCCAAACTTTGTATGTGAGTAACTGTTGGAATGGTGTCATGTCTGGTACTAAAATTTGGTCTTTTGCCCCGCTCTATATACCTGTAGAATACTGAAAGTTGGTATTTTGCCCCGCTCTATATACCTGTAGAATACTGAAAGTTGGGGGAGGTTTGGGAATATAAATTATTCTTAATTCTTTGCCTTGTTTAAATATATTGAATATAATAATACATTTTTTTTCCAATTCTAGGTAAAGCAGATGAAGTAAAGCTTCTTTTGAAAGAAAACACAGTGAAGAATGTTGACTTCTTGGATGATGTAAGTTTGAATAAAGTGGGCATTGATGACCACCTACCGTCTACCGATATGTACATACAATCGGATGTAGATCTAGAGGTCAGGATATAGTACATATATAGCAAGTTGGATATTTTGTTCCTCCCATACTCACAAGGCAAATTAAGACACAGTTACATCATACTGTTTGATGTTATTGTGATATTGCTAAAAACTAAACCTTGTAATAGAGTTATGAAAGCTATTTTATGTTTGTTTGGGAGGAAATAGTAAAATACTCCTATCTATATGATTTACAGACTGGGATGACCCCACTTCAGCATGCCGCGTTTAGAGGGAAGAGAGAGCTTTGTCAGCTGCTCCTCGCCCACGGAGCAGATGTCAATTCCACCTACCATGAGAATGGCTATACGGCTCTCATGTTTGCTGCCCTCTCAGGTAAATATACTATTTACAGTCAATAATTTTACTTTACATTGTCATTGTAGACTCTGTGTTTAACTCCATTTCCAGTAAAGTGGGAGTGGGCATGGGGGTATTTCAATAGTTTACAAATATTTTCTAGTCTATTGTTAATTGCTTCATTAATCCAGTCTGCTGGATGGTAAACAGCCATTAAGTTTTACTTAATTGGTTTGGCTAGCTTCAACAGATTATTTGAAATCAATACTGTGTAATCTGTAAAGTGTTTCAAACAAAAAACACATTGCATGGATCTACAAGTGAAGTCACTTGATGGGGATCATTATTGAAGCACAGTGATGATATAAAGCAAAAGGTTGTGCCAAATGTAGTAATAGAAGCCAGCAGAATGAACGAAGCAAAATATCAGACCAGTAGTGTTAAATTGACAGGTACCATTCCGTCAAAGTAGTAGAGACATGCAGTTGAAACTATTCCAATGACTTATCTATTAAAACTATGTATAAATTTATACAAAAGCAGAAGTATTGAAAAATAATAAAAAAAGGTTTTCATTTGTTTTTGAAATGTGTTTTTAACTTGCCTTAGTTATCGTCAAGTTATCGCTGGAACTAATAAGATTTATAGGTAAATTTATTTTTTCAAAGTTAAGGAAGGTGGAGTGTGAGAGATGTATAATATTGTTTATAATATTTATATGTACGAATGTTTGTTAATGATTTTAACAGGTAATACAGAGACGACCCGCCTGATGTTAGAGGAAGGAGCTAAAGTAGACCATGTCAATTCAGTGGGCAGAACAGCTTCCCAGATGGCAGGCTTTGTAGGTAAGGCAGACAAACATTTAAGCAGACTAGGTTGTTGACTGGTTGTAAATATTTGACTAGCTAACGTCTGTACTTTCAGGTGTACAGTCTTAGACGTGTTGCCGAGGGAGATAACTATTTTCATTAGATTATCAATGTGTCAGCCCACATGTTGAGACAGAAAAGATTGTTCCACCAGATTAAAATTATTAGAAAATATGTTCAAGGTGTAGATAGGTGAGGTAAATGTTCCATTAGATTATCAGTATTTATGTTCCAATGTTTAAGTTGTAGACAGGTGAGGTTACTGTTCCAATAGATTATCAGAAGTGATGTTCTTATCTTAGAGATAAAACAGGGGAGATAAGTTTTTAATTTGTTCCAAACTTTGGAAGGAGCTGACACAGGGGAGGTAACTGTTCCTTTAGATTTTTAGGTCATCTGAGACAAAGTCTCCTGGGGCCTGTTCATTTATGTGAAACAACCGGTACATCCATTTTTAAATGTAATATTTTCGGGTATAAATCCTGGCGGACCTGCAAAAGTTTATGCAGGCCTTGCAAGGCTTTGTGAAGGCTCGCCTGAAAGTAGCATCAGATTACTGGGTCCAACCTTATTTCATAAACGAACAACAGTGGTCTAAGCGGTTCAACTGTTTGGACCGCAATAAACGAAAAATGGCCTTGTTAAGTGTTGCAATATGCCCCTTGTCATGTATCCATGTATCATCTGTCAGTTAACTAATCATATATTCAATTACTTCTTAAAAAGTAGCTGTAACAATTTCAATGAAAATTTTGCATAAAATATTGACCTCACCTACCAGAAAACAGATGTAGAACCATCATGATAAATGTCTCCCAAAAAGATAGTATATTGTGGTACATACAAATGACAACAGTGAAGTATACGACTTTTGGACAATGCTTTGAACTTGAAGTCATAATGTTAAAGTTCTATTCATATGATCAGCTGAGGAATAATGATATTTTTTAAAAACTTTATTGAGTGTGCTTGTTAGATTTAGCTGAAATACAAAAACTACATTTGTTAAAATATATATTATCAATTTCATGAGAATTGAAAAAAAGAAGGATTCTACATTATGATAAATTAAGTACATGTGTAAACATGGTTCATTTTATAGGCAGGATAACATTTAAATCTTTGTTAGTTTGACTGTTGAAAATGTTTTTATTTTTACAGGTCAGCACCAGTGTGTATCGGTAATTAATTCTTACTTCAGTCGGGAAAACCTCAAACACTACACTGTTCCCCAAGGTAAGTGAAATTAAACGTATGCTATACTTTGGGGTGAATAGGTCTGCACTGTACCTAAGGGTAATTTATCCTGCACCATACCCATGACCACATTGGTTGTATTGTGTACCCTTTATAATTCTCTTGTTTGTAGAAATGTTGCGCCTGTTTTCACTTAAGTTGTATATATTGCAATCTGTTTTTCATTTCTACCATTTTCATGGCAGAGCAGATGGGTAGTATTGGTTGTTCTCCTGCCAGTTTTAGTTCTTTTTGTCATAAACACTAAGTAGTCATAGATTTGAAATAATATAGGTAATGATATTACTATTAATTATTTTCAAATCATGTTGGTAGTTGAAATGCCAGACATTGGAATATTTCAGGACTTGAGAAGGAGCCCAAACTTACTGCAGACCTAGAAGTGGCCTTACTGAAAATGATCAACCTGTCCAACCTTAATCCTGTCAAGGTAATGGATGACGTTTAATTTTAGTATAGAAATGCTAGGGAACATTGTCTGGATAAGTACAAGCTGTGTGACCTTGAGATGATATAGATCAAGTCCTGTCATGTTTTGGGTTGATACTAAGGTAGCAGTATACAGTAGAGGGTTGTGGCCATGGGTGATATTTTTGTTAAATGGCTAACCCCTGTATAATGATATGTAAAAAAAAATATAAAAATAAAACTGTACTAAAATTGGTATAAGCATGATGAAGTGGGCTATGTGAGCTTCACATTTGTAAAAAAGAAAGAAGATTTTTTTGGTTCGAGAATGAAATTTTGGCCATAATCGGAATGGGTGCGTACACATTTAAAGCTAGCTTTACAGGAGGTAAAATTTTGACAACAGCACACGACACAAAATTGCAAAAAATCAAGTTTTACAACTTTACTGTGACCCAGGTAATTCTGCAACCAGGTAGGTAATCTTTAATTTCAGACAGAGCTTAGTAACAAAAAATACTAGTTGCGGGGGTCAAATTTTTGGTTAAAAATAGCAATTTTTGGCTTTTTTTGGTAATTTTTGATGTGGTAGCCATGGTTTTCACACAAGTGACATACATAGAAAAAAGGGGTTTATACACTTCTCAGTACTTTATTTGTAATGTAAATGTAATGCAGTTTAAGAATATATATACATGTATACATGTGTTGTGTAGGGTAAATCCGCTGTGTTTACATTTCCTCGACATGTGCCTTGTTTATCAGAGTCAGGCCATTTCTACTGTATACTGCTACCATATACACAAAGAACTTGATTTTTTCTGAAAAAATGCCTTTTTATGCTTGATTAAGCTTCACTTTCATTCATTAATACTTCAAACTACTCAAAATTGCCCAAAACCCCGTTACATAGATAGGTCAATATATAGGTCGATAGTCTATAACCTGTGGATGTATAAAGGGGGGTAACTTGCCCTTTTCACAGGCACTTGTGAAATTCAGCAATTCATCACATATGTGTCAATTGTGTTATTGGTAAAGTTGATACCAAACATCAAATAGTTCACAGGCCATCTCCTGATGCATTCATACTAGATTTCAGTCTGTTTCACTCAGTTCAGCACCGGGTACCCATGGTTACTAATACATAAAGTTGTATTTATTGAAAATGGGTAAAATATCTGTTTTCATTCTAATTACACTATTTTAGATGTTTTTTTCCACTTGATTCAGCATACAGATTAAATAAGCAAAGTCAGTAATGTCAATAATGTCAATACATTTTATTTCCATAATTACAGCTGAAGAAAATCTTTTTTTTCTAGCACTTTCTACTCCAAAACATATCCTGAAATAGGGGGATATAAATCAACTAAATTGCTTCTTCTTTTGAAAGTCTACTTCTCCTGAAAGCTTGATTAAATTTCTGTTCAATGACTTCTCAAGGACTAAACTTTCCCAGATGGATGGTATCACGAGACATGACTAAACAATGTGGCACAGGAAAAATACTGTATACTTGGACATTTTTGCCCAGTCCAAGGTTCACCTTTTGCCTGTGAAATCCAACTTTGCCCAGTGTTAATTTTGTCTTTCACATTTAATTCCTAAATAGACTGAATTATGTTGTTGACTAACGGTCACAGTAATGATAAATTTGCCCCCTGTTCCAGAGGGCAAAAAAGGCGAAAATTAACAGCAGCGAAAATTTCTCGATATACAGCATTACTAGTACTTAGAAATCTTTGTTTTCCTTGGATTCCACAGATATCATTGATAATACAAGACTACACCTGTGTGCTGGAGAAATCTTCCAATGTTGTAAAAGTGTTGGATCACCTTAGTGAAAAGTACATGAAGGCACGAGAAACTAACGATGCCATGGCAATGAAGACACACTATATGGCTGTCATTATCAAAAATGCTGCCAAGTCTTATCAAGAACACAAAACATTAGACAACTGGATCAAAAGGTAATGCAGGTGTTCATATGATATAACACATATAAATGGGTAGATTTGTAAAGTTTTTTCGCATTGTTTAATCTATATTGTCTCGCAGGTAAATAAAACACTGTAGAAGTACAGTTTCTATGCCGTGGTGTTTTAGCAGTATTGCACTATAAATGATAGAAAGGACCCATACCAATCATAACATATACACAACCTCCAGTACTCTGTTTGACACATAGGGAGGTACTGGTACTAGAAGGGATCACCTGGTAAGATGTTCTTGAAGTAAGACAGCTTCCATACTCGCCTAGTTGTGTTGAATACAAATCATCTTTTGAATGTTAACAATGTGAGGTACCTAGAAGGGATTTCCTGAACCCGTTCCATCCTAAAGGCAATTTATTCACCTTTTGTCATAACGTGTGTGACATATACATTGGTGAAACTCTCTGATGTGCAACAGGACAGGTTTGTGGGGTTTTAAGTCTACACCAGACTTACAACTTTTCATGGCATACAAGAGGACTGCAACCTGTTCTTTAATTCATGTATTACCCCCCAACCCTCCCCTAAAATATATTTTAACCACTTAATTTTATTAAAGATGAAGATTTAATATCACATAGGGTACTGTACCAATGTTGCACATGTAGAATAATATTTACCTCAAAGTTACATAGACAAAGATACTTACGCTAATGATGAATACTTTAAAACAGTTAGAGAAATGCATTATATTTAGGTGAGAACAAATTTGCTGTTAAAAACACCAACAAATCTCAGGTTTATTATTATGTAGATTGGTGAAGGGACGGGACGAGGATGGTTTCTCTGAGATACAAGAGCGATTGATCCGACAGATGCTGAGGGAGTTTCCTTACGGAGATTCTCAACTGCTACAACAGCTCGTCAGAACTCTCGCTGCAGTCAAAATCGTAAGTGCTCGATTACTTGTAGCATCATTTGGAAGGCCCTAACTTTGATAGCAAACCATTGAAAACATCACATTCTATTGCATATTTGTCACACAAACCTGTTAATTTAGGAACACTTTTTTTCTTATTTCTGTTAGAGTTAATATTTTACTGAGGACTGCTTTTCAAAATTGTTTACGGTTATATCAAGGGAGATAATAAAGATAACCAACTAGGAACTAAGATAAATGGGTTAATCAAGCTTGTTGGTGTATTGTTCTCAATTATTTGTGTACATGTTAAATTGAATTCCATTAATATGCATTAACTCAGAATGTTTTTTTTGGACAGGGAGATAGCCCGAGTGGTCTGACGGTGCTAACCCAAGGAATTAATGGTCACCGTATGACCTTTGATGCGGATGATATTTGTGGTACTTGTGGAGAACTATATGCAGAAAAGAAATGTTCTGCTTGTAAAATGGCAAGTTGTTTCAAAATTTAATCATTTGCCTTCTTTAAGCACTTTTTAGATAATCATATTAACAAGTGCAGAAATATTCACATTTTTCCTGTGTTCTCCTTACTGAAATAGTGAGAAGGTTCTACCCTTGTGTGGATTGTGTAAGAGTCTCTGGCCATGGTTGCACAACAAAAAAACAACCGTCAAGTAACAGATTTCTGTCCCTCAAGGAAGGGAAAGATTCTCTTTTCTCTAACAGTAAACCTCCTGTCAAAATAACAGAGTAAAATAAATATTGTCAATCTTGTTGGATATGACATAAAATTATAAAACAGTCTAAAGACATTGATGTATAATTTACTTACGTTTTGATTACCAAGTTCATTTTGCATTTAATCATGATGAAGAAGCCAGTAAGTAGGTCACAAAGCAGTACTTGTTTTCTGGAATAAGAATGGGGAGGGTGGATTGAAACTGCAATTATGGGTTAATTAGTTGCACCTACCTCCTTGTCAACCCTGTTTGTTTTAGCACAAGTGCAGGTAACATATGAATTAAGTTATAAATCAAGGATTGGTGGCCAAGTCACGATTATAAATTGTATACACAGTAGTATCATGACACACATGTTTGTTCTGTCTGCGATGTGACATGAACGTTCCACAATCTATACTGATGGGCTGTTACGTTTTCAGGACCTAAAATTGTTTAGTTGGTGTGTGTATGTTTACTAGTACAGAAACTTTATTAATGATAACATATGACATATGTATGTACAAATTGTCAGTAGACTACAACAGTCACACATCATTAGTGAAACCTGTTTCTCAATTATGAAATACTGTGGATGTGGAAATGTATCTCATTTCCGAGTTTCACAAGGTTATTATTTTATCACCATTAGCCAAAGTTGATGAAAAATTCTGCGAATTCAGTACTCAGATTTTGTTTTCAAACAACTCGAAATGTGGATAAGAAGGGTTTTATTTATCACTAGAAAGATTTTATTATTGTAAAAAAAAATGTGTTCAAACTTCCCATAATTTTTAATTAACCAGATGTTTAGTACTGTCATCTCCTAATTTTGTACCTTTTCTTGTATGAATGGCCAAATGAGCTTGTATATATCTGTGTATTTACCAGTGTTAAGATTTGATAATTATATATTTAACAGGTGAGGTACTGTGATGCCCGCTGTCAGAAGCTACACTGGCCTACACACAAGAAGATGTGCAGCATGCTAGCAGGTAAGTCATTGATAAGACAGGTGAATGATTTAGTTGGTGGTTATCATATTGGAGGGAGACTGATCAAGGTTTGTAAGTACATTGGAATCACCCTGATATGAACAAAATATTTTGCCAAACAAAGGAAACCCATGGCTAAACACTGTTGTTCTGAATACACATAATTGGATTGGATCTGAGACTGTGACACATGGTACTTGTTCGTGTAATCATTGTTGAAATTTGCTAGTATGTGCCACATTTTGTACTCATTAGAATGCTTATTGCAATTTATTTTTTGTAGAAGAATATGTACGCATAGAAAAGTTTAAGAAAGAAGAGGAGGAAAAAGAAAAAGCAAAAAAGGAAGAAGAGGAAATTCAAAGGAAGCTCTCAGAGTCCAAAATTCAAAATGGTGGTATGGAGTCCTTCCAATGAGTGCATCCATTTTTCAAAACATAGAAATTATCTATTTCATTGTTGTTGTTTTGAGAATTTAGCAATATATTGGAATATACGTTTGAGAGATGCTTTTGGAGATGAAGTCTGTCACTAATTTTGATACAGCTTTTAACAGTCCCCCATCTGTGCTACTGAAGGAAACTGTGGTTAGCACTTTGTCAGTCAGTCAGTGCTCACTTTGTTGGGGACATAACTTACATACTGTATCACGGGGACATAACTTACATACCGTATCACGGGGACGTACCTTACATACTGTATCACGGGGGACATAACTTACATACTGTATCACGGGGACGTACATTACATACTGTATCACGGGGACATAACTTACAGACTGTATCAGGGGGACATAACTTACATACTGTACCACGGGGACATAACTTACATACTGTATCACGAGGACATAACTTACATACTGTATCAAGGGGACATAACTAACATACTGTATCAAGGGGACATAACTTACAGACTGTATCACGGGGACGTAACTTACATACTGTATTACGGGGACATAACTTAAATACTGTATCACGGGGACATAACTTACATACTTTATCACGGGGACATAACTTACAGACTGTATCAGGGGGACATAAGTTACATACTGTATCACGGGGACATAAATTACATACTGTATCACGGGGACGTACCTTACAGACTGTATCACGGGGACATAACTTACATACTGGATCACGGGGACATAACTTACATACTGTATCATTGGGACATAACTTACATACTGTATCAAGGGGACATAACTAACATACTGTATCACAGGGACATAACTTACAGACTGTATCACGGGGACATAACTTACATACTGCATCACGGGAACATAACTTACATACTGTATCACGGGGACATACCTTACATACTGTATCACAGGGACATAACTTACATACTGGATTACGGGGACATAACTTACATACTGTATCACGGGACATAACTTACATACTGTATCACTGGGACGTACCTTACATACTGTATCACGGGGATATAACTTACATACTGTATTACGGGGACATAACTTACATACTGAATCACGGGACATAACTTACATACTGTATCACTGGGACGTACCTTACATACTGTATCACGGGGATATAACTTACATACTGTATCACGGGGACGTACATTACATACTGTATCACGGGGACATAACTTACATGCTGTATCACGGGGACATAACTTACATACTGTAGCACGGGGACATAACTTACATACTGTATCACGGGGACGTACCTTACAGACTGTATCACGGGGACATAACTTACATACTGGATCACGGGGACATAACTTACATACTGTATTACGTGGACATAACTTACATACTGTATCACGGGGACGTACCTTGCATATTGTATCACGGGGACATAACTTACATACTGTATTACGTGGACATAACTTACATACTGTATCACGGGGACGCCCCTTCCATACTGTATCACGGGGACATAACTTACATACTTTATCACGGGGACATAACTTACAGACTGTATCAGGGGGACATAACTTACATACTGTATCACAGGGACATAACTTACAGACTGTATCACGGGGACATAACTGACATACTGTATCAAGGGGACATAACTTACATACTGTATCACAGGGACATAACTTACTTACTGTATTACGGGGACATAACTTACATACTGTATCACAGGGACATAACTTACATACTGGATTACGGGGACATAACTTACATACTGTATCACGAGGACATAACTTACATACTGTATTACGGGGACATAACTTAAATACTGTATCACGGGGACGTACCTTACATACTATATCACGGGGACATAACTTACATACTGTATCGCGGGGACGTACCTTACATACTGTATCACGGGGATATAACTTACATACTGTATTACGGGGACATAACTTAAATACTGTATCACGGGGACGTACCTTACATACTATATCACGGGGACATAACTTACATACTGTATCGCGGGGACGTACCTTACATACTGTATCACGGGGATATAACTTACATACTGTATTACGGGGACATAACTTAAATACTGTATCACGGGGACATAACTTACATACTCTATCACGGGGACGTACCTTACATACTGTATCGCGGGGACATAACTTACATACTGTATCACGGGACATAACTTACATACTGTATCACTGGGACATAACTTACATACTGTATCACGGGGACGTGCCTTACATACTGTATCACGGGGACATAACTTGCATACTGTATCACGGGGACGTACCTTACATAGTGTATCACGGGGACATAACTTACATACTGTAGCACGGGGACATAACTTACATACTGTATCACGAGGACATAACTTACATACTGTATTACGGGGACGTACCCTACATACTGTATCACGGGGACATAACTTACATACGGTATCACGGGGACATAACTTACATACTGTATTTCGGGGACATAACTTACATTCTGTATTACGGGGACATAACTTACATACTGTATCATGGGGACATAACTTACATACTGTATCAAGGGGACATAACTAACATACTGTATCACAGGGACATAACTTACAGACTGTATCACGGGGACATAACTTACATACTGTATCAAGGGGACATAACTTACATACTGTATCACGGGGACATAACTTACAGACTGTATCACGGGGACATAACCTACAGACTGCATCACCTATGTTAGCCAGATTTTGTATGTGAGTACCTCTTGGGATGACAAAGCGTCATGTAATCGTAAGGGACCTGACACTGTACTTATGCATAGTTAGGGCCCTTTGTTCATTTTTCGTCATTTTTGTCTGGAACATCTGAAAATTATCAAATTGATTATATATATTTATGGATGCCTTAGCTCATCACATTATACATGAGTACACGAATTACAATTTGATGTGATTTACCTCTTAGGACGGGGGTTGGTCACTTACAAAAATCCGGTCTTTTACCCCACTGTTTATAAAGTTATGTCTGTTTGTTCCTTTGTTACACTTTGGGGGATGGTTTATAAGATAGCCAAGTGTGGGGATCAGGTCTTGTGTCCCATTGTGTACAGATATATTGCTCTTCATTCTTTTTTGACATCGCAGTTTGTCCTGAGATGGGGGACCATGGATTGCTCTTATTATAATTTTTTTACTCTACCTTGTTTATTGATGTTTTCTCACCCAGGAATATGTTCTAATGATGATTTTGTCTAATGAAAGCAAAGGATGAAGTATGATTATGTATAATGAAAACGAAGGAAGAAGTATCAGGGGGGGGGGGGGGGGGCCTGAAGCCCTAAAAAACCCTTTGGAAATGAAGGATGAAATATGATTTTGACCAATGAAAATGAAGGATGGAGTATTAAAAATTAAGTCTCAAGATCATGATGTATTAAAAATTACTCTTATAAATAATTATTGACTGTTATCTCCTCAACAATGCTTGATTTGTTTTCCAGTATTTTATTTACTATTTAAAACAAATCCTACTTGATGTTAATATATGCCATTGTCAAATAAGGTTGTTACATCATGCCGTTGATAGTTACCTGCAACGTAACCATAGGTTTGTTATTTTTAAAATGTTCATTTTACATTGAAGATGACACGGCGGAGGCGGGTGACATAACAACAAATGGAGAAGGCACCACAAGTAGCACTGAATCCCAAGATCCATCTAACACTACTAAGGAAGTTCCTGAGACAAATTCTGTACCTCCAGTTGTGGAGAGTTCCTCCTAGCATAATTTTACTTCATGTACAAGATCTAATTAAAATATTCATTGTAAACAAGAAAAAATATAATCCATAGTACTATATTGGTTTACAATGTTTTAAATGAAACTTTTGACATCAAACAGCTAAATACATTATTTTTACTGCTAATAGAAAGAAAACAAATGCTGGAAAAAATATTTGACTCCTTGTTTTGATATTTCAAATGAGGCATTAACTTAAAATGTTTATATCCCGGTAACACTGATCATACCCACTGGTAAGATATAATTATGCTAATGTTGGAATCCGGAAGAACACTGATGTTCAATATCCCTGTTTACTCGAGTTACAACTAAGTGAATATGATCCTGGCAAAGGTTGATGTATGACATCCCACTGGTGATGTTTGTTGATGTTCCTGCCTAACATTTATGTTATTACCCAACTGGTGTAACAGGCAAGATACCCTTAGTGTTCATGACATGATAAACTTCAATTTTAATTGTTATCATTATGCATTTTAAGCTTAAACATTTCCGTCCTAGTGTGACTTTGTCAAGTTTATTACCTTTGTTTTATTAACTGTAGTTTTCTTACAAAAAGATAAAAGTAGAGTGTCCTTGTTATCTAGCAACCCTGATATTTATCAAACTTAACATCTCTCACTTTTGGTGATAGTTATAAAACAGTCTAAACAACAGCAAAATTATCTGCATTGTCATCAACAGTTGAGCTTTGTTGATCTAGTCACAATTCATATCATTGGCCCACTATCCAGTCAGTGATTTAGAGGAACAGATTGCCCCACTAATCAGTCACAGTTTTAGGGGGACAGATTGGCCCACTATCCAGTCAGTGTTTTAGGGGAACAGATTGCCCCACTAATCAGTCACAGTTTTAGGGGGACAGATTGGCCCACTACCCAATCAGGGTTTTAGGGGAACAGATTGCCCCATTAATCATTCACATTTCTAGGGGGACAGATTGGTCCACTATTCAGAGATTTCTAGGGGGACAGATTGGCCCACTATCCAGTCAGTGTTAAGAACAGATTGGCCCACTATTCAGTCAAGAGTTTTAGGGGGACATATTGGCCCACTATTCAGTCAAGAGTTCTAGGGGGACAGATTGGCCCACTATTCAGTCAAGAGTTTTAGGGGGACAGATTGGCCCACTATTCAGTCAAGAGTTTTAGGGGGACATATTGGCCCACTATTCAGTCAAGAGTTCTAGGGGGACAGATTGGACCACTATTCAGTCAAGAGTTTTAGGGGGACAGATTGGTCCACTACTCAGTCAAGAGTTTTAGGGGGGACAGATTGGTCCACTATTCAGAGAGTTTTAGGGGGACGGATTGGTCCACTATTCAGTCAAGAGTTTTAGGGGGACAGATTGGCCCACTATTCAGTCCGGAGTTTTAGGGGACAGATTGGCCCACTATTAAGCCAGAGTTCTAGGGGGACAGATTGGCCTACTATTCAGTAAGAGTTTTAGGGGGACAGATTGGCCCACTATCCAGTCAGTGTTTTAGGGGAACAGATTGACCCATTAATCAGTCACAGTTCTAGGGGGACAGATTGGTCCACTATTCAGAGATTTCTAGGGGGACAGATTGGCCCACTATCCAGTCAGTGTTAAGAACAGATTGGCTGACTATCCAGTCAGTGTTTTGGACAGATTGGCCCACTATCCAGTCAGTGTTAAGAACAGATTGGCCCACTATTCAGTCAAGAGTTTTAGGGGACAAATTGGCCCACTATTCAGTCAGAGTTTTAGGGGGACAAATTGGCCCACTATTAAGTCAGAGTTTTAGGGGGACAGATTGGCCCACTATTTAGTCAGAGTTTTAGGGGGACAGATTGGCCCACTATTTAGTCAGAGTTTTAGGGGGACAGATTGGCCCACTATTCAGTCAGAAGTTAAGGGAACATGTTTTTCTTTTCAATAACATATTTTGGATGATCAAAAGTCAAATGTAGATCTTGTTATTGCATTGTACAGTATCTTCTGATATTTTCCATTGATACTTCATGTATTGACTATTTGGGACTGAGAGGAAATGCTTTGTTTGCATTGCATTATTTTTGTCTACGGTTTTGTTGTCAATAATGTTTTCTGTGATTTTTGAACGGAAAGGAAATGGGATGTTATGGTCTTAATTGTTATAATAAAGACTTTGAAAAGATGTTAATTTAAAACTTGCAAAATTTCTGCTTGTATTCCATTTTTAAAATTGCCATATTTTAGAGTTGTAATTGTTTACATAGTTTGGAGGTTGGTGTAGCTTGCATTATTGTTATGGAAGAGCAGAAAACTCTATGTGCATGCAAAGTGTTGTTTGTTGTTCATGTATAAAAGTCTTAAATTTTAATGTGAAGGATTCACTGTAGTTATAAAGACTAACCTCCATGTGATCTAGGTTTTTCGACACATGTGTAAGGTAATGTGGGCATCTGTTTCTGCTTGAGCTCACAACAGCTCACAAGGTTTATATCTTTTTCAAAGTACAACTTTTTTGCAAGGGTTGGGATTTTAAAATAATACCAATGCTGTATTGATTTTTAGTGAAAATATTATATCATTGAAACTGCGATGTCACCTGGTTGTGGTCTAAATTTCACTTTTACCACCTCAACAGTTGTTTTCAGAAAATAGGAATTATCAGATGATTATTTGGTAAAATCATACATTAGGATTTACTCAGTCATGTACAAAAAATCTATGATATGATTTAACAAAACAATACAATACAAAAGGAATAAATTATCAAAGATTACTGAAGATCTTTTTTCTTCTCCAAAGAATTATTTTATGAAAACTTCAATTCATAATAGAAACTCCTTTCATATAACCTTTTTCACCGAAAACAAAATTATAGCTGTCTCAGTACAGATTAAACTAAAGAGAAACTCGGATCTGTTTTAATACAAAATCCAGTACAATCTGGACTCTTTCAATCTCCGATCATTCATTTTTCAAAGAGTTGATTTATATGAAAAGCTTATAACATTCCTGAAGTTAAACGAAGTAATTACACATTTATTGGTAAGACTTTAGTAAGTATCCGATAGTGATATAACATGACATTGTAGAATTGAACTTTCATGTATATTGACAGCACAGTGGCATTTCACTTTTAAGTACGATATACAAAATTGCATTACAATATAACTTGACTTCAGTGAACTAGAGTTTCGTCGATCATTTTGAGCATTGGCATGCATCTTTAGTATTTGTTTTAAAGGATCAAGAAAGACACAAAGTTATTGTATGTCTGAAGTACTTGTACTGCTTTCTTAATGATTAGCCTCCAGGTATGTTAATGATATGGTGTAGCACATTATTCTTTAAATGTTATCAGAAATTTTGACATGCAAAAATCAATTACATATGAAATTGTTTTGACAATATGATAGATATTTAACTTCATTTGAACAAAAGATTGTCCCTAAAATCCTCACTCTAATATCTGTGCTGAAATACCTGGGGGCGAGTTAGTTTAAAACCTCACTATTACATCTGTGCTGAAATACCTCGGGGCGAGTTAGGGGAAAACCTCACTATAACATCTGTGCTGAAATACCTGGGGGCGAGTTAGGGGAAAACCTCACTATTACATCTGTGCTGAAATACCTCGGGGCGAGTTAGGGGAAAACCTCACTATAACATCTGTGATGAAATACTTGGGGGCGAGTTAGGTTAAAACCTCACTATAACATGTGTCTAAATACCCTGGAGATAGATGAAATACCCGGGAGCTAGGTAAGGTTCAATACCCCGGAGTTAGGTTAAATACCTGGGAGTTCGGTGAAATATTGGGGAGTTAGGTAAAATACCTGGGAGTTTGGTAAAATACCTGGGAGCTTGGTGAAATACCCGTGAGTTTGGAGTTAGATGAAATTCTGGAAAGTTATGTGAAATACTCAGAAAGTTATGTGAAATACCTGGGAGTTATGTGTAATACTTGGGAGTAATGTGAATCACGGTAGTTAAATTAAATACCTGGTAGTGAGGTGAAATACCCAGTAGTTAAATTAAATACCTGGTATTAAGGTGAAATACCTGGTAGTTAAATTAAATACCTGGTAGTAAGGTGAAATACCCGGTAGTTAAATTAAATACCTGGTAGTAAGGTGAAATACCCGGTAGTTAAATTAAATACCTGGTAGTAAGGTGAAATACCAGGTAGTTAAATGAAATACCTGGTAGTAAGGTGAAATACCCGGTAGTTAAATTAAATACCTGGTAGTGAGGTGAAATACCCGGTAGTTAATTAAATACCTGGTAGTAAGGTGGAATACCTGGTAGGTAAATTAAATACCTGGTAGTAAGGTGAAATACCCGGTAATTGAATTAAATACCCAGGAGTAAGGTGAAATACCCAGGAGTTAGGTGAAATATCTAGGAGTTCGGTGAAATACCCAGGCGTTAGGTGAAATACCCGGGAGTTAGATGAAATACCCAGGAGTTGGGTGAAATACCCAGGAGTTCGTTAAAAACAGGTCAGTATTTGAGTCCTAATTCAATGTTATGGATTCGTATTCTTGTGCTTTATTGTAAGTGTAAAAGTATAGTTGTTATTTGTTTCTAAAGTGATCCAATAAAATGGTGCTCGTAATGTCGTAGAACATCATATACTTTGTCGTGTTGTTTTTATTTCCTTTAATGTTCTTCATTCATTGATAATAACAAGTCACATTTGACCCAGATGAATTAAAACAAATAGTTGGATACAAAATACCACCAAAGGTTCATGAAGATAGTTTTTGGCCTTCAAAATACAAAACTCTAATGTCTACCTTCTGGCATCTAAGTCCGTGATAGCTTCTAAGTCCATGATGGCTGTAACAAATTCTGATTTATGATCATTGGGAGTGTCATTTTTACCGAAAGTCGATCTAAACCCCTAAAACATGTAAAATTACTTGGAACACCTTAGTTTAGGTACAAGTATAGCTGTAACAAATTCTCAGGTCCCTGTGGTATATATTACACATCTCTGATAGAACCCAGATTACACAAACAAAATCCACTTCCTTTTCATGTTCTATCAAAGAAATCGCACAACTGCTATTTTGGAAAACTTGAAGGTTATTTAATAGACTTAATAGTAGATAATGTACTCTACACGAAATAGCATTGTCTGATAAAAGTCATATTTAAAGTAGACGAATACCGGTAGGTTCTCTCCCTGCCATAAAGGTATGTCTACAGAGGCGTAGCTATGCCAAAAGATATGTGTAAGCCCATGGTCAGGCGATGGGTCTGGGGGCCACCGATTTTGGTTAGGGGTTCAGGGGGGCAAAGATTATAGGAATTTTTGAAGCATGTTATTAGGGACAGTTATCTAAAGATATATTCAAAGTGCCCAGTGAACTTAATTGTAGTACACCATACACGTTTTGTCTCACCCAGTCGTTTTGTTTCAACCAGGCAGAATTCCGCTTTCTGGTTATCCCACAAATTGACCCTGCAGTATGATAGTCGAAAGTAACGTCAGGATTTCTATATGAATACCAATTGGGCCATCTTTAAAAAATGTTTGTTTTAAGTTTTCTCAATCTGAGTCACATTTTGTTTAGTTGGTAAGTATAGATAGGTATTTTTCAGGAAAAAACAACATATTTCTTTGTAAAAAAGTTTACTTTCAGCGATTGTTCAGTCCATTTTATTTCATCAAAATTATAAAAAAAAAAATATCAATAGATTCCATTTTAGTGGGTCGGTCGGTGCACATCAAACAAACTCTTTCATAACGTTGATTTAGTAGACCTGGACTAGGTCGATCGCCGCGACAAGGTAGCTCAATTGGTAGAATCCCTGCGATCTGGCCCGTTGCATTTTTCTTTTTCTGTTACATGTACTTTACCAAGATACCCGGCTGATAGATGTTCATACACACATTTTTCGAAATAAGGGTACTTGTGTGCGTGATGGATTGAATATTCGTTGCTTAATATCGGTAAATACTGTAAACGTAAATATCCTGATTTTCACTTCTTTATCACGAAAACCACGGAATTAGATTAGATCTGATTCAAGTACGTTATCTAAGTCCGTGCGAAAACATATTTCTATATTGCAGTTCTAGTCCAGTTATACAAACGCACGTAACTCTTTCTAAAGCGATTCAATTAAAAAGTGCGCGCTGAGATACGTAAAGCAAACCATACGTGCATCTTAATGGAACACATACCATGTATAATATATATAGCTGAGATACGTAAAGCATCTTAATGGAACACATACCATGTATGATATATATAGCTGAGATACGTAAAGCATCTTAATGGAACATCTTAATGGAACACATACCTTGTATGATATATATAGCTGAGATACGTAAAGCATCTTAATGGAACACATACTATGTATAATATATATATAGCTGAGATACGTAAAGCATCTTAATGGAACACATACCATGTATAATATATATATATACCGCATACGCGGTTTTCAAAATCTCGTGCTACTTTATTTCAGGTGTTTTGTTTTCTTATATCACGTAGAATTTGTACAACCCAACTCTCCATTAGAATATGAAAAATTGTGGAGGTGTTTATTTCGGGAAAAAGATAGACTTGAAATTCTATCCGGAGGAAGCTATTTGGCCGAGAGTTCAAGAGAGACAAATTATGAAAGTATTTTGACTATTTCGACGTTTGAAGAATTAGCTGCTTTCATAATAAGTAGAAGTTAGTTAATAAGTAAATGCAAATGTGTTATTATCTTGATGGCATTATGCCATATTTTGTTAATGTTAAGATATCACTGTTTTATCATATAATGGTGTACACGGTGTAAGCCCGGGCGCCTTTTTTCTATGGACGCTACTACGCCCCTGGGACTCACTACGCCCCTGGGACTCACTCTATGATCTATGGTAGGATGAGTCAGAAGGAGAATGTGTGCATACTTTTGGATTTTTTTTAATTTAACAATATTTTTTATCGTGTCAGTATGAACGTCAATCAGTTTCCGTCAAAGACCTAGTCTATACGTGAAGGTATGGTTTCATGTTCGATATGGATGTAACCGATTTAGCCAGAATATTTACAATTCAAATATATAAGAAATGGATATAAATTTCAGAATTCCTAAATCTTCAGTTCGAATACCAATCTAATTATATGGTTCAAACGATATTTCTGGACTAGTTTTGTAACGTCACTTACATGTTGTTTTTTACGCTGGTCTCGCTTTATTCGAGGCGGAAGGAGAAGCTTAAAAAAGATACTGATTCAAGTGCGTTACAATCCTATGAACGCATTTACTTCTAGTTATGATTAGATAAAGGCTTTAAAATAAGTCAAGGCAAATACAAAATTGAAAGGCTTCGAGGGTTTTCTGAAGCCCTGGTCGGAAACATCCAAGCAATGACATATGTACAAACTAGATGTAAAATTGCCTAGAGTGACAACTGACAAACTTGGACCGGAAGTTGGCTTTGTCTGAGACTGGAGACAGTACCCTCCTAGTTAGGGCAATTCAGCTAATCTCGTTATGTAATAGAAGTAATAAAATACATATATATAGGTATTTGATGGCCGAAGGCAATGCATAAGTTAATTTGACAACAATAGTTTAAAGGTGAACCATACGATAGCCAAAACATGTCCTACAAGTTACACATAGCAGAGATACAATGATGATTTATCGTAACATGAGAAGAGGCTTATATACAAATGTTGATATTTACAGATACCTATATATAGCATGTGATCGTACATACGTCTCTGGTAGTTTAAACTAGTGAATAAGAACACGGACTAAGATAGCAATCTAATTCCGTGAATAAACAAATTTATAATAAAATAAGAGGCACTATCGCAAAATTATGAATCCATTGCTTGAAAATAAAACGAGGTTGAAACGTACGGTTACACGAATTTGACCGAACACTGCAAATAGCTATAGCCATAAGGTATTGTTTTAGTTCGGGATTCCAACAAACAAAACAAATGAAAGTTATAATAATTAAAACTAATTAACGATTAACAAGGCACACATCACAGCTCAGCGCGTAACTGTCATAAGGAAATGACGCAATCGAACCCGCGAAGTTATCACAAGCGCACAGGTAGGTGTTAGAATGTTCGTCAATTACTGAATGGTTACAGTACAGGCGTCTATTCTCACAACAACTCAGAAATAAGCCTGTCTGTCGTGTCATGGTTGTTTGCATAATAATCAACTATATGTGCTGAGCCCTGTGGCCATTTATATAACATGTACGAGAATCAATATATCTTAACACGGACTTAGATAACTGTCTAATCTAATTCCGTGATCGTCACGATTACATGCATCACAGGTACCGGGATATTATAGTATATACCTCGCAATTAGATTATCTAAGTCCGTGGATATACGATTTATTGATTCTGATAAAAGTGACGTCAGAGAGAAGATAGACCGGTAAGTATTACAAAGTCAGTGAATGCAGAAACGTAAATAACAATATATATAGTACGTCTCTGTCGAATGGTAGATTTTTTTCTCTATTTTAAAGCTTACTATATGCATTTACGTCTCGGAACAGATATACCTGCAAGATCGAAAGTCATTTAGCGGTCCTTATTTTACGCCTAACTTCATTTTCTAAAAATACATGTACCTATTAATGGGAATTATCATGGTTTTTTTTCCAAATACTTTTATTGATTTAATATGTTGTTTGTTAGTATTCCGATTTGGAGATATCTATGATAACTGAACCATTCGCGTCAACCAATATGACGCCAACATATAGATTCTACGTCTCTGCATAAGGACTCTATGCAGGCCTATAACGATATGAAAATAAATATTGTCCGAAAAACCCCCCAATTACAAATCATTTTGAACAACAGCAAATATCATTCACGGTGTTCAATCACATTTAGTTATCTACGTGTATATCAAAGCATGAAAAATCGCTGAGATAAGCACATGTCCGTAAAATCCCTTATCGATGAAAAAATCATGGAACTCAACAGTCCCCGCCTTTTCCTAAAAATAGCAGGCGTGGGTGGGAGATTATTAACCAATCAAATGAATGAAATATCTTAACATCGCAAAATACGCGGGAAACTCTATATTGGCGGATAGACAACAACACAAAGGTACGGTAGCAGTGAGGGGTCGGAATAACGGGAAAAGAAGTCAGATGGAGGAAAAATAGTCAATTTATCATGGAAAACTTCCAGAAAATCGAGAAAATTGGCGAAGGAACATATGGTGTTGTCTACAAAGCTCGTGATAAGACAACAGGTCGCCTGGTAGCCCTAAAGAAGATTAGGCTGGATGCGTAAGTTGGTCGGGTGACGCCACGTTCTTTTCTAGATAATATTGCCGAGTGTTTCAAACCATTTGTGTTGAAAAAAGATTGATTTAAGCCTAATGAATTATTTTCCATGCATCCATTTTGAGATATCTTGCATGCGGTTGCACTTCTCGTGTTACATGCTTTGTCCACGCTGTAGGACTAAGAACGGTCATTTTGGATTTCATTGTAGTTAGGTGTTAACAGGTTGTGTATGTTTTTCATTGAAATAAATCTATCTAGTTTAGAAAATGAGGACGCATGTAAATAACCAGATAAACAATCTCTTTTATCCTCCATGTTCATAAACGATAGATCAGTCTTAAAAATATTACACATTCTAGATTTAATAGTTTAGGTCCGGACGCGTGTCCGACATTCTTTTGATTTAATTTGTTGTCGGGATCTAATTATTTAAATATCGTGTTAGTCATACATGACGCACTTCATTGATAATAACATTATTCATTGTTTGTTCTGCAGTGAATCTGAGGGAGTACCAAGCACAGCAATTCGAGAAATTTCCTTATTGAAAGAGTTGGATCACCAAAGTGTCGTGAGGTATAAACAAAATAACTTTTTTTTTAAACCAGTTTTCTCTAAGGGGTCCCATAGCTACACAATATTTAATGTGCACTAAGTTGGTGTGTGAAAGCAACATGAGTAGAGCAATTAGTCACTAGTATAGTGTTCCAAGAAACAACCATAATGAGGGGTTTTCGCCCCCAAAACAGTTGGTTTTCAAGAATTGGCTTTTTGGGTCAGTTTCAGTTTTGAGGGGTCCATGGCCCCATGGCCCCGGCAGGATTATTCCTGGGTACAGAATCTTGAAAATGTATCGCATATACCCACAAATCTAAAACTCGGTGGGAACCCTGTAATTTATTTTCAGGAATAGGCAGCTTTTAAAAGGCCTAAATAGTAATTAAGAGTTATTAAACGTATATATGCATTGAATCGTCTTAAACAAAGACATCAGATATCCTGCACTTGGCAAATTTTGTCTTGAAAGAAATTGTGTGAAAAAATCTGAAGATCTGTATCCCTAAAAAAATTCCTTATTTGACAAGATAACAGTGTAAAATGAACTATATCTATAATTGGGAAACTTGGCTAGTATGACATTGATGCATAACTGAAACAGGATGGTGCTTTCTTGATAGATATATAATTATTGGATTTCACTGTACTATATATATCTAGTTAATCTTCTACCTTCTTTCAACAGGTGTTTGTGCTTTGTAACTTTTGGAAATTTGACCCAAAGCTACTCTTAGTCTTACAAAAAAAAAAGATCTTATACTGTATTATGTTTCCAATATTGAAATAACACCTGTAAAAATATAGGGCATAACTTAAGTTAAATAATCGACTCCAAATCAACTTTTTGTAACTCTTGACATGTGTCAAAGAAAAAGTTATGGCTCCGGTCAAGTTGCTTTGTGATGTAGATATTTTGTTATATATCACAGCAGCTTGGTCAGTGTCAAGACTTTTAAACCAACTGAAGTCTGACCCAGTGTTTCTTAACTATTTTACCTAAGAAAAAACTTCACATTCATATATCAAAAACAATTAAACTGGTTGGCTATTTTGGAAAATATGTTGTGCTCTATATGATGCTTTTTGTTCAGATAGTAAGGTAAATATGTATGGATTTTTCGGAACATTTTAGACTTGGCCCTGTTCAAGTGACTGAGATGTAATGTTACTTGTCTATATCACAGTCTGCTTGGACAGTGCTTAGTGTGAGATATTGAATGTGTAGCTGGAGGTGCCTCTTCATTTCGAAAGGAACTCTTTTTATTAAATAATTAATACTTTGTAATAAATTGTCCTCTATTTAAGTTATTTGCAGGTTCGCCAGGTTGGTGAAAGAGAAGGAAAAAAGAGCTAATTTTCCAGCCCTGACCAAGTGGTTGAGATGTAGTTCAGTGTACATATATCACAGCCTGCTTGGACAGTGCTGGGTGTTTTCTCGCAGCACTGAAAAATGATCTTGTTCAGTTGTCCTGGATGAAGGAATGAGACGTTGTGATGTGATTTGACTATTATCCCAATGTTCTTTTAATTTTCTTCCCATTAGTGTAGTTATAGCTCACCTGGTCGTCCGTCAACTTTTCCCTTTTAAACGCTACTAGTCCTAAACGGCTAAGGAAAATGGAAGTTAATTGAAAATCTTTCTCCTTTTATTTTGTTAATGAAGGGATTCTCATCAAACTTCTAGAGCATCTTCAAAACATCGCCCCGCCCTGGAGGCTACCTCCTTGGGACGTAACATGGAAATTCACTTTCTTGGTGTCTTGCCTACCGAAACAGATATACATGTACGTAAACTATCTTTATCAGGATTATGAAGAGTAGTTTTTGCACTACCAATAGAATTTTATATGTGACGTTATGATGACTAGTACGATATGTACACTTGTCACCTTAATCAGACAAATGACCAGTGAAGCGTGTGCGCACAAAGGTGTAAAATGTGTACTAGTTGTCCACAATATCTATCAAAAATGCTTAGCATTGCTATAGGTAGTCCAGTGTCTCCCATTGGAGCCAATTTGTTCATGGAACATGTGGAGCAAGAAGCAATAGCCATTGCCCCCATATAATGCAAGCCTAGCTTATGGAAACAATATTTTGACGACATACTTATGATAATCAAGAAGGGGTTACAGAAGGATTTGACCAGCATATCAACACCATAGATGCCACTAACAACATCAAACTTGCACACGAGGAAGAAACCAACGGCACAATGCTCTTCCTAGACACTGGTAAAGAAAGAAGATGGAAGCGTGAAGGTATTGGTCTATAGAAAAAAACTTAAATCTCCCCATCCTTTGCACCAGAAGTTAGGCGTTGTGTGCACATTGCTCAACAGATCTGATAAAAAAGTCACAGGACAAAACACAAGAGCAGAATCACATCGCTAGGGCAATGAGAACATGTGCATATCCAGAATAGGCCCTAGAACAGGTACAAAAACAGTGTCACAGTATAGGGAAGAACAAAAAAAGGTCAAGTGGTCATCTCGTATATAAAGAGTATATCGCGGTCATGGCATAGAAACAGCCATGAAGCCCCACAAGACGCTTTGCAATATCCTAGTTCACCCTAAGGAGATAACTCAAAAAGTTTTGGACAGAGAGAGCAATCTGTTCAAACAGCAGATAAAGGAAGCCATCTGGATACACTGCAGTGGGCCAGTTCTAAAATCGAGACGAGGCGGCTGAAAGACTTGCATATCTATGACCAAGTATTAACAAAGTGTAGCTGAATCAAGTCGTTTCGAAACATGACTATTGTAGCCTAATCAACATCAATTTTCGGGACAACCCTTGTACATTTTACACCTTTGTGTGCATACGCTTTACTGGTCATTTGTCTGATGAAGGTGACCGTGAACATATCATACTTGTCATCGAACATCTTTATCGGTCTGGTTAGATTTTGATATAAACTTTATTTTGCAACGATATGAAACGTGCTTTTTCAACTTCTATTGATCACTCTTCAGTCAATGTTAGGGCACAGGCGGTATTGTGTGTAAATATATTGAAAAACTCTGAGAAAAACCATGTGATTGGGCAGGAAAGGACGTGTTCAGGAAGTTGCATCCAATTTCGTACATTTGTCGACTAACAACTCTTTTATTATAAGTGTAGATTGATGCCGTATATTCATATAAATAGGCTTTTTAAGACAAAATCTTAAAATTGGCTCAACATCAGCCAAAGTACAGGCATACAAATCATTAGTTTGACCATCACTTGAGTATTCCTGTACAGTATCTGACCCTTGCACCCAGATAAATATTGACACGTTGGAAATGGTCCAGCGAAGGGCAGCGCGCTATGTGCTCAATAAGCACAGGTACAACCTTCGTACCTCCAGTGTGTCAGAAATGTTGGACATCTAAATCTGCGCCCTCTAGCAGATAGATGTAGAGATGCTCGTCTGACCATGCTTCATAACACTGAAAACCAGAAAGTCACTATTGTAAAATCAGACAGATTAATCCCTACAGTTAGAAAATCACCAACAAACCACCAGTTTTCGTATCAAATTCCCCACTCAAAAACCCAGACCAGAAAGGCATCATTCTTCCCTCGAACTATACCCAAGTTGAATAAACTCCCACCTGACATTATTTCGAGACCCACAACAGAATCATTCAAATCGGCCCTCTACCGTCGTTTTTTAAACGCAAATTAGACCATCTCGTAGCTTTTAAAAACATGTTTCACTCCCTGCCTGACATTTTATCTTCAAAATGTTGAAGTTGGTCAGTACCATTTAGAAGTATTCAGCATCATTTGTGTCAAAGAAAAGCCTTATGTTAAGAAAAACATGATGAAAGAAAAAGAATATGACGCCAAAATTGCATCTGTAAAATAATTTTAATCGTACGTTCGTCAAGTTCCAATGATGGCTTTGGCAGCCAGAAGAGATAATTTTTTAGATATCATTTGCTGGACATATTGTCATGGTGATGCAGTTTTAAAACCATCAGTTATTTGTCCTTATTTTTATACGCCTGTCAAAAGTATTATGGTATGGCATCGTCTGTCCGGCCATCCGGTGCAAACTTTTGTTTGTGGTAATCTCCTTCTACATTTTGCAACGGATCTGTTTGAAACTTGGTATACATTATAATCATGATATAAAGTTGTCTCCCTTAAAAAAAATGATTCAACAATTTTTACAAAAATTATTGCCCTTCATTTGTGTATTTGATATTTTTTTGTCCAGAGATTTTATCCTATAGGTATATAGCGTTACATGGCATTTGACAGGCGTATATTGTTCCTCCACGCAGTATTCCTGTTTAGAAATATGGCATATTTTCTTGGTGTTTTGTAAAGATGGGGTCAACATTTGGCCCCCACTTTGATTTCTTTTATTCTTTTGCCATATGAAGATTCATAAAAATGATCAATAATTGCTACTGATAACCGTAGTGGACCTCCTTGTGAAATACCAGGTTGATTGACGAGGGTACCCTAAGAAAATGACAAATAAATGTTGCATGCAAATATTATTTTGAATATGAATCATGCTAGTGTACAGTGTATAAAATTACTGTTATTTTGATACTAAATATGTCATATTGGTATACATTAAGTATGCGTAGTGATATTTTTAATTAGAAAAACCTGCAAAATTTTCACAAAAATTTAAAATATAATCAACATTGTCAACTTGCCTATATATAGTTACAGTGGTGGTCTATATTTTAAACTTCTTTAAAAATTGTCCATATATGTATTCTGTCTACTGAATCATTTTTATGTAATATAAAAACGGGTAAAGTACTTTATTAGCATGCCAAACATGATCAATGCCAAATTTCACATAATCTTGAAGCTTTGATTATCAATGTTTATTATGGTTAATACCGATACATTTTCTGTTTTTGTTTCATACCAAAACACTTTATTATATTACGCATGTTTTAAAGTTATGTGCAGCATTTATAACTCCTGAATATTTATTCTGCCAAATGGACCAATTTCAGCGAAAGTTTCCAGATATAGATAATCTGATCCTTTTTTTTACAAAGTTATGGGCCTTTGTTGAAAAATACTTGTCCTGACAACTCCTTCAAAACTATAGAGTCAATTTCCAGGAAAATTAACAGATATGGTAACTGCCCCCTCAAATTGTGCATCCAAATAGTATGTTTTCATTCATACTTTAAAAAATAGTTATGGTAGAAAGGTATATTTATATTCGGTATCAAAATAACGGGTTGGAATATGTTGCACACAATAATGATATGATTTTACAGTAATTGCGTCATTTAAATGCTCTAGGAGGAATTGTATTACCGCACCTTTAACACCCACACAGGTGTAAGTCAATGAGGTCCCATTTATCCTAAAATGAATCCTGAAACTTAACGGTTCCTGATTCAAGCTTCCTTTACCCATAACATTTTGGATTTATCTTGTCTTGAAAATCCAAGCAGGGCCCAACGCTAATGTTAAATCTCCATAGGCATCCCCTATATTTGTAAATGAACTCGGTTGAATAGAGCTTGTACCTGAAGTTCTGGACAGGAAGTTGCAAATATTTGTTCTAATTGTTCTCGATGATTGTTTGAATGAAGCAATATAAAGTGCAGGTCACATTGACAGCATCACGTTCAAAAGATAATAAAATGAGGAAATAATTCCAAGAAAATGTAGTTATACGCAGAAAATGACGAAACAAAACAAAACATATGTAATATGTGAAATTTACTGTATTTGCTATCCTTTTAGATTACATTCTAGCAGATGCTGTGACAAAGAGTGGGTCTGCAGTACTGATCAAGTGGCTGTGATGCATTGATTTATATTTGTATCACAGCCTGCTTGGTTCAGTGTGGAGAGGCCGAAAAACCATCAAACACTTTTTGTGTGAGGCTACCATCAATTAAAAAAAANGGGGGGGATGAAAATTGGCTGTTTGGGACTCATCTTCTGGACACGCCATAGAGCTTTTATTCACAATTTGCTTACATTCATGACGCAAGTTTATTTTAAATTGCAATGGCACCACATGGTTTGAAAGGTGATATTCCACTACACAGGTTCTGGAACATACTGGGTAATAGGTATATATTTGCTTCCTGACTGGTGACCTGAAACATAAACTTATATTATTTTGATGCACATGGTTGGGGTATAGACGTTTGTAAAGAACAAGGTACACATTCAAGAGGAAAATACTAAGTTCTTAATTCAAGTGTTTATATCAAATTTAGGTTCAAGTAGTGGATAAAAAATAATCATAATCTTTCGTAATGCTCTTGTTCCTTAAAGTTGGATTCTCGGTTGTGTAATTTGCAGGCTCCTAGATGTGGTCCACAGTGAGAAGAAGCTGTACCTGGTGTTTGAATACCTTAACCAGGATCTCAAAAAGTACATGGATAGCTGCCCACCATCAGGACTCGCTTCCTCCCTGATCAAGGTATGCCTAGTCTTATTAGTCCCAAACCCCTGCCAATTCGATTCAATTGAAAACCATTTTATTAGCAAGACGGAAGGCAGCATTGATCATTTCCGAAAAGGAATCTATACCTTGCAGAAGTTTCATTACATCGTACAGATACACATTTGATCTTACAAGCCCTCGTCGTGGAGAGATCGACACTGTGCTATTAAAACACTCAAATGACGAAGGCCTGTGTGCTCGATTAGCAACATTGTGGAAATTCTGAATATACAACAAAATTTCTCGAGGGGAAAGGGCCGTTATTTGGCCCCAAATGTACCCAAAAAAATCATGAGTACAAAAAGGTTTTATATAATTTGTGTGAAGTGCAGTGCTACAAAACTACTAGCACCAGAGATCCCTTTAGGCTCGACAATTAAATCCTTGAATTATCTTGAAACTTATGTTATTTAATATATTATGTGTACTCGAAGCATGTTTTATGAAAACATAAATGAGGAGTAATTTGATTTAAATAATAAAAACCATGAAGAAATTGATACAATAATATCTAGTTAACATGTTGATTCGTTTCTTTTGAAGAGTTATCTACACCAGCTTCTAAAAGGAGTTGCTTACTGTCATTCCCATCGAGTGCTACATCGTGACCTGAAGCCACAGAATCTTCTCATAGATGTTGAAGGCAATATCAAGCTGGCTGACTTCGGGCTGGCTAGAGCATTTGGTGTGCCTGTCAGAACATACACACACGAGGTAACATTTCACTTGCTTTTTACTCTGAATTTAAGATATAAAAAAGGGGGGCAACTTCAAGAAGGTACCTTTGCTACTGCCTTTTCATTTCATACGACACTTAATTTGATGCAGGTAATTTTACTATTAAAGGACATCTCCAAAAATATCACTTTATATGGAATTTCAGTATCCTATTTGATAGGTTGACACAAGTTGTCCCAAATGTTTAGAGTAAAACATTTTCAAATAGGATATTATTCTTTGAAAACGTTTTTCATCGGACCCATACAAGTTGTCGACGTTGAATTTCATATAAACAGTAGCTATCGGATCAAACAAATTGGAAATCCAGACAAGGATAAAATGAGCAAGAATTCTTGAAATTGTGTTCATACAGATGAAATTGTCTCCAGAGTTAATGATTTTTTTATAAGACTGCAATAACATTTGATAATCCAAGAGTATGCAGAATTTTTTGTGTTTTTAGGTAGCGACATTTTGGAACAGAATGCAAAAATCCTTAAAGGCAGTCGTAATTCATGTTGTAGGTAGTAACATTGTGGTACAGAGCACCAGAGATCCTTTTGGGCAGTCGCTTTTACTCCACACCTGTAGATGTCTGGAGTCTTGGAGGAATATTTGCTGAAATGGTAAGATATTTGTCATATCTAGTGCTGTTTTGATTAAACAATTTAGTCGACGTCTGTTCCCGAAAATCAATTGATCGATCATTGTTTCCAGTGATCGATTATAGTTTGACTAATTTTAGTGTTAACACAAAATAAACTTGGATACTGTTACTCGCCGACAGCGAGTTGTTCTGTCGGCGAGTTCTTTCTTTGGCGAAACAACTGCACCGAACGTCCCACACGAGAACAATGCTGATTGGCTAGTTGGTTCACCCAACAACCAATCGGAACTTGCATTTCAATAGAAATGCTGCACGCCTCGGTGCTCGACAATATGACAAGCCAGGTCATTACAGAGACTTGACTATGATCAACAGGGGGCTACTCATTCGAAAGTGTGGAACGATTTTAGATTCAAATATTCCTAAGCTGGATATGACTAAAATGTTTTGCCGTGAAAGTGTGGGCTATCGTTACAAATAAAATGTTACATTTGACGGGGTGTCTTTAGGTAAATGCTGAGCCACCGTGGCATTTCTGAATACGCAAAATAAAAGACAATGCAAACATCATCAATTTCATTTCAAAATACATATTTTTCAATGCCTATAGTTTTTGTCAACAAACATCTTGTTTTTGTATGAATGTTGGGCGTTATTAGCAAAATTCTCAAACGACAGAAAACGAAGTAGATTTTGGAAAACGAATATAACCTTGAATTCTTTGAATTAAAGTTCAATTTGATCGATCATCAGTCACTTAATCTGAAGTGATGATCGAGCATGATTTTTTAAGTGATTCCAAACACAAGTCATATCTATACTACTTGATTTCAAAAATCCAGAATAAGAACAGCTTATTACGGAGAATCTCTGACCTTGACACCAGACATAACTTATATACTAAATATTGTGGTTCAAGAATACGAGTTATTGTGTTTGTCTTGCATCAAAGGTTGTAAAATGTTGAACAAATTGCCTGGCCTATATGATAAACCTACAATTACTTCAGTCGGTGGAAGAGAACACCTTCTGTGACCAACTGCAGGTATCGTAGGAGGCGACTAATGTGGCACCCCCTGTAGAATTGGGGTTTTGTTTTGGTGTCCTCTATTTGGGGACACAAGAATGACCAAAATGAATCTGCTGGCGCCTTGCTTGGCAACACCTCACTTTTGGCTAGAATGTTGAGCGTTCGCCTAGGTGAGGAAGGCAATGGGTTCTGTCCCTGGGTTGGGACATACCAAAATCCTTAAAAATGGTAGTTGTTATTCCCTGCTTAACGCTCAGTATTCAGGGTAATGGCAACAACTGGTTCACCCTTTGTCAGTATAATGTGACCGAGCGGAATGCTGTGCTGGGTGCCTTCGGCATGGCATTTCAGCACTAAAAAGGCGGCATCAGATCCATGCTATCACAAGGAGACGAGCACACCAACATACCCTGTCTCCTGCATACACTACACACATGGAGGCACGTCCTTTATAATGACCTTAGCTGTTGATAGGACGTTCCAACAGAATTATAACCAAATCAAACCAAACTTAAGTCGTCGGGACTTCTGAACACATTTTGTTTTACAATAATTCAAACCCTGCTTACCCATATTTCTGATTGTTTCAATACAAAATTTAGTACTAATTATTGATTGATATTGGCTATTGTTGAAGCGGTTACCTTGAGAAACTGGCTCAAACTGATGTATTTTCACATCCACAGCATTAAGTAACTGTCGGAGTAACAGTTACAACTCATGATGTTCGACCATCTGAGTCAAAAATGTACATAAATATGCCACATGTTAGCAATGATTGTGTTTCTTTCTTGGCAACATGTGAATGTTCCATTTAGAACAACCTATCGGTATGGAGCAAAGCATGTTCCTGTTGCATTGCTGATAGAAACCTGGGTATTGGCATGGTTACAATTTGATAATATAATCGCAATTGGGCCATTGATCCATGATTTGCTATTAAAGTTATTAGTTATAATATCTGTACATGTGGCAAAACTAATAACCCCATAACCGTAATTTCAATTCACCTTCTGCATCCGATACATTTAACTTGAACTGTCATTACTCCAGAAAACATTAACTGCTTTGCGGCTTGTTCTTGTCAAAATATTGTGCCAATGATTAGTTCACTATTTAACATTACATCATGTGAATTTAACATATTATTGTTTTCTTCAACAGATAACCAGACGTCCCCTGTTTCCTGGAGATTCTGAGATTGACCAGTTATTCAGAATATTCCGCACCTTAGGTAAGTTGACATAAATGTATGAATATGTGTGAATATTAAATCATTGACATTGTTTAGTCAAGTAAAATGTTAGCAGTTATTTGATGCAATTTATCATTTTCTGATGCGACTGATGTAAGAATTGCCTGCATGAAAATCAAGAAGTGTCTATGATACTCTATAGATAGAAAATACTGAAATTAAATGGTCTGCAAACTAGATAAAGCAGAAATTCTTCAATGTAATATCAGTGTTTTTGTCATCTGAATTTTACAACAGCCTGTTCCTTAATGAATTTGATAAATATAGCATTGTTTGTACTGAAATTGGGAATATATTCCCCAGTTTTGGTCATTTTTTGGGAAATGTACTTTTTAGCTAGGGGAAACAGCAAGTATTCAACACTAAACTGAGCAAAAAAACCACTGAATATTGATGCAATTTAAATTTAAAAAATTTGGTGACAGGTACACCAGATGAGAACACATGGCCTGGTGTTTCACAGATGCCCGACTACAAATCCACTTTCCCCAAGTGGCCACAACAGTGTGTGTCCAGTGCTGTACCAAACCTCCTTGGGGATGGGCTGGAACTGCTACAGGTAAATGATCAAAACTAGAACATTGGAGGAAATATTTCATACCTGATATGTATTGATATCATTCAATTCAGATGACTTGGGTCAACTGCATGTGTCTTATAAGTTATACCTTGCCATGGCTTTCATCATTGAACTTCATTGAAATTTCGGCACAAAATTATGATTTATTAAAAAAATATGTTTTCAGAAATTCATGGTCACAGCGATGAGGTGCATTGGGCATCAAAGAACTCTGGTTATATTTCACCAACAAGTGTGAAATTAGAGACCTGTCACTGTCGTTTTAAGCAAGAATGAACATTCCTTCCATATTATTCAAAACTAATCCAATAAAGTATGCACATTATCAAATTAGAGTCTGGAGAGAAGAAACAGAAATATTGCTGAATGTATGTAGACTACATTCAAACAACTGGTGAAGATCGAGTAATTGCTAATCTGAGAATCTTTGATCCTATACAACATTGCTTTATTTGTAGCTGATGCTGAAATATGAGCCCAGCCAGAGGATATCTGCCAAATCTGCCTTGCTACATCCTTACTTCAATGGAGTCTGCAAGCAAAGGCCTCCTCAGGTCCTCAAATAGACGCCTTCCCGTTACAACATTTTACAGTGTAATCAAAAATATAAAGATATATGCAAGTGTTTTGACTTGAAAGTGAATTAATAGGTCCTTGAAATGATGTTCAAGAGTCCTTAATCATCCACAAATATGACTTCTGTCTTATAAATGCTGTCAAAGTCTCATCCATGGACATAACACTAATATTATGCCGATGTGTTTGCAACGACCAAAGTTTTTAGCGAAATTTTTTACTCCAAGAATTCTTGAACGACTGTTTCATGGTTACTTGTGCAATATTGATGCCTGTTAAAGCAAATATGTGGTTAAAAAAACAACCATTCAATACCTTGATGATAATTCAAATAATTTTGAAATATTGTCTGTTGCTGCGAAATATTTGTTAGTACTGGGGTATATATATATCGGAATGTATTGACTTTTGATGTGAATTTAATTGATATTTTTGTAATTGGTTTAACAGGTTTAGGGGGGAGGGATGCAGTTGTTAAGGTGTTAAGTTTTTAATAAAAAATTGAAAATTGTTATATGTCCCTACCTCTGTATGCTTGTCTGCTCAGTGATTGAAATGCACCAAAACATACGCTGTTTAGGTTCAACTTGACCTCATGTTCCAAACCCAGAAAAAAAAAGTTATTTTTAAAAAACAATCTGTCATTTTCCAGTCAATGAATCTGAAATTGTTTTCAAATGTTTAAAAATCACTTTTGGAATATGTATGTAATGAATTGAACTTTGTATTTTAATTGGAATTGTTTTATCAATGCTAGCAAGCAAAACAGACTTATTTTAACATATTTTATATGAGAACACTGGAGATGAAAGAAAAATCTCCATAATGATTTTGATTATTGACTTCTATGATTACCTAACGATTTGTTATGTAATATGTACATATATTAATTATGTAAATTATTGTTTATTATGCAACCATTTTTTTATTAAATAAATTGCCATAATGATTATAGTTTTATCCTTTTTATTATACGCCTGTCAAATTTGACGGGCGTATTAATATGGTATGGCTCCGTCCGTCCAGCGTAAACTTTTGTTTGTCCAGCAATCTCCTTCTACATTTTTCGACTGATCTCTTCGAAACTTTGTATACATTATAATCGACTATTTTGCAGAAGTTATTGCCCTTTGCTAATTTCTAGTACTTGAATCTTGTCCAAAGATCTCCTACAGTTTTCTATTGATTTCTTTGAAACTTGGTGGGCTTTATAACCATGGTATCAAGTTGTGTTTAACGAGATTGGAGACTAATCTTTTGATTACTTGTTTTCCTCAAACTGTTAGGAAATTAAAGAAATTCAAACATTTACTTTGTAATGAAAGGCGAGATTTATAACATGCTAGCTAGCCACTCTTAAGTAGTAAATCTGATTTTAATGCTAGATAGTATGTAACTCTATAGGGCATTCGATGGGCGTATATTGTTCCGCCCTGTGGTACTCTAGTATTTTTAGATCGCCTGAGCTTTAGCTCAAGTGACCTATTGCTGCCTGTCGTCCGTTAACATTTAACATTTTCAACTTAGCTGAAATACTGTCAAAGGGATTTCATTGATACTTCATGGGAATGTTACCGACATTTCCCTGACCAGGTGTTGTTATTTTCAAGTCGATTAGAAATCTGATATGGCTGCCATTTAGAAACTATTTCAAACTTAGAATAAAGTTCTACTGGGCCGATTTAACTGAAACTTGGTAGGAATGATCGACTCGTGGTACTGACAAAATATTATTTTTCGGGTCGATCAGAAATCCAATATGGCCACCAAGGCGTCTATTTTGAAAAATATTGTTTCAACAACAAAAGTAAATACTTACGACTCGGGTGACCGTTATGGACCATGGACCTCTTGATTTTATTAGGTTTGCAGTTTAATATGCATATTCATTGTGTCTAAACTAAAACTTAAGATATTGTTTACAAGTTTCATAAACACTAGACACCCATTCTTACAAATATTAATCAGCAAACTGTTTTTTTTACCAGGGCCATGTACATAAAAATCAGTGCCTACTTGTGGAGTCTCGTTTCTAGCTCACCTAGCTTGAAGGGTGTTAAAATCTTCATACCTCTTGCTGACCAAAATGCATAAGATGATATTTGGCCAGAAGCATGCAGTGATAAAAGTCTACAAAGTTTGTTGAATTTAATTACCTTGACCCTATTGCAAGGTCACTTGTGTCTGGTGATTTAAGAAATATTCAAATATGCTTCTGAATAACCAAATGCCAATGATGATGATATTTTGGCTAATTGTCTTCAGGGATAAAGGGCAACCATTTTCTTTTCATATAGATAACCTTGTCCCACTTTAAACAGTCACTGAGGTTAAATATCTTTAAATATTTTAATAGGTAATGGGCCAGGGTGTTATCGTCTTGCCAGTAGAATGATTGGATGTAGGGTAACCATGTTTGTTCAAATTAATGACCTTGACCCACTTTCAAGTTCACTTGGGTCAAATGTTCAAATGTTTCAAAAACCCTGCAACAATTTATGATAACCAATATGCTCAGAGTAAAGATACTTTGCCAGTAGTGTGAAGGGTTATAAATTTGGTTCCAATGAGTGATCTTGACCCACCTTCAAGGTCTAATATGTGAAAATATTCAAACAGCTTCTAATCCTATTTTGCCAGTGGCATGCTTGGAGAAAAGGGCTAACAAGTTCGTTCAAATCGTGTCAAATATAAAATTTTAAAAAACATGGGCCCAGGGTAAGGATCTCTAGCCAGTAGTATGCTGCGATGAAGAACTACAAGATTTATTCAAATGAATAATCTTTACCCATTTAAGGTCTCATTTATATGTGCTCACTTAAACATTTAGAGAAACTACCAAGTTTGTTCAAATGAATAGTCTTGGCCGAAATTCAAGATCAAATGTGTTGAAATCTTCATAGAACCTCTCAATGATCAAAATGCACAGGTTTATAATATTTGGCCAGAAGTATGCAGGTTTGTTGAATTGAATGACCTTGACCCACTTTCAATGTCACAGGGTTAAAATATATTGAAATAACCAATAGGCTGATGGGATGATGTCTAGCCAGTATGCTTGGATGAAGGGTTACCAAGGTTTTTTTCAAATGAGTGACAGGCCACCTTGACCCACTTTCAGGGTCACTGGGGTCAAGGATGTTAAAATGATTGAAAAAAAATCAAACTGCTTCTTCTACATAACCAAAAAGCCTACGGTGAAGTATTTGGTCAGTAGCATACGGGGAAGAAAGGTTACCAAGTTCAAATGAATGACTTTGACCCACTTTCAATGTTTCAAACAACTCCGTTAGAATGAAGAGCTACCTAAAAAGGTTAAATGAATGACCTCGGCCGACTTTCACGGTCACAAGGGTCAAATGTGTTGATATTTTCATGCAACTTCTTCTCAGTAACCCATATGCCAGAGATGCTGATATTTTGACTGTTGTTATATTAAAAAAATTGTGAGAATAATGCCAGTTTGGAGATTCAGGCCATTAGGCTTTTTGCTCTCATTCTATGTCAAAGACACTAGCTGGAACCAAAGGACAGGTGAGTTTGTCAAGTTACGCCGTCCGTCCATCCGTCAACTTTAAAATACTACTTGTCCAGAACGACTATGTGGATTATGACTTAATTTGGCTTGGAGGATCCTTAGACAGAGGTGACTTAATTTGATCAATTAGAGGATGTACCGTCCTAAGGGGAGACAGGTGGGGCCTAATAGGCGAATTGAAGTAAATATTTTAAATTTTGGGGGGATTTTTACCAAATTTTGTGTAGAGCATCTTTTGGCAAAGGGAATGGGGCTTAACTTTGTATAAATAGAGTGTTTGGCCCCCTTTTGGGACAGAGGTGCGAGGCCCAATAGGGGGATATAATGATAAATGTTAAAATCCTTCTCGTTCAGTACAATTGGAGGAATTTTAACCAGATTTTGTCCATAGCATCAGGAGGACGATGACTGAATTTTGTATAAATGGGCAACTCTTATAGAAACTTGGCAACGATTTTAGAAACAGGACAAATATTTTGAAACCTGGTATCTCGTTTTATTAGACGAAATATAAAGTAAAAAACTAATATCCAGGTATCATCTGTGAAGCAGAAAAGCTGTAAATGTGGAGCCATCCTTTATAATAGCACTATTGTATAGATTAACTGGAGTAGCGCTGATATACAAGTCGTCACCCATGCCCAGGTTGACCAGGACCATTTGAGAACCTGTGTTCGGAGCACCTATTGCCCCTGTTACGGTTAATTGTCCTATTTCAGATCCATTTTTCATCAAGCTAGACTGTATATATGTTGTTGATCCAGCCTCCAAAGCCCACGTGACGACATAGGTTCCGGGAACACCACAAGTAAACACACCAGACGCTGGGTTGTAGTCACTTCCAAGACGGACTTGAACATGTTGAAACGTCAATACGTGTGCCCTTCCTTTTGTAAGTTGATTCTGGTGAGACATTCGGGCCGAAAACCCTACATTCGTACCTTGACAGGAATACATAAAATATTAATTACGAATGCAAAGTCAACAATAGTTCCCCCATGATATTAAATATTCCAAATCACAGATATATCATTTGCTTTCGTCAAAGACTGGGCGTGGTGGTTCATTTTCCAAATAAGTTTGGTTTGTAAGTTTTTGTTTTTAAGCATAAAACCTTAAATTTTGGATGACATCGTATCCGTTTGTCAGCAACGACGAGTACCAAGCATGGTTCACCATATCATTGGCTATAACATGTTTTATCTGTATCAATAGGTGTTCACATTGCAACAATAAACATAATGTTTATATACACATGATTCTCAATATATAGTTTTGGTGTATAGGCATATGTATACGGACCTGAAACCAATATTTAAACACGCCTTAAGTTCCCCATTCACAATTCTTCCACATGCTGTCTAGATACGTTCCTTTCTGATTATCAGACATGTCCATTTCCAAGTCATCGTACACTCTAACGTTATATTACTGACAACTACCTGTAGTGTAATACTCTGGGAGGAGGACACAGATATAATAACGTGATTTGAAAACATTTTCTTGAAGTGTTGTTATCTTAAAGAGCTGAGAAGTGTCGTATGTTAAATAGTAATACATTTTGTTTGGTATTCAACACTGTTGTGTAGCCTGTAGGTTGAAAACACCTTGGACTGTTTGAAAGATGGCGGCTGCCAAAACAAGTAGAAGGTGAGTTCTCAGAACTTGTTCGATTTTTCTATTTGCACTGAAGCAAATGGTAATAGATAAGAGTATATTAAAATGCTAAAATTTCACTCCAGAAAAGCATCTGTATTTAAGTTCAGTGTTTGCAAGGTGACGGGAGCCGGCAATCGGGACGTTCAGTCGACGACGACGAGTTTGAATTTACTAAATAAAACGGGTTCAAAAAATTAATTCTGAGCATTTATGGACCCATGATATAGGTTAAGAAGTCTTTAAAGATCAATACTAATCTAAAATGGTTACAAAATATTCTATAAAAAAGTAGAAATATGCATTTTAAAGAGATTGAGCGGTTGGTTCTTCCATCGCTTAAATGTTGTTTGTCTTTATAATTGTAGATACAAAGAAACATAGTTTACCAATGGAGCTGCACTACCGTTACGAATGTAGCCTTGGGGAGGAAAATCTGCAGAATAGCATTGACAATTCATGCTCAATCCTGGAAAAATATACTGAAAATTCGAAGTACAAAACTTCTTAAGGAAACAATAGGTTACAGACGCATAATTGTAATATCATTCCCCAAACATATCCATCAAGTATTCTCTCATTAATCTCTGATGGAAGTGGTTCACATGTTCTAAATATTGACCCAAAGCCAGCTGTATTGTCACAGCACAATCATGACGAGGAGTTGGAAACAAGCTGTGCTGGCATGTCCTTGGACGATAACTTTGACAGTACAGCTGGCTTAGGGTCAATATTAAGAACATATGAGCCACTTTCACCAGAGACTAATGAGATGAATGAACAAGGAAGTTTTGTACTTCGAGCTGGTTTTTACATGATTGAGCATTAAATGTTAATGATATTCTGCGAATTTTCATCCCCAACGCTATATTCGTAACAGTAGTGCATCTCCATTGGTAGAATGTGTTTCTTTGTAAATTTAAATCTACAGTCCTCACCGTACAATTTTACAATTTTACATTCAATGTCACAACCGTATGCAGTCGTAAGTTACGGAGTGTCCAAACCGCACAACTATAAATCTAGGCCACCTCTTTAAAATGCATATTTCTACTTGCTTATAGGACATTTTGCAACAAGTTTAGATTATTGTCAATCTTTAAAGTTTTCTTATCTGAATTATATTATGGGTCCATAAATACTAGGAATTAATTTTTGAACCTGTTTTTTGAGTAAATTCATGCTCGTCGTCGACTGAACGTGCCGATTGCCGGTTCCCGTCACCTTGCAAACACTGTACTTTAATATAGATACTTTTCTGGAGTGAATTTTTAACATTCCATAACACTCTGGTCTATTACCTTTTTCTTCAGTGCATCCGTTGATCGCTAAAATGTTTTCAAGTAGAAAAATCGGACATGTTCTGAGGACTCTCCTTTTACTTGTTTTGGCAGCCGCCATCTTTTAAACAGTCCCAACCTTTTTCAACGTACAGGCTACACTATACAGTGTTCAACAGACAATTGACATACTGCTGATTTATAGATGTAAGTAAACCTCGTTATAATGAAAGCGTCAACATTCGTTTCGTAGATCTCGTATGAAATGGACATATCATGGAGATTCTGGCTGTATCTCCGTTATCTTACCTGGTACCTGGTCGTGATGTGGTACCGGTTCTCCGTTATCTTACCTGGTACCTGGTCGTGATGTGGTACCGGTTCTCCATTATCTTACCTGGTACCTGGTCGTGATGTGGTACCGGTTCTCCATTATCTTACCTGGTACCTGGTCGTGATGTGGTACCGGTTTCAAATTATACTCACAGAAATGTAAATTAGAACCTAACCACAGTCTAACTACACCACATCGCTCCTCTCTAGGACTAACTTCTGCTTATAACCGACTCATTCACATCATTCAAATGCCTATTTAGCAATACGCTTATTTGCGTTGCTATGAAATGTACAACAACATTTCATGGGACGTATGCAATACTCTGGGTGGCAGTGTGTCGTGACATGGTTGTACATATACCTTTGCAAAAATTGTCGACTGATAAATAAGTTGCACAGTTAATGACTGCCTTGCTTACTTATCGAGAGTACGGAGTTTTATTAAAACAAACTTAGATGTTCAAGAGAAGCTGTATGGATATTTTAACAAAAACGGGCATGACTCCACAAAAATGATCAAAAATGAAGCTAAATGGAACAAATGCACGTTTAAATGTTATTTAAGATGCAAAAAGAGGTTCATGTCAATCTCTATAACTTTAATAATAATAAGGACATTGGTGTTGATGCTTGCGACATTCATTGTTATGCATTTTTATTTAAATTGGTTATAAAGTTACTTGTAGAAAAAATGCCATCTCCAGAGAGATGGAAAGACAGTTTGCTTCCAGCATACCCCTATAATTTTCATTTAACCTATTTAACCATGGATTTTTGTTTAATCTTTGCCATACTCTACTTTTTTCCTTTTGTCCTTTACCTTGCATCCCAACAGGACCATGTGAACCACTGTCACCTTCAAAACCACGTGGGCCGGGGGGACCAGCGTCGCCATGAGAACCAAGCGGGTCATGAGGACCACGTGGACCAGAAGGACCATCGACGCCCTGAGAACCATGGTGGCCAGGAGGACCTGCGTCACATGATTTTCCTGGCTCCCCTTTCTGTCCTATTTGTAATATATATGAATTACATATACCGTCACATTAATACAAATATATATCATATACAGTCACTCACCAAGACTTCACACGAAACTTAACACTGACAAATATATCACACACAGTCACTCACCAATTCTTTACACGAACCTTACCACTCACAAATATATCACACACAGCCACTCACCAAGACACGAACCTTACCACTGACAAATATATCACACAGTCACTCACCAAGACACGAACTTTACCACTGACAAGTATATCACACACAGTCACTCACCAAGACTTTACACGAACATTACCACTGACAAATATATCACACAGTCACTCACCAAGACACGAACCTTTACACTGACAAATATATCACACACAGCCACTCACCGAGTCTTTACACGAACTATACCACTGACAAATATATCACATACAGTCACTCACCAAGTCTTTACATGGACTTTAAAACTGACAAATATATCACATACAGTCACTCACCAAGTCTTTACACGAACCTTACCACTGACAAATATATCACACACAGTCACTCACCAAGACTTTACACGAACCTTACCACTGACAAATATACCACACACAGTCACTCACCAAGAATTTACATGAACCTTACCACTGACAAATATATCACATACAGCCACTCACCAAGACTTTACACGAACCTTACCACTGAAAAATATATCACACACAGTCACTCACCAAGTCTTTACATGGACTTTAAAACTGACAAATATATCACATACAGTCTCTCACCAAGTCTTTACACGAACCTTACCACTGACAAATATACCACACACAGTCACTCACCAAGACTTTACATGAACCTTACCACTGACAAATATATCACACACAGTCACTCACCAAGTCTTTACACGAACTATACCACTGACAAATATATCACACACAGTCACTCACCAAGTATTTACATGACCCTTACCACTGACAAATATATCACACAGTCACTCACCAAGACACGAACCTTTACACTGACAAATATATCACACACAGCCACTCACCGAGTCTTTACACGAACCTTACCACTGACAAATATATCACACAGCCACTCACCAAGACACGAACATTTACACTGACAAATATATCACACACAGCCACTCACCAAGACACGAACCTTTACTCTGACAAAGACTTCATGATTTTGACAAACTGACAAATTAATTATATATTAATAACATGTACTCACCTAGACTTTTTACGAACCTTAACTCGAAGTCGAATAACAATAACCGGAAACAAGGAGTCGATATTATTTGATGCACTTTTAACATTGGTATACAACAAGTCCCCCACCTGGATTCTCTGATATTGGGAGAACCTGATCTTCCATTCCAAGCAAATGTCGACATTATACTTGCTGTACAATAATTTATATAAACAACGAAGATGTTTGAAACCAATTAGTGGACAACTATTGCAACCAGAACATTTCCCCTCCTGTCCATTTCACCTTTTCCCTCACTCCTTCCCTTTCTTCTTGATGTTTTCATGTCAAATAGTAGATTATCTGTATATATATATGCTGGGTTTTTTTTTGCAATCACGTGTTATATCATTAATGACAGTGTGTTGTATTGTCGGGAGAGAGCCTAGTAAGTGGTCAGAACTTGTGCACAATCCCTTTGATTGTGTTTCGATCAATAAAATATGTTTAAATGAAGGAGTCTATATCTAATTCGAAAGGAAAGATAACTAAACTGGATGCGAAATCCATGCTTTGACGGGAGGTCTCGCATGTGTTGAAAGGAACCCCTTATAACTGAACTTTCCTTTGAATAAAACACACTTTTTTGAGATGAACGAACTCTATTTATAACCACGCAGTACTACCGTCTTTCATGCTTTACCGTTTAATCCCGGGATACCGTTGTCTCCCTTTGGTCCACTCAGACCAACGTCACCTCTCTCTCCTTTCTGTCCTGGAGTACCTGTAGAGAAATGCTATGATAGAAACAAAGAAACAAACAAGTGTAGTAGGACAATAAAAAAGTGATAAATATTGTGTCGTCTCTGGGGCTCGAACCCGCGACCCTTGACTCTCCAGCCCGATGCTTTACCGCTGAGCTAAAGGGAAATTCCCTACAGCTTGCACATCTTTTAAACAAGCATAAACTTTGTAGAAATGGTTAGCTTCGTAGAAATGGTAAGTTAGACCTCTTTCATTAAATAATCAGAAATCGTAGTATAATGTACAACAATTAACACCTATTGCCCTAACTCGAGATAAAGTAGTTCTACTGTATAATTATAACCGTCTAACTCGAGATAAAGTAGTTCTTCTGTATAATTATTACCGTCTAACTCGAGATAAAGGAGTTCTACTGTATAATTATTACCGTCTAACTTGAGATAAAGTAGTTCTACTGTATAATTATTACCGCCTAACTTGAGATAAAGTAGTTCTACTGTATAATTATTACCGTCTAACTCGAGATAAAGTAGTTCTTCTGTATAATTATTACCGTCTAACTCGAGATAAAGGAGTTCTACTGTATAATTATTACCGCCTAACTTGAGATAAAGTAGTTCTACTGTATAATTATTACCGTCTAACTCGAGATAAAGGAGTTCTTCTGTATAATTATTACCGTCTAACTCGAGATAAAGAAGTTCTACTGTATAATTATTACCGTCTAAATCGAGATAAATGAGTTCTACTGTATAATTAGTACCGTCTAACTCGAGATAAAGGAGTTCTACTGTATAATCATTACTGTCTAACTCGAGATAAAGGAGTTATACTGTATACTTATTACCGTATAATTCGAGATAAAGGAGTTCTACTGTATAATCATTACCGTCTTACTCGAGATTAAGGAGTTCTACTGTATAATTATTACCGTCAATTCCATCGTCTCCATTAAATCCCGGGATACCGTTGTCTCCCTTTGGTCCCCTTAGACCAATGACACCTTTCTCTCCTTTCTGGCCTGGAGGACCTGTAGAGAAAACAAAGAAACAAACTAGCATAAATGTCAAAGAAATAGATATATTTATTTCATTAAATCATCAAAATGTAAGTATCCAGTACATTCCTTACTGCCGAACTCCGGGTAAAGGAGTTCTGCTGTATAATTATTACCGTCAGTCCCGTCGTCTCCATTAAATCCTGAGATTCCGTTGTCTCCCTTTGGTCCCCTTAGACCAGTGTCACCTTTCTCTCCTTTGTGACCCTGAGTAACTATAGAAAAGACCAATATCATTATGTTTTTCAAATATAAATGTTACTTATTATAAGCGTTTCAGATTTTACTATGGGGGGGGGGGGGGTATTTGTCTCAAATATATTCTTAGTTGCTATAAAATTTGGCACTGCTTCCGATATTGTATGCAATAATGTAATATTAATATTATTCCAATTATGAACTTGTGACCTCTACAGACTATAAAATAATGTAAATCCTCAGTCACGTGTGTTTCTGGACGTGCTTCTTTCCGTTTCTGTCAAACTTTTGGGGGTCTGACAATCCCTTAATTCGTCGGGTTGGCTTAAATCACCTGGAATCCGTCTGTAGAATTGAGAAATATACCTTTTTTATTGATAATAACTCGTTGTTGGGTTATGTTGAATATTTTACGTTACTAATAATGCCATTTAACTTCCCTTTTATTGGTACTCAATTAACATTTACCTGATGTTTCTTATTTCCTCCGAAAGAGTTTGGTATCGATATTCCAACCGCGAGTGTTGCTGGCGAAGACCTCCGAACTCGCTTACCATATGCTGGAAAATGTTTTTCAGAGTCATCATCTGATTTTGAAGATCCTGAAAATCTTTTTCAGTTACCGCCTCGCCTTTCATTGCCGTGATAAATAAAACAAATATCAATATCACATACATTTTAAATATTTAAAAATTAAGAGATGCAATAAAAAGGTGACAAGACCTCAACTCTACCAAGACAAATGTGCACGTAAAGAATGGTGACTCGGAGATAAGTTGTTTTTATCAGTTGACCTTGTCAGACCTGAACTAAAGGTCGAGGTTATACAAGTCTCCATTAGTGGTGACGTCACGCCAAAAAGAATTCTTCTGACAGTTGTTAATAGATTTAGGGGATAATGTGTTTTGATATTTCTGACAGTATATAGTGATTAAGCTGTCGCAAAGTTGCCGAGTTTTGCTGAGTAGCTATATGTTTCCGGGGCTAACTATGTAACAACGTTAATATAGCTACAGGGCACCAATGACACGCTATGAATTCACTGACAGTATGACAATGACGGTCTCATCACTACCAAACTCTATGATATTTACTGACAGTATGACAATGACGGTCTCATCACTACCAAACTCTATGATATTTACTGACAGTATGACAATGACGGTCTCATCACTACCAAACTCTATGAAATTTACTAGCAGTACGACAATAACGGTCACCTAACTACCAAACTCTATGCTATTTACTAACAGTACGACAATAACGGTCACCTAACTACCAAATTCTATGATATTTACAAATAGTACGACAATAACGGTCACATCACTACCAAACTCTATGATATTTACTAACAGTACGACAATAACAGTCTCATCACTACCAAACTCTATGAAATTTACTAGCAGTACGACAATAAGGGTCACCTAACTACCAAACTCTATGCTATATACTAACAGTACGACAATAACGGTCACCTCAATACCAAACTCTATGATATTTACTAACAGTACGACAATAACGGTCACCTCACTACGAAACTCTATGATATTTACTAACAGTATGACAATAATGGTCTCATCACTACCAAACTCTATAATATTTACTAACAGTACGACAATAACGGTCTCATCACTACCAAATTCTATGATATTTACTAACAGTACGACAATAACGGTCTCATCACTACCAAACTTTATGATATTTACTAACAGTACGACAAAAATGGTCACCTAACTACCAAACTCTATGATATTTACTAACAGTACGACAATAACGGTCACCTCAATATCAAAATCTATGCTATTTACTAGCAGTACGACAATAACGGTCACCTAACTACCAAACTCTTTGATATTTACTAACAGTACGACAATAACGGTCACCTAACTACCAAACTCTATGACATTTACTAACAGTACGACAATAACGGTCTCATCACTACCAAACTCTATGCTATTTACTAACAGTACGACAATAACGGTCACCTCACTAACAAACACTATAATATTTACGAACAGTACGACAATAACGGTCCTCTCACTAACAATCTCTTTAACATAAGCCTACAGTAACACAATAAAGGTCTTCAACCTCTACGACATTTAACCTACACTAACCTTACTAACTATGACACTTACATACAGCATGACAATTATGGTCAACTTACTACCAACTATGTAAAAAGAAAGGTGATTTTCAAGAAAGCAATTTTTCAGCATCACCAGTTTATGACGCTAATATGTCAACTTTATTTCCCGTGATTATTGTTGGTACTAGTATTTTTATGGATAGATAAATCAAGCTGATTATTGAGATGTTAATTCAGGTTTCTTAAGTCTTTTTACGCTGCTGAATTGTACTTACCTTGTTTAGAGTTCCATCCACGGGAAAGCACCCTCGCGTCCATTAGGAGAATTCTAGCTGACCTTGAGTTTCATTAACCTCACATATACCTAAATGTTTTAAATGGGAAATATTGGCCTGATTCTGTCATTAACATTTATTGAAGATGTGCTGTCTTTAAATAACTAGAAATGTATTGAACAAATCGATCGTATATAACCTACTGAACTTGAAATCAGCAACCTCCCTGAATATTTAATTTCAACATGACTAACATGCACGGCTTACTTTAAGCTATAAGCGGGACGATTTTGTTTTTACAATGGTAATATTCCCTTTCTTGATAATAACATCCCAACTGTACCTGCCTTAGTTGATTTCATATTCAAGAGCTTGCTCCGAAAATCATGACTTTGTGGAAAAACGTCGACTTCTGACGGACAAACTTACAACTCATGGCTTCGAAATATGTAGACTGGTGAAGATTATGCACACATTTTACGGTTGTCATTATGCTTTCATCTAGGGAAACCATGCTTTCTCCTTGTGGTATGAAGGTTGATGGTTTTTATTATGGTTTCGTTGTCACTACCCGAGTAACCGATGTGAGGACGTGCCATTATTTGTATATGATCTAGGTTTATATGGTGGCTGCCGTCAATGAAGAAGAGGACGCTTACCCTTCCGGAACACCTGGTACACTTTTGAAAGGTCTCCATGTCAATCATTCTTTTGTTCATATTTTGCAATAGTTTTATAGATTTTGAGTTCGATTTATGGTTTTGTTGACATTGTTGTATTGCTTTGTTGTTTTCTTCCAGTGCCTAAGATCACTAGTGAACATTTTGTTTCATGGAATTAATGGTGGACATTAGATATGTTGGCATATATAATTAATACCTGGTTTCGTTCTTTCTTTTTGTGTGGGTCTACCTCATTAAATCCGTTTTGATGCCTCTCCTTGAATTCTCATTGTCGTTTCGTATTGCCTTTGGATGCTTATGAAGTATATAAGGAAGTTTTATGGTCGCTCACTATCAGAAATATTCCTTGTGCTATGCAAGGTGGATATTTTTGATCATGCTCGGAAAATGTGTCATGTTTTTGTTGTTGTCACGACATCGGTTCTCGCTCTGAGTTACGTGACATTGGTAAGAATTGACCTACTTTACACTGCCAATGTCGTTGATGAAGCAGAAGACGCTTACCCTTCCGGACCTCCTGGTCTTCTTGTACTTTTTCAATGGTCTCTATTTGAGTCCTAGTTTTGTTGACTTTTAGGTTGAAATTATCGTTTTGATCACATTTTGGTATTCTCTTATTGTTTTGCCCCCTTTTTATATTTTCTGGTTTGGGTTATAGTTATGTCATGTACCTGTTACCAAATAAATTTGCTCAATGAGTGACACCAACATCGTTAGAGTTTCACATGACTTAACTAACAAATAACAAAAAGACAGACGTGTTGTTGGTTGCACATAGTATATTTACATTTGTATGACACCTAAAACAATGTTATTTATATGATGTACTTGGTACCAGAACATTATGTGGTACAAAAATATGTTTTGTCTTTGCAAAATATAGCATACAGTAGATATGAAATAATGTGTAAATATGAGTAAATGTCAGTTCATTAATTACATATGAATCACAAAGCCTATTTGCATAGCTCTTCTAATTTGCATAGATTTGCAAAGGGCAAGCTATATCTGTCTAGGACATACACTTAGGTAGCACACCAGTAAATTGTATTCTACTTTCTTTTTTCTAATGAAATATATCATCCTATATGTTTCTGTTAACGTGACATAAACTACTTAACTTTGTCGATACATACTGCAACAGTTGTCTAAGCTCAGGAAAGAAATATAATCAACTGTTTTTATTATTATTTTATAACATAAAATCAAGCAGTGAATATTTGAACTATTATATAAGTTTCAAATTCAAATTATCTTATAACATTAAATCAAGCAGTGAACATTTGAACAATTACATAAGTTTCTAATTCACTTAGAAAATAATGAAATATTTCAATAATGATTTGCTCCAATTTATTGGTGTGCTATCTATTTCTTAACAAATGTAGTTATCTCCCCTAGAGGCTGTTGCTATAGCAACTGTCTTTACAGAACCCCACTTCTTGTTAACCCAGGGTAGGAAGCACCTTTGGACAAAGGGCACACATACAAATAGGATAAATGCTAAAATATACATACAGTAACAAGATGTTGTATGACTACATTACAACTTAGTTCCACTCTTTCCAGTCAAGATTCAGTCGTTCAAAGCAAGGTTGGTCAACTTCTCAGTCATGTGAACATTATATTTTGAATTTTACTTGTGACCACACTTGTTGCTATGTGGATACCTATACCTTTCCTGGTGCGAGATTAATAGAATCCATCCCTGACGTGAGGTATGGATAAGGTTATTCAAACCCAAGGGATAAAATATTGAGCAGGAGATCCAATGCTTTGCCGAAGGTCTTTTGCTTAATATTTTATCCTGAGGGTTTGAATAACCTTATCCTTACCTCACATGAGGGATGGATTCTATTTCTTGCTTATTACCTTAAACCCGTAAAAACAGCTGCTCTTCTAGTAAAGTTGTAAACTGTCTGCCGTTTCTCATTTGCATATGCAGCACGGATGACAATTGTTAATCACGTCAATGACCCTGACTGACCCCAAAACGTCATAAAATGATGTCCCGAACAAAAGCGTGACCCGAAAAGGTCACTAAAATCCCACCGCCAGTCGCGCGTGTAAGCGATCTATACCCGTGTGTCGGATAGAACTTTCCAGCACCGCCGGAAATGCAGATATCTCGGTCTAGTATGCAAGATAATAATAGTGTGGATACACATGTCCAGGGTAAGAGAAATGATTGTCTCACCTTCGGGTTGAGTTGGGGGATTCCCCAGTCCACCTTAGGGTTGAGTTGGGGGATTCCCCAGTCCAAACAAGTTCATTGTATGACTTCCTGTCAAGAATACAATGACTTCAAGCCAATATTAATTAACATCACGTCAACAATGCATTGAGAGTGTGACGTCATCATTGCCTAATGTAACAGAGTTAACAAGGCAGGAGAAAAAGAATCATCCACACCCTTGAGGTGAAATGTGGAGAAACTCGGATTCTTAACTTGGCAAACACAAGGCTTGCTGAGTGTTTGCCAACTTCAGAATCTTCCCCTGAGGGTTCTCCTATCTCACCCCTAAAGGGGTAAAAGATTTCGTTATTCTCGAGTAAACTATAGTTTTCATACCTAAATGCAGTTGATGTATTAAGATTCCAGTGAGCATGAACCAAAAACTATGGGGACTTAACATATTTGACAAAAATGATAAAACTTAACAAATTTCTGTGAATGTCTGACTTTGCTTTGAACCACTGAACCTTGGAAGATATTTGACTATTTTGATATATTTGGAGCTGCACAATACACAGTTCAGGATGTAGTACTAGACCAGGTCTCTTGATGAAGTTTATTCAGAAAAACTTATATTAAAACACATTTTTTTTAAAATAAAAGTTTTCTAGATGGATGAAAAAAAAAAAAAAAAAAATGAAGAATGTGTGTTTTGACTTTAAAATGAAAATTTAACAGGATTTGTCTTTAAAGTGTAAAGTGAAATAGTCGAATACATCAAAGGCTGGAAACGTGGACGGAAACATGGTATAGAAATTACTATGAACTTGACAAGTATGATGGAAATATGTGGTTTTTTATATACAATGAACATGCAGTCGAATATAAACAATTTATTCTAAATTTATTTTTATTCCATGAAAACAAAAATATGACAAGTAATCTACAGTACACATAACATATCATTGTTTCTCTGAAGGAAATACAGTATGGTTGAAATTTTATTTCTAATATCTGACTGATCTAGGATCTAAGTATAGCATTGGTCTCCTAAACTTCTAATGCTGTATAACACTTAGATTTCACAGAGGCGATCAACCCTATTGATAACAGTGTGATAATGCTTACAAAACATACACCACGCAATGTTAACTCATTCACCCCTGCAATTTTATAATGAACTATTCCAACATTTGAATTGGAAGAGTTCAAATGTGTCTTCAGGGGTGAATGAGTAATTGTCCTTCTGATAGCTGGTCAGTTAGGACCTTTGATTGTTAAGTGTTACATGATGTTGAAACAATGAAAATTGACTCCATGATTTTGAAAATCCTGCATGTTACTCTGGAAAGTTTAACCAAGCAAAATTCAAATGCTATACAGTAAAATTACATAAAAATATATAGCACTATGCAGTTTATTAAGAATTAACTTTTAAACAAACAAAAACAATTACCCTCAGGAAAGTCAATAAAACATGGAAAATAGGATAAAACTGATTGAATGACAAATTTGTCTTTAAAATATCATTTCATAATGTTTCATATTTCAAATAAAACTTTATAGATAAAGATAGGTCGAAGGGGAATAACTCTTAAAAGAGCTATTCTTTGTAAATGCGTTAACTGAAGCTTAACTGAGTATTAGAATGTCCAATAAAATCAGTGGACATTAATTACAATCTAAGATATTTTAAGGATAAAAATAAAATAGTAAAACTAAATTCTCGTTTAGTAAATAAAATCTCATTCTATTGTCAACTGTATACAAAGTCTACCATGCACCAACTGTTTCTACGAATGTACTGACAGAAGTTGTAATCCTACCATTCCCCTCGACAGATAACAGTGACTTCCATTTATAACAGAAGTATAGCACTTTCATTATACTTAAGGCATGTTATGGTGGGCTAACATGAGGAAACAAATTAAAGCTACAGAAAAACTTCCATTATTTTGTTTGAAACACAAGGTTTTAATTCAGGATATATATTGCTAAATAAGGCACATTGATGAGAACTGAAGTAAAATATAAGAAAAACATTAATGTAAAGCACCAATAACACCAGAGCTATTTCTTATTTCATCAACCAGTCCTCTCAACTCCATTTTTTTTAAAGAAATACATTTAACCTCTTGAAAATGTAATTACAACTTTTCATTTCTGTAATAGTAAGCTTCCTTACACTTTTTGGTTTGTGTGAGAGTGTTATTATTACACTCCAGGATTTGTGTATAATCTCCCTTACACTTCTTGGTTTGTGGGAGAGTGTTACTCTTACACTCCAGGATTTGTGTTTAATCTCCCTTACACTTCCTAGTTTGTGTAAGAAGAATTCCTTTTCATTGATTCGCCTATACATGTGTATCTGTTAAATTTATCAATTAAACTTTTAAGTCCTAATTATTTTTCATTAAATGTACTTCACAGGTATTTTGCTTGGAACTGTTGTGGAGAGGAAATGCACATTATTTATCCTTAATACAGCCTTGTATTGTCAGTTATTGTCCTGATACAGCCTTGTATTGTCAGTTATTTTCCTGATACAGCCTTGTATCGTCAGTTATTGTCCTGATACAGATTTGTATTGTCAGTTATTGTACTGATACAGCCTTGTATTGCCAGTTATTGTCCTGATATGGCCTTGTTTTGTTAGTTATTGTCCTGATATAGACTTGTTTTGTTAGTTATTGTCCTGATATAGACTTGTTTTGTTAGTTATTGTCCTGATATAGCCTTGTATTGTGAGTTATTGTCCTCATACAGCTTTGTATTGTCAGTTGTTGTCCTGATATAGCCTTGTATTGTCAGTTATCGTCCTGATATAGCCTTGTTTTGTCAGTTATTGTCCTGATCCAGCCTTGTATTGTCAGTTATTTTCCTGATACAGCCTTGTATCGTCAGTTATTGTCCTGATATAGACTTGTTTTGTTAGTTATTGTCCTGATATAGACTTGTTTTGTTAGTTATTGTCCTGATACAGGCTTGTATTGTCAGTTATTGTCCCGATACGGCCTTGTATTGTCAGTTATTGTCCTGATATCGCCTTGTTTTGTTAGTTATTGTCCTGATACAGATTTGTATTGTCAGTTATTGTCGTGATACAGCTTTGTATTGTCAGTTGTTGTCCTGATATAGCCTTGTATTGTCAGTTATTGTCCTGATATTAACTACACAACTTTGAATGTCACGTTAAATCAAGAGGGAAACAGTTTAAACATACAAGATGAGGTGATGGAATTAGTCATGTGGAGATCATCATTAGACCTATGTACTGTATATACAGAACACTTATTAAGCTCAAATCTCTCAAAATTTCACATTAGCTTCACACCTTATCTTTTTGAAAGAAAACAGTGCTTTATTTTTAGAATCACCAGTTACACTGGGAAAGAGTACACAATAATCCTAATTCACATTCTAGAATCAAATCTACTTTTAAATCAAAGATATGTATATGAAAGATAAATATATACTTGTCTCCAAAAGTGGTAAGCACTTAACCAGACATTAAGAAACAATCATACGGAAGCTGTTTTATTGGTGTATATTTATAATCACATATTATAAATCTTTACTTCCTGTGCTTGAGTTTTTTCCCTTTAAGAGTAGATAAGTAAATACACTGCTTCAAAAACATACATATGTATCTTGTTTAAAAATTTGTTCATAATTTTACATTTTAACCGATATTAAACAATACACAGATTTATAATAGTTCATCAACAAATATACAATATAGGTCACTTTACATGTAAGTAGGTCACTGTGACATAAAAATCACAATGCTAGCACTGAGCAAAACAACTGAGATTATTTTCTCCTCCAGAGTGTATAAACGACACCACACTTGTGTATACCAGACACACAATAACTTCCACAGATGATAAAACCTCACTTGGGTGAGAACTATGAGAATATACATGTATGATATTTAGCACTTTTGAACTTCCAGTTTCACTAGTCACATAATATATATATCTTCATGCACCTGTCAATCATACTTGATTACTATCCTAGAATTCACAGAAATCTGTATGATTGTAAAAATTCACTAATCCTGGCACAATTATGATGATGAAGAAAATGAACTATGAAATGTCAGTCTCTATCAAAGCTTTGAAAATATGTAACATTTCTTCAAAGTCATACTTTTTGTATTTTTGAGAAACTAAACTGGAGTTGATGACACACTTTAGCAATGATATGCCAATACTTCTATACTTAATTCCAATTAGTGTCCAGAAGAAATGGTCAAAACATCCAGTGGAGAACTTTACACAAACGGTAACACAAATAGTTCCACAATTATCATCAGTGACGCATACTTAGGTATTTATTCTCCTCGGCTAGCTGTGTCAACACTGAGCTCATATCGTTCACTACCATGTTATTGGCGGGCAATGACTGTGGATTATAGCGTGATGATGTTTGAGATGCAGATCTTTGACTCATGGCAGTAGGCGTATACATATTATTATTGATGTTCTCCGTAGATATTGAACTGATATTATCCAAGAGATTTTCTGAGGAAATGGAATTAATGTTCTCCATGAATTCCTCAATGGGCGGAGCAGTGATTTCCTTGCGATCTGTCGAGCTTGTGACTTGATTGCACCCTGGGGACATTTCAAGGGGGTTTGGGTATGCACCCCCGGATGTAGGGGGCTGCTGGGAGGCATTCTGTTGTTGATAAATGTTTGGTTTGACTTGCTGATTGTGTTGCTGTTGGGACATCGGTGGGGGCTGAGGTTGTTGACCCCCAGGTTTGGGTTGAGGCCCTTGTGGGGGATGAGGGGCCATGTTCATGTTCTGTTGGGGGTACATAGGGGGCATGACCATGTTATTTTGTCCCATGTTATTGTACATGTTGCCTCCGTAGCCTTCCATCATGTTGCCCATCGGTGGTGGGTACATCTGATTGTTGTTATACATGTTCTGATTGACCATCATCTGATGTTGATGTTGACGCATGATCATGTGATTACGACCGGCTGCCTTGTTTTTAGATGGAATCTGTGATGTGCTGATATGGGGAACTTGAACTTGTGGACTGTCGCGCTCCTGTTTACTTGATGGTGGTGGCCTCGGTGCATGCTGCATGTTGGGTGGCATACTTTGCTGCATGTTGGGTGGCATAGGCTGCATGTTTGAGGGCGGCATGTTTGGAGACATGTTTGGAGACATGTTCGACTGCATGCCTTGCTGCTTGTTCATGTTGGGTGGGTGAGGCATGTACTGCTGCTGTGGCATTGGACCTTGTGGCATCTGCCCCTGCTGCATAGGGCTCATGCCACTCTGTCCGTTATTACTCCCCTGCCACTGGTTCATGTTGCCACCATTCATGTTGTTCATCACTCGATTCCCATGTTGCATATTTGGCATAGGTCCCATGTTTCGTTGTTGCGGAGCCATCGGACCACCTGGTGGCATTGACACCCCCTGTGCCATCTGCTGGCTACCAGGAGGGTGTGGTATATGATTATTCATCATAGGGATTCCTGTCTGGGCTTGGTGTGACTGCATCATCTGCTGGCCACCCTTTGATGGAGGTTGCATACCACCACTCACAGGTGGTTGCATCATGTTGCCACTTGTTTGAGGTGGTGGCATGTTTTGTGACATCATGTTGCCACTCTGTCCCTGAGGTAACTGTGAGGGGTTGTTACCTTGCATTCCTGGTGGCATATTGTTATAATTAGGTGGACAACCCTGAGGCCACATCTGATTCACCTGCATGTTTGGTGGCAAGCCCTGCTGATTGGGCATGCCACCCTGTCCCATATTGGGTGGCATTGGTTGCTGCATGTTTTGTGGCATCGGGCCACCACTACACATTTGTCCCTGATTGAATTGTTGGGTGTTCCCTCCATTGTTGAATGCCATGCCTTGCTGTTGTGATGGGTTCATTCCTCCTTGGTTTCCATAGTAACCAGGAGAGTGCTGCATGTCATTCATATTATCTGGCATGGGGGTTGCTTGATTTGAGTACGATTCCATTGACCTAACATCTTGATTTGAGTTGGGAACATTGTTGCCCCTCGTCATTGGCTGTTCATCATTCTCAGGTACCACAGAATCTACCCCTAACAGATTTCCATACCTTTCATTTAAGAATCTCCTCATATCATCTGGTATAATCATATCCTCATTATCCTCCAACATTTTCTCCATGAGCGCTGCCTCAATGTCTGTGTCCATACTTCCGTCATTTTGACCACCAGGTGACCATTCCTCATTTTCTGCAAGACTATGATCTGTCATAATACTACTCCTTGAAGAATGGAACGTGTTATTTGACCCAGTCTTGCTCAACAGACTTTTCATGGACTGAGGCACAGGGAGGGGTTTCATCATATTTAAACTATGAAACCTTTGTAGTCTCTTCAGTACACTGAAGTTGGGGTCAAGAGTTCGCACGGGGTCACTGTACCTGCGCACATCCCTGTTGGGGATTTCGTGAGGTAGTGGTGTGCGACAAGGCGTACTTGTTCGTGCACCATCCAAATCATTCCGAGCAGCCAAGAATCGTGCCAGCCGCTCGCTGGAATACTTACTGGAGGGACTACGTAGAGGCATGGCTTGGGACTGAACTATGAGGCTGGGGTTGCTACCAAGATGTGCTTTCTGTAGCTGTGCGGCTACATTACTGATGTTACTGGCCTCGCTGGACCGTCGACTAGAACCACAATGTGGGCCATGATGTGGTATATTCCCCGTAATGTCATACTCGTAAGGAGAGTTTGTAATGCTGAGACGTTCGCTGAACTGTGAGGCTTCACTCGATCGCCGACTCGAGAATTTGCTGCCAAATGGGAAACACGGACTGGCATCCGATCTCATACTACTGAGATAGGAGCTGATTGTACTTGTATTGCTGTCACGGCGACTTCCTCCCAGGTAACCTGGCAATGGCTTGTCCCCATGACCTAGAGCAGATGGAAACAGCGTACAGGAAAAATATTTATATGATTTTGATCTTATGGGACACAATTTTAACTAACTGCAGATACAAATTTTTGTAAACTAGGCAGTAAATGTGACATGATTTCTGAAATTATGTCAATCATTTTCCCACTTCCAAAACGTGATCACTTATCTAAATACTGTACCTATTGCTTTCACTATGGACATGAAACACAATGATGCACAATTTAATCCTTTTAAAAATGTGAAGTAATTGACAAAAATTAAGAAATTTGTATGAATTTATGCAAGACATCATCTTTCCACTTGAAAAAGTGGATGAATTGTAGAACATACTGAGGGCTAATACAATTGCTATCAGTCTACTTACCATTGAGATCCATGATTCTCTTGAGTTGTGGATTTTTAACTTGAGAAGTCTTGTTTGACATATCTGTTAGTGATGTCTGGCTGTTGATCCGATTATCTGGGGGGAAAAATATTAATATTGTATCTTTGAAAGTCAAATTTAAACAGGATATAAAGTTACTTAAGATCAATAGTACATTGTGATGTGTGTCCTTAATTAAAGTAAAATATAAGATCTGGATTAAAAAGAGTCCTATTGAGCCAAAATAAATGTCATAGAAGTGGAGCTCAATCAAGTTTTTGTAGTGCTAGAAGCTGAAAATATATTTACATCCCTTTAAGAGGACATCAGTCTTTCAAAACAATACTTCCCAGAATGTTTGTACCTATTTTTACAGCTGGGTAGACTGACACAACAAAGATGACACTGCAGTGATAAACCTAATAACTGGGTACTTACTGTTATTACCAGGAATCTGAGGTAAGTTGGAATTGTTTTTCCCAACCATTTTCCCTTTGAGACGGTTCTGATGAGCCACATTGAGACGGTTGTTACGGGCGATCACTGTCCCTGTCCCGCCTCCCGGCACCTGTCGACATACAATGATACAGTTAACCACAGAAACATTTTTTGATGTGGAAGCTGACTATGTTCATTCATTGTTAGCTTGACATATACAGCAGAACCATATTATTATGGACGCAAATTCATAGCAGATTCTCAACATATGGGAGAGTGACAACTCTGAATAGTGTAAAACAACACAGTTAATACAATAGAGCAGTATATACGTATACTGTAGACCTACATCAGCCTCCTCTGGTTCAGGGATGTCCACTTCTTCTTCCAGAGTAACCTGAGTGCCGGACCCAACATGTTCCTCTATTATATCCGGCTGTATGGAGTTGGTGACATTCACCTCGGGACTGCTCTGGGGCGACGGCTGCTGCTGTGATAAAGTGTTACCAACATTGTCCTGTAAACAGAAATATACCTTGTAGATTTGTTTTATTTCATGTACAATCTTACTAGTTCAAAATACAATGTAAAAGTTTGTCTGTCTACTAACTATTAAATCATTTATTTTTATGTTGTGCAATGATTCCAAGCAAAGAAATACAGACATTCTTGTATCTATTAGAGCTGGGAAGTATTACCAAGAGTAATATTGAAAATACCCTATTCATCTATAAGTGCCTTCTCTCACTTGCCTGTGCCCACTACCCCTACATATCTATAAGTGCCTTCTCTCACTTGCCTGTGCCCAATACCCCTACATATCTATAAGTGCCTTCTCTCACTTGCCTGTGACCACTACCCCTACATATCTATAAGTGCCTTCTCTCACTTGCCTGTGCCCACTACCCCTACATATCTATAAGTGCCTTCTCTCACTTGCCTGTGCCCACTACCCCTACATATCTATAAGTGCCTTCTCTCACTTGCCTGTGCCCACTACCCCTACATATCTATAAGTGCCTTCTCTCACTTGCCTGTGCCCACTACCCCTACATATCTATAAGTGCCTTCTCTCACTTGCCTGTGCCCACTACCCCTACATATCTATAAGTGCCTTCTCTCACTTGCCTGTGCCCACTACCCCTACATATCTATAAGTGCCTTCTCTCACTTGCCTGTGCCCACTACCCCTACATATCTATAAGTGCCTTCTCTCACTTGCCTGTGCCCACTACCCCTACATATCTATAAGTGCCTTCTCTCACTTGCCTGTGCCCACTACCCCTACATATCTATAAGTGCCTTCTCTCACTTGCCTGTGCCCACTACCCCTACATATCTATAAGTGCCTTCTCTCACTTGCCTGTGCCCACTACCCCTACATATCTATAAGTGCCTTCTCTCACTTGCCTGTGCCCACTACCCCTACATATCTATAAGTGCCTTCTCTCACTTGCCTGTGCCCACTACCCCTACATATCTATAAGTGCCTTCTCTCACTTGCCTGTGCCCACTACCCCTACATATCTATAAGTGCCTTCTCTCACTTGCCTGTGCCCACTACCCCTACATATCTATAAGTGCCTTCTCTCACTTGCCTGTGCCCACTACCCCTACATATCTATAAGTGCCTTCTCTCACTTGCCTGTGCCCACTACCCCTACATATCTATAAGTGCCTTCTCTCACTTGCCTGTGCCCACTACCCCTACATATCTATAAGTGCCTTCTCTCACTTGCCTGTGCCCACTACCCCTACATATCTATAAGTGCCTTCTCTCACTTGCCTGTGCCCACTACCCCTACATATCTATAAGTGCCTTCTCTCACTTGCCTGTGCCCACTACCCCTACATATCTATAAGTGCCTTCTCTCACTTGCCTGTGCCCACTACCCCTACATATCTATAAGTGCCTTCTCTCACTTGCCTGTGCCCACTACCCCTACATATCTATAAGTGCCTTCTCTCACTTGCCTGTGCCCACTACCCCTACATATCTATAAGTGCCTTCTCTCACTTGCCTGTGCCCACTACCCCTACATATCTATAAGTGCCTTCTCTCACTTGCCTGTGCCCACTACCCCTACATATCTATAAGTGCCTTCTCTCACTTGCCTGTGCCCACTACCCCTACATATCTATAAGTGCCTTCTCTCACTTGCCTGTGCCCACTACCCCTACATATCTATAAGTGCCTTCTCTCACTTGCCTGTGCCCACTACCCCTACATATCTATAAGTGCCTTCTCTCACTTGCCTGTGCCCACTACCCCTACATATCTATAAGTGCCTTCTCTCACTTGCCTGTGCCCACTACCCCTACATATCTATAAGTGCCTTCTCTCACTTGCCTGTGCCCACTACCCCTACATATCTATAAGTGCCTTCTCTCACTTGCCTGTGCCCACTACCCCTACATATCTATAAGTGCCTTCTCTCACTTGCCTGTGCCCACTACCCCTACATATCTATAAGTGCCTTCTCTCACTTGCCTGTGCCCACTACCCCTACATATCTATAAGTGCCTTCTCTCACTTGCCTGTGCCCACTACCCCTACATATCTATAAGTGCCTTCTCTCACTTGCCTGTGCCCACTACCCCTACATATCTATAAGTGCCTTCTCTCACTTGCCTGTGCCCACTACCCCTACATATCTATAAGTGCCTTCTCTCACTTGCCTGTGCCCACTACCCCTACATATCTATAAGTGCCTTCTCTCACTTGCCTGTGCCCACTACCCCTACATATCTATAAGTGCCTTCTCTCACTTGCCTGTGCCCACTACCCCTACATATCTATAAGTGCCTTCTCTCACTTGCCTGTGCCCACTACCCCTACATATCTATAAGTGCCTTCTCTCACTTGCCTGTGCCCACTACCCCTACATATCTATAAGTGCCTTCTCTCACTTGCCTGTGCCCACTACCCCTACATATCTATAAGTGCCTTCTCTCACTTGCCTGTGCCCACTACCCCTACATATCTATAAGTGCCTTCTCTCACTTGCCTGTGCCCACTACCCCTACATATCTATAAGTGCCTTCTCTCACTTGCCTGTGCCCACTACCCCTACATATCTATAAGTGCCTTCTCTCACTTGCCTGTGCCCACTACCCCTACATATCTATAAGTGCCTTCTCTCACTTGCCTGTGCCCACTACCCCTACATATCTATAAGTGCCTTCTCTCACTTGCCTGTGCCCACTACCCCTACATATCTATAAGTGCCTTCTCTCACTTGCCTGTGCCCACTACCCCTACATATCTATAAGTGCCTTCTCTCACTTGCCTGTGACCACTACCCCTACATAGCTATAAGTGCCTTCTCTCACTTGCCTGTGCCCACTACCCCTACATATCTGTAACCATGTCCTCTCCCTTACCCATAATCACATGTTACCCCATCCTCCCTATACAGATCCTCCTTTTTCCTACCCCACTCAAACATAATTTTGACGGCCTCCTTTCCTCCACCCATCCCATACTTACTTGTGACCGCCTCCTCTCCCCTGACATGGCAGCATGTAGTGGTGTGACAGTAAGGCACTCCTCCATTTTCTTTGTGCTGTTATCATCCTTTTTGTCTTGATCCTGCAGCAGAAAATTATAGTAGAGTTATCTCCCTTACACCAAAAAGCTAATTGTAATATATATTTTGAAAATTGTATGTTGTTCTGAAACATGTAAACACTGGATTAAACTTGCTGATGTCCCAGTGGATGTTGTCATGGTCATCTCTTCTCATTAGTGATTCTATTGTTCTATGGCCGGACTAGTGATTCTATTGTTCTATGGCTGGACTAGTGATGCTATTGTTCTATGGCCGGACTAGTGATTCTATTTAAAGAATCCATCAACTTGGAGATGCTGAACTTCTATGGAGACTACCGTTGATTGGACATTGGATCTCGATCCCCCTGTAATTGTATTAGACGGTAGGTGTTTGAGCTCTCTTTGAGATTGAATGTTTTACCAAATATTAAAAGAGCAAACATTACCTAGACTGATTCCATATTTACCTGGTCTGATTCCATATTTACCTGGACCGATTCCATATTTACCTGGTCTGATTCCATATTTACCTGGTCTGATTCCATATTCCTCTCCTGTTTACAGCCGTCTCCTTTGTGTTTCTTGTTTGCGTAGAAGTCTGGACCGTGAACAGTTTTCACATGTTTCCGTAGCGAGCTGGGGTCAGTGTAACGCTTTGTACATCCCATTGCTTTACACACGTAGGGTTTCTGGTGACAACAAGTCAATACCATTTACAGTTACATAGATGCTTTCAGCCTTTATAAATGTAAAAATTGGAAGAGACTTTGATAAATACAGAAGAATTTGTATAATTCAAATATCCCCGAGATTTCTGTTATCCTGAGAGCTAAGACTGTTTGGTCTTGACCAATTATAGATTATGAGGGTTTTACTGTTGCAAATCCATGTAATATTATGTTAAATTGATGTTGGTTGTTTCTGAAATGATGACACAAATCATTCCTGACAGAAATAGTTTAAAATTTAAGTCAAAATGCAACCTATTCTGTATAGATGTTTTGTCCACCTCTGCAGAAGAAGAATCTAGTACTTACTGCGTTTGAGTGAGTACGATTTTGATGCTTGGCTCGGTCCGAGGCGTTGCTGAAAGCTTTCGTACAGCCTGGGTATTCACACATGTATGGTTTCTCTCCCGTATGTGAGCGCAGATGTGTCTTCAAGTTTTCTAACCGAGAATAAGCTTTATTACATCCCTCAAACTGTAAACAAAATAATAATAAAAATTGTCAAAAATTGTTTTTTTTCAATTCTCAGGGTTCTATTTATTGAGAAAAATTATATTAAGACGCTACCATAATAAGAATACAACAATGAAATTGGCTAATACATTGAACATATGTAGATGACCCCCTGACAAAGTAGAGAATACTTACTGTATACTTGTGTGACCCTTATAGACAGGTGATCCCTTGACAAAGTAGAGAATACTTACTGTACACTTGTGTGACCCTTATATACAGGTGATCCCCTGACAAAGTAGAGAATACTTACTGTACACTTGTGTGACCCTTAAAGACAGGTGACCCCTGACAAAGTAGAGAATACTTACTATACACTTGTGTGACCCTTATAGACAGGTGACCCCTGACAAAGTAGAGAAAACTTACTGTAACTTGTGTGGCCCTTATAGACAGGTGACCCCTGACAAAGTAGAGAATACTTACTGTACACTTGTGTGACCCTTATAGACAGATGACCCCTGACAAAGTAGAGAATACTTACTATACACTTGTGTGACCCTTATAGACAGGTGACCACCTGACAAAGTAGAGAATACTTACTGTATACTTGTGTGACCCTTATAGACAGGTGATCCCTTGACAAAGTAGAGAATACTTACTGTACACTTGTGTGACCCTTATAGACAGGTGATCCCTTGACAAAGTAGAGAATACTTACTGTACACTTGTGTGACTCTTATAGTCAGATGTCCCCTGACAAAGTAGAGAATACTTACTGTACACTTGTGTGACCCTTATAGACAGGTGATCCCTTGACAAAGTAGAGAATACTTACTGTACACTTGTGTGACTCTTATAGTCAGATGACCCCTGACAAAGTAGAGAATACTTACTGTACACTTGTGTGACCCTTATAGACAGGTGACCCCCTGACAAAGTAGAGAATACTTACTGTACACTTGTGTGACCCTTATAGACAGGTGATCCCCTGACAAAGTAGAGAATACTTACTGTACACTTGTGTGACCCTTATAGACAGGTGATCCCTTGACAAAGTAGAGAATACTTACTGTACACTTGTGTGACTCTTATAGTCAGATGACCCCTGACAAAGTAGAGAATACTTACTGTACACTTGTGTGACCCTTATAGACAGGTGACCCCCTGTCAAAGTAGAGAATACTTACTGTACACTTGTGTGACCCTTATAGACAGGTGATCCCCTGACAAAGTAGAGAATACTTACTGTACACTTGTGCGGTTTTTCTCCCGTATGTCTGCGCATATGTACAACCAACATGTACTGAGCCTTGAATGGTTTTGCCTCTCGTGAACACTCGACCCATCGACATACAAACGACTTCTTATTAGCTTGGATATGATCAATATTGATATGCTGTAATGAAAAGGAAATAATATCTTTGAAAATAATTAAAAAATAGACTTAAAGATTAAAGAAATTTACAAATGTGATTTCCCTATACTGTAGAAAATGGAGAAGTTTTAGCTGATTGAATGCAAAATGAGCCAAATACATGTGATTTGATTGAATTTATGCTGAATTACTTTAAATTTGAGGTTAAATTGGCTCAGGAATATGAGCTTCTTGAATCTGAAAATAAGCTGTAGAAAACTAAATGTGACTAATTGAATATAATTACAAGCTTCATGAATCTGAATGTGAGCTAACTGAATCTAAATATAGCTTATTGGATCTTAATATAGCTAGCTGATGTAGATGATGGTATAAGTACCTTGACTAGTTCGTCCTGAGTCTCATACTCGCAGTTACAGCCTATCCAGTGACAATTGGTCTCTATGAAATCTGGTTCCCCCTCCACGGGGATATGTCCTGCCTTCTCCATTCCCTCTCCATTGTGTTTCTCATCGTCTTCATCATGGAGATCATCTCCTGAAATATAGATAAATTGAATACAATGAACTTGAAAAGTTTATTCAAGATGAAAAGCAAGACAAGAAGTTCATCAAACTATGAAGAAAAATAAAAATAAAAATAAAACAATCCTGAAATTAAGTTGGATCTAATCTATAGGGAAATATTTGTTTTCAAACAGAATCAACCCATTATAGTTTTTATATTAATGCAATCTGTTTTGTGCTGTAAGGTTGCCAACAGAAACCTTACTGAGAGATGCTGTAAGTAACCTTAGTAGAAGTTGATGTTAGTAACCTTACTGAGGTTTGCTGTTAGTAACCTTACTGGGAGTTGCTGTTAGTAACCTTACTGGGAGTTGCTGTTAGTAACCTTACTGGGAGTTGCTGTTAGTAACCTTACTGGGAGTTGCTGTTAGTAACCTTACTGGGAGTTGCTGTAAGTAACCTTACTGAGAGTTGCCTTTAGTAACCTTACTGGGAGTTGCAGTAAGTAACCTTACTGAGGTTTGCTGTTAGTAACCTTACTGGGTGTTGCTGTTAGTAACCTTACTGGGAGTTGCAGTAAGTAACCTTACTGAGGGTTGCTGTTAGTAACCTTACTGGGAGTTGCTGTAAGTAACCTTACTGAGGTTTGCTGTTAGAAACCTTACTGGGAGTTGCTGTTAGTAACCTTACTGAGAGGTGCTGTTAGTAACCTTACTGGGAGTTGCTGTTATTAACCTTACTGGGAGTTGCTGTTAGTAACCTTACTGAGGTTTGCTGTTAGTCACCTTACTGGGAGTTGCTGTTAGTAACCTTACTGAGAGGTGCTGTTAGTAACCTTACTGGGAGTTGCTGTTAGTCACCTTACTGGGAGTTGCTGTTAGTAACCTTACTGAGAGTTGCTGTTAGTAACATTACTACATGTCATGGAATTGTATTTATTTCATAATGAAACTGTTTTGAAATTTGTTGGTTAAATACTTGTTTTGTGTGTGGGAGGCTAAGGCTATCTGACAGAGTGTGATCTCATTTTTTAAAACATTGTACATCTCTGTTTCATCATGTGATAAACAGAATACGAGACTTGTTAACAAGTGTGTATGGCTCTCAGCTTGGCCTGTGGTATAGAGGATTGGTAATGTAGCCCCTCAATATCAGTGATAAGCTTTCTGTAAAAAAAATTATTCTTGTTTGCGGATACATAAATATCATATTTGGTTCTTTCCGCAGCATGAAATCAGCTTCTCACTGACAGGGGAGCTTTAATCAGATATGGACATGTTTTCAAGAATTTGATCGACATGAAAGCAGGTGGAAATTCAAGGGGAGCCATTAACCATGAAGTCGGGAAAATCTATCGGAGTGTGTATCTTACAACAGTATAATTTAAAACCTATTCATCATTTCGTGCCAGCAAGCTCAGAATTACTTCATCTAGAATTACATTAGATGCTAGACATAATATGTCCTGCACCTCTAGACTGCTTTGTGAATGATGGTAGGTAACTCCTTTTACACATAAACATAGTACTGGTGTACTTTTTTTCATGCTTTTAAGCAACCTTTCAATTTACTTAATAGCTATATATATTTCTTTATCATAGATATTGTGTTTTATGGCCCGTCACATTTCATTATTGTTGTTTTTGATAAAAACACTTTTATATGATAAATGAAATATGACAAATACCAGCAAACCGATGACACCAAGGAAGTGCGTCTTTACACACTGTATGTGTTATCCGCTGATATTAATGTTCCGAAAACATTCTCTTCCTAAGAAAACTCTCCTAGTATTAAACTAGACAATTCCATTTTACAAAGGGGAGAGCAAGCTGATATCATAAATCATACTCATAAATTTTCAGAAAAACATTCCTTGCCAATGAGATGACCTGAAATTTTCACTCCTTTCCATCAAACTAATCAGCCAATCAAGTGTCTTGTTACAAGGAGCTGGGCCATCAAGCCTGCCAATGAAGTATACAGTTACACACGAGTGTTTGAATTTGCCTGGAGGCTGCCTTTTAGTCTTGATCTTTCTTTGATTATTTTGACATAAAATTCACTTCAATCCTCCTTTCTCATTCATCATTTAAAATTCCTTAACAACATAGGATGCTAGGATGGGTCGGTTTTCTCCATCAGGAATAAAAAAACAGGTATTTAAATGTAATTGAAACATATTTGTACTTATAGAAGTAAACATATTTACTGCCCAGGTGTTGATGGACTCACAGAGTTTGATGACTATCTCTAACAAATTTTATATACATCCAATTCTTAGAAACTGAATTATTGGCAAGAACATTTTGTTGGTCAATTAAATTCATCAAACTTAAGAAATCATGAAAATACAAAGGTTGTTGGCTCTAGACTAACCAAGCCAGGGCTAAGTTAAGAAAGACCATCATCTCAAATTGTGAAGGTTAGGGGGGGGGGGGATGTATACAATAAACACATTAACAGTTCCTGTTTATCTATATCAAATAATTTCTTGAAAACCAATCTGCAAAACGATCCTCAGCCTTTTTATTATAACATACAATATTGTTAAAAATAAGTAAATGTAGCAAGAGTTGTTTAAGAAAACAGTGATTGGCGCCTCTGTCAAAAGAGAAGTTTATCTGTTCAAAACAATTGTCTAATCGATTTCCTAAAATACCACAAAGAAGATAATTAAAATTCCAAAAAATTACTATCTAGTGAAAACCAGTATTTAGCTGCACTATGCACAGATCCGGTGCCTCATCTACTGTGTCGATGGGCGTATAGATCTGTATCAGGTTAGTGAAAACCTCCTACAATCTACTATAATGCTGAATAATTTACTCAACATTCTCCTTAAATTAGCTACACCCACAATCAATACCCGAAAAAAATGACCTAATCTAATCATCCTATAGTAAAACACTATTATTTTGCAGATGCATGTATTTGTATTAATTAGCAAGTGGTTTGAAGCTCAACAAGAGACAAAAATCAACAAAGTTAATAATCACACAGATAAACAAAAAAATAATACTTGTAAAATAAAGTCACAAAAATAAATAAAATACAACTACACACAAAACTAACCCCTACACAACATGAATTGATCTCTGTCGTATTATAAAGATATATCCGCCATGTTGACAGTGACCTATATTTACCTAGACTGGGCAGGTCCACTTCCTTTTTAATTTTCGACCGTTTATTCTCCCCCATGGTATTGTCTATTGTACTACTGCTCACCACGCTACTTCCAGCCTCTTTGGTTGTCGTGGAGATCTGGGGCTGAAACAAAACCAGTTTAAAGGTCAAGGTCATTTCATATGAATTACAGGCAAAACTTAAATAATAAAATTCAAAGTTGTTCTAATGAAATAACTTTTGCTGCTAAGTCACCTCCACTTTAGTGCAGTTTTATGAAATTTGGTTTCTTATTTAATGTTTTTAATAATTCATCATAATTCCATTTTTTTTTTAAAGGGATGAATAGTCATGAAGATGGATTTAATAATAATTTCGGTTGATATTTTATTTCTGACTTCCTAATTGACAGCTAGTGATCCAGAAGTGATCAATCTACAATTTATTTTCATGGGTCCTTTTCAACTGTACTGTTAAAAACAATTGGTCCCACCATGTTAAATTTCAGTATTTTCAGAATTTCTTCAAGTCCTATAAATAATTTTATGAGTATAGGATTTGGGACTCATATGTAGATTTATCACTGCTGGTATATTTGAGGCAGATGAACAGAATTAAAAGTTGTAATATCTACAGTAATATGTTGGTGCTTACTGGTGGGTTGTGCTTTGGCTGCGGGTGAATGGGTTGTGAATGTGAGGTAGGTGGTATAATAGTCCCTGGAGGAATTCTCCCGGCCCCCATCATTGGAGGCATCATGGGATAGATGAAAGGGGATCCTGCCATACTGCTGGGTCCTGATCGCATGTAGGGGTTCATGGCATGTCCCATCTGCTGCATGGCGGGACTCGCAGTTCCAAGGGAGGCTGAAAATTAGGTAAAGGGTTGACAGGTTAAAACAACAGTTAAATAATATTACAAAAAACTAGAATATTAACAGAGCATTTGATATAGTAACAGAAACAAAAGGAACATTTATTTGCTGTATAAAAGTACTGTAGTACTGTAATATAGAAAACAAAACGAGCGAAAGGAAAAAACAGTGGGATCACTTTAATCTAGTCATCTTATCAGTAGGTGAAACTGTCACACTAGACAGATACCAGTGTGTAGAGACAATAGATACACCAGAAGGATGACAGAAATTGGCAGTGGGATCACTTTACTCTAGTCATCTTATCAGTAGGTGAAACTGTCACACTAGACAGATACCAGTGTGTAGAGACAATAGATACACCAGAAGGATGACAGAAATTGGCAGTGGGATCACTTTACTCTAGTCATCTTATCAGTAGGTGAAACTGTCACACTAGACAGATACCAGTGTGTAGAGACAATAGATACACCAGAAGGATGACAGAAATTGGCAGTGGGATCACTTTACTCTAGTCATCTTATCAGTAGGTGAAACTGTCACACTAGACAGATACCAGTGTGTAGAGACAATAGATACACCAGAAGGATGACAGAAATTGGCAGTGGGATCACTTTACTCTAGTCATCTTATCAGTAGGTGAAACTGTCACACTAGACAGATACCAGTGTGTAGAGACAATACATACACCAGAAGGATGACAGAAATTGGCATTGTATTTGTTTCCCCGATAATCTTGCACTCCGTCTGACTACTAACCCAGTCACTTATGTTGTCTGCCAGAGATATAATTCTTACGAATGTATCTTTTTGTTCGGGTGAACTTAACCTGATATAAACACATCATCTACTTATCAAGTATGTTATCTTTCCTCCACACATCAAAGAGTTCTGGTTACAAATCCAGACACAATAATTTTACAAATCAGCAAATTATTTGTTTTGGGTCTCTGACAAACAAGTCTTACAACTCTGATGGTCTTGAAATGATAGACTAGCTTATGTTTAGAAGAAGAACAGAGAGACTAGTTTGTTTGTAAATAAGAACTGTGAGACTAGTTTGTTTGTAAATAAGATCTTAAAATGATTAGATGTGATAATTCTAGTTTCAGGACCGTATCATCAGTGAACATTAGTCTATTCAACATCCCCAATTATTCCACGTTTTGTTACTTTTGTTACTGAATCATTTCCATCATATGTAGTGATACTTCCATCATATGTAGTGATACTTCCATTGTATGTAGTGATACTTCCATTGTATGTAGTAATACTTCCATTGTAGGACAATCATGTTTTCTACTTTGCTTTCAGGGCAAACCAAGCTGTAATTGTAATTTGTCATCTGCCTGTTTTATGGAATCAATTCTACTTCTGTAACTTGTTTGTTGTATTGTGTCTTCAAGACAACTAAAATTATGGTATACATCAACACATAAATTCTAATTTATCTCATAAATATACAAAGACACCAGGTATGTGTTAAAAGTTTGGCTTCTTACTTTTTCATTCACATACAACGATTCCTATTGTTAAGAAACTGTTATTTTCTACATCTTCATTCTCTTTAGTGAATCCCTTCACTATAAAGTATAACTCACTACATCTGTATCCCCTACAGTGACTCCCTTCACTATAAAGTATAACTCACTACATCTGTATCCCCTACAGTGATTCCCATGAAGCCACACCAATTGAGACACTCCAGTTCCGTTAGTGTTATTTGCAACCTCAAACCTTTTTCTTACTCCCATAGCTACACATCTGCATCAGTTATGCATTTTTATTTCTATTTTTTTCCGCCTGTTTCTATCTTCTCTTTCTGGTTGGCTTGCATGTGTACGTGAAGCTCATCAGCTCAGTACGCCGACGGTATCGCCAAAACTGTTGTACAATTCATAACGCCACGGGGGGGAGGGGTATCCCAATGTGCCGAATGTAATTTTTGGTTATTAGTTTTTATGTCTATCAACCCATCTGATATTTTGTGGAGGTATTTTTGCCCTGTGCGTCAACCTATTAAGTAATCTCCAACACGGGAGAGTTCTAAGGTTATTGGTGAAGTGTTATCTAGGTTTTGATGGGAGCAGAGTAGGTATCTGTTTCGGGTAAGAATCAGCATGGGTGGTATATCATGATAGATTAGTCTATTTTTAGATAAACTTACCAAAAATAACGTAATTATTGAAAGGTTGGTCCGTAGAAACAGTGAATGTAAACCCGATACATGAGGCTATTTACAAGTCACATGTCTATATGCTGTGTTACATAGTATCGCCATGAATCTCCTAACACTTGGCCAATTTTCTTCCTCCAATCATTTACAGAATGCAAAAGATACTTGATTTATATGTTAAAACCTGTTTACCAGTATCTATTTAACTGAGGGTATCATTTTCCTAATTTTCCATCTGCACGCAAAATTTACTCAAGCCGATATATGGTACACAGTGTTATGATTAATCAAGGAATTAGCATACAGCTATCTTATATATGCCACACTGAGGTAAATCCTCTATTGTTTGAGCAATAAACAAACTTACTCTGGTTACCATAGAAACAATACCTCAGCAACTGTTGCCTGCTTTGTTACAGAATTGTTTAAATACACCTACCGTTGATTCAAACATTTTCTTGCATCAAATGTACAGTTATTCTCACATCATATAGTAGTTTATAATTTAATTAATTGATAATGCAAGCGTGTAAGCGTGTTTGATCAGGACCTTCCTTACTCTTATGAAAAGATAAATGTCAAAGGTCAATATCAGAATATAATGTCTTTACTGATGAAATAAAGAATGAATGCGTAAAATGGAGCTAATTTTCAAGTTGAGCGATACATGCAGTTTTTTTATATAGTTATTTGCCGTTAAGTAGGAAACCAATCTTGTGATACTGCATGGTATTGTAGGCCAAGTGCATCCTTTCCAATTAATTATATAAATTATCTCAACTGGCAAAAAAGAAATATTGATTTCCAAGCTTAGACTGACTTTTTTTGATGGAATGAGACTAATTGATTAAATAAACGATTTGTTTAAGTCAATGGAGATGAAATGTATTTTCCTTACAAGCTGTTGATATCGGTGTAGCTGGTATAGGTAAAGGTGAAGTGTCTTGATTGAAATCAATCCACAACTTCGGTGTCTTGAATTACATATATATCTTTTTAATTGACTTAGTTACTGGAAGTGGTGTTATGTTTCTCACGTATTAATGTTTGCCTTTCAAAGCTGAGAATTATACCGGAAGTCGGAAGAACCGTGTACTCGTATCTTTGGCTGTGTAAGAACCCATGGCTATATATACAGAACATTGGCCAGGAAGTGACAGGAAATTGATGCATGCCAAAATCATCATCTTTCAAATGCTCCGAGTAAACCATCTGTTCCTTCTGCTTTTATTTTTTGATATTTAATGATGTGAGTAAGATGTAGCACATTAAGATGTTCTCCTTGTCGTCCTAGCGGAGGTGCCACACTGGATGTTAACTTCATTGCATACGAATGCAGAGCTTCAAGCAACACTTTATTAAACGGAATGTTAGCAAATTTTATTAAACCTGATTTCCAGCAAAGTTAGTATGGTTAATTAACATACGAATTGACTGTACATAGTTCTGGATTCTAATTTCATGTTGTCTTCTCCATTATTTCGGTGTCTTTTTTGTACTTTAGGATACAACTTTTGTGACTTTAATAGGATTGCATCAGCAACAATATGGTATACAGATTAAGATTCGTTATTTTCACATCATTGAGTGTAACCTCACCTGCAGATAAATGACCATAGGACCCACTAGCTGCACTGGAACTCCTCGAGTTTGTACTATGTAAGAATGGAGTGAATTGTAATGATCCTTCGGAACTCCTTGTGAGGCTTTGTATGTCCAAATAGTCAGAGATGGGAGAATGAGACAACGCCCGTTTCCGACTTTTACATATAATACTGGGACGAGGGCTGGCGAGGCGGGAACCTGAAATAAAAGTATTTAAATTTTTAAGGCGATATGTCATGAATGAGAATACTCAAATACATTTGATAAAACTCAACGTTAATTATTTTTTCATTTTAAAGAACTAGTCAAGGTAAGGTAGAATATCCAGAAATCAGTAGAAAAGGTGTAAGGGATGCTCTTCATTGATCTGAGTGAGTCTTTTGGTTTAACAGTAAATTCCACATCCATTTTTATAAGTTTATCGATTCACCAAAAAAAAAATCAACTGACATCAAAAATAGTTCAGTATCATACGTCCTCCTCCTCCACAGGTTCTACACATTTGGAGATTGTATGATGAACAAGTACTACATTCCTTCACAAGCATAAAATTCCAACAAAAATATTTCCATAGTTAAAAAAAACAACAATAAAAACTATATGTATGCCTGAGCATATCAAACAAAGAATTTTCCCATCTTTGTTTTCACGACTACAATAGCAGATATTTGTTTCAAGTTTTATTTCTATTTTTCATCAAACGAACATCAGAATTATATCTAGTTCCCAAGAGAAAATAAAGGAAACATTTTTTCAAATATTATGCAGTATAGAAGAGCACAATATGCACTCAAAACCTGCAGACAGGCTGCCTCGACTACAGTCAAGTTGGTCTTTGATGTTGTGTTGTATATTATCAGCACAAATCCTATCACCAACGTTTCCTTCCTTGAGCCATAAGGCTAATGACTTAACAGTTTTCAATATCATAACTTTGAGGGTTGCTAAATATTGCACGGTAAGTATTCTCAAATTTTTATTAAATTTTCTGGAATTTTTGCACCTCAGAATATCTTGCTCTGTAGAATGGTTGATTTCAAACATCTATCATTCATTGCTACCAATAAAACTGAAACCTACATCTTACTAATTAGTTCTTAATATCTGACTAATTCTCACTCTTTGGTGTTCGAAAATTATAAGCAGAGATCTTCTCCGAGATCACTGGGATTTTATTACATTAAAGATGATGTAAATAGATACATATTGGAAATGCCATTCATAATTTTGACTGATCAACATTATGAAAAATATCTCTGCCTTTTAACCAACAGTAAAACACTGTCACAATTTCTTTTATTAACATTCACCATGTATTACCATTAACTATTGACATTCACCCTGTATTACCAGTAACTATTGACATTACCCTGTATTACCATTAACTAGTGACATTCACCATGTATTACCAGTAACTATTGATATTCACCATGCATTACCATTAACTATTGATATTCACCATGTATTACCAGTAACTATTGATATTCACCATGTATTACCATTAACTATTGTCATTACCCTGTATTACCAGTAACTATTGACTTTCACCCTGTATTACCATTAACTATTGACATTCCCCTGTATTACCATTAACTATTGACATTGCCCTGTATTACCATTAACTATTGACATTCTCCCTGTATTACCATTAACTATTGATATTCACCATGTATTACCAGTAACTATTGATATTCACCATGTATTACCATTAACTATTGTCATTACCCTGTATTACCAGTAACTATTGACTTTCACCCTGTATTACCATTAACTATTGATATTCCCCATGTATTACCAGTAACTATTGACATTCCCCTGTATTACCATTAACTATTGATATTCCCCATGTATTACCAGTAACTATTGACATTCCCCTGTATTACCATTAACTATTGACATTCCCCTGTATTACCATTAACTATTGACATTACCCCGTATTACCATTAACTATTGACATTACCCTGTATTACCATTAACTAGTGACATTCACCATGTATTACCAGTAACTATTGACATTCACCCTGTATTACCAGTAACTATTGACATTCACCATGTATTACGATTAACTATTGACATTCACCATGTATTACGATTAACTATTGACATTCACCATGTATTCCCAGTAACTATTGACATTACCCTGTATTACCATTAACTATTGATATTCCCCATGTATTACCAGTAACTATTGACATTCCCCTGTATTACCATTAACTATTGACATTCTCCCTGTATTACCATTAACTATTGATATTCACCATGTATTACCACTAACATTCACCATGTATTACCATTAACTATTGACATTCACCATGCATTACCAGTAACTATTGACATTCACCCTGTATTACCATTAACTATTGATATTCACCATGTATTACCATTAACTATTGACATTCACCATGTATTACCATCACCATGTATTACCATTAAAATTTGACATTCACCATGTATTACCATTAACTATTGACATTCACCTTGTATTACCATTAACTATTGACATTCACCATGTATAACCATTAACTATTGACATTCACCATGTATTACCATCACCATGTATTACCATTAAAATTTGACATTCACCATGTATTCCCATTAACTATTGACATTCACCATGTATTACCCCTAACATTCACCATGTATTACCATTAACTATCGATATTCACCATGTATTACCATTAAAATTTGACATTCACCATGTATTACCATTAACTATTGACATTCACCATGTATTACTAGTAACTATTGACATTCACCATGTATTACCACTAACATTCACCATGTATTACCATTAACTATTGTCATTCACCATGTATTACCTATTACCATTAACTATTGACATTACCCTGTATTACCCTTAACTATTGACATTCACCATGTATTACCAGTACCTATTCACATTCACCATGTATTACCATTAACTATTGTCATTCACCATGTATTACCTATTACCATTAACTATTGACATTACCCTGTATTACCCTTAACTATTGACATTCACCATGTATTACCACTAATATTCACCATGTATTACCATTAACTATCGATATTCACCAGGTATTACCATTAACTATTGACATTACCCTGTATTAACATTAACTATTGACATTCACCATGTATTACCAGTAACTATTGGCATTCACCATGTATTACCAGTAACTATTGACATTACCCTGTATTACCATTAACTATTGACATTCTCCATGTATTACCAGTAACTATTGATATTCACCATGTATTACCATTAACTATTGACCTTCACCATGTATTACCAGTAACTATTGACATTCACCCTATATTACCAGTAACTATTGACATTCACCATCTATTACCAGTAACTATTGACATTCACCCTATATTACCAGTAACTATTGACATTCACCATATATTACCATTAACTATTGATATTCACCATGTATTACCAGTAACTATTGACATTACCCTGTATTACCATTAACTATTGACATTCTCCATGTATTACCAGTAACTATTGACATTCACCATCTATTACCAGTAACTATTGACATTCACCCTGTATTACCATTAACTATTGACATTCACCATGGATTACCATTAACTATTGACATTCACGATGTATTACCATTAACTATTGACATTCACCATGGATTACCATTAACTATTGACATTCACGATGTATTACCATTAACTATTGACATTCACTATGTATTGCCATTTCCTATTGACATTCACCAGGTATTACCATTAACTATTGACATTAACCATGTATTACCATTAACTATTGTCATTCACCATGTATTACCTATTACCATTAACTATTGACATTACCCTGTATTACCATTAACTATTGACATTACCCTGTATTACCATTAACTATTGACATTCTCCATGTATTACCAGTAACTATTGACATTCTCCCTGTATTACCAGTAACTATTGACATTCACCATGTATTACCAGTAACCATTGACATTCCCCCTGTATTACCAGTAACTATTGACATTCACCATCTATTACCAGTAACTATTGACATTCACCCTGTATTACTAGTAACTATTGACATTCACCATGTATTACCAGGAACTATTGACATTCACCCTGTATTACCAGTAACTATTGACATTCACCCTATATTACCAGTAACTATTGACATTCACCATCTATTACCAGTAACTATTGACATTCACCCTGTATTACTAGTAACTATTGACATTCACCATGTATTACGATTAACTATTGACATTCACCATGTATTACCATTATCTATTGACATTACCCTGTGTTACCATTAACTATTGACATTCACCATGTATTTCCATTAACTATTGACATTCACCATGTATTGCCACTAACATTCACCATGTATTACCATTAACTATCGATATTCACCAGGTATTACCATTAACTATTGACATTAACCATGTATTACCATTAACTATTGACATTACCCTGTATTACCCTTAACTATTGACATTCACCATGTATTACCATTATCTATTGACATTACCCTGTGTTACCATTAACTATTGACATTCACCATGTATTTGACATTCACCATGTATTACCAGTAACTATCGATATTCACCATGTATTACCATAAACATTTGACATTTTCTAGTGTTTTTCTTTATCTTTGTCACATTAGCTGGTGATTAAAGACACAAATAAAAACCACTTGAAACTCTTTGTTTTATAAATTGAATTTCACAACTTTCCAGTCATATATCTAGTAAATATACACAGCATTGGCACCTGCATTAATAATAAAACATTGAGGTTTTGCTGGAACAAAAAGGAACTAATGGAGGGTCTTCTGGTACTTACTTTCTAATGAGCCGGGGAGTGTGATACTGCCACTCCCAGGAGTGGGCGGAATGTCCCCAAACATGCTCCGCCCACTGTATGACACATGACTGGGGTAGTCACTATAAATAGATCCAGGACCACCAAGTGGAAGACCTAAAAATACGAAATATATATATTACCATACATGTCAATGATTTGCTGTCGAAAAATATAAATCAACCTGTTACGATACTTGTCAACGATTTACTGTTGAAAAACATGTTAATATAAATGTTAGTGTGTATAAGATGTAAATAGGAGAGTGAACCACCTCTCCAACACACTGATCAAAGAAGATATAATTGTACCCGATTCTATAAAACACTTAATGTCAAGTACTTTATTTACATTTAATGATAGCAACTGTGCTTAGAATGATACATTAACAAGGACTTGTGAAATAAGCAATAACATATATACATGTTTTATTGTAATATATCATCTGCATGACATGTCAAGTTAGGATGGAACATTGTGATCATCTTTCCTCACCAATTTATCTGACAATACATACTGTAAAAGAGCCTGTTTAACGTCTATTTATGCCATCACATTTTAACAACGGACTGTGCAACCACAAAAAATATGTGATAAAAGTATCTCGTGTTAACACAGGTGATTAACGGTGAGTTACAGTAGAGAGCGGATCATCAGAACCCAATGGCAGACGTAAAGGATTCACAAAAGTACATGTTTAGGTAACTGTTTGAACATTATTTAAGCAAGCTTTTTATTGGGGACATGACCTGGATAACTGAAAGTTTGGATAATTTGGGTTTTGATTATTTGCACTCTACTATAGATATTTACAAGAGGCCCAGATGACCTGTATTACTCATATAGAGATGTGAAAGAAAATATGGAAAATGATCTCCCTTGCTGAACTTGATTTGATTTAATTCTGGATTGTCTGTTCAGTTGTATTGCTGGAACTGTAAGTGTTTCATCCACAATGCGCTGATCATTTAAACAAAGCCATATTCTGTGTGTTTCAGTAGGATGGAAGTATTTTACTGGTCTACACATGTGACCGGTCTCCAGAGGTGTTGTAAAAGATGTACCTGGTAGTGACGATGGACTGAACCGTCGTCCTGACAACGGACTCTGATAAAGGTAATTCCTTTGGAGCTGTTCCCAGTGTATTCGTGCTGCGAGGCTCGTCACAGGCTCCCCTGGTCCTATCGGGCTACGCATACTAAGCACCGATACATCAGAGTGGGACGGACTGGCAGCAAGTCTAGCCAATGAAAAAGTTTGTAATTTGTATAAACTGGTACTCAGTTGTCAATAAAACAGGAAGTGTTCACCTTCGTTCCACTTTCAACATTTCCATTTTTGAAGACATAGGGTAAAAAAAGTTTCCTGTAATTTTATCATTAAAATAAGTATAAAATCCTATGATGAACTGACAAGTTGTCTGCTTATAAACGGTGAATCTACAGTTGACAGGTACTTACCCTGGCATGTGCTGGTGATACGGACTAGAGGGAGGCCAATGGTATCGCCCCTCCAGCGTGTGTGAGTCGAGAGGGAGGGGCTGGTTTATAGGGTATGGGAAGTGACCATAGGGAAACCCGTAACCTGAAAACAAGAAAACAAACTGGAATTATTCTATCAATAAAAAGGGCAAAACACAGAGTGTTAAACGTTTTGAATTGTACCATTAACAACAATGGTGGAAATCGAGGCTCATCCATTGAAGCTGAAATCAACCAAAGCTTTCCTCTGTGATTTACAAATTTTTCGATATCACCTTAGTTTGTTTTGGTTTTTGGTTTGTTTGTGTTTTACCTCCTATTAGCAACAATGGTCATTTAAGGACATGCCAGGTTTTGGTGGCAGAGGAAAGCCGGAGTTCCCTGAGATAAACCACCGACCTACGGCCAGTACCTGGCGACTGCAGGCCTACGTGGGGCAGTCGCCAGGTAATGGCCATAGGTTGTTGGTTTTTCTCCTGAATGAAATTATTGTTTTAGCGGAGAGTGATCACAAGATTCTCATAAAATTTACATTTCTCAACAAATGTATCAGATGAAGAAATAGGCTATTAAACTCTTGAGGTAAGCATCTTGTGTACAAACTTTCAAACATAAGACACTGAAGCCCTTACCATTACCGTATCCATGTTCAAGGAGGCCATTACGGGGGTCTAGGAGTGGGTTTACGAAGTACCCTGGGGCTGGAATGCGTGGCTCCCGGATATGGGGATCCACATGAGGTGGGTGTGGTGTTGGTCCCACTCCACGGTCAACAGTCTCAACTTGTGATGAACGCCCCTTGTCGTCTTGAGTGGTTGTCGGTTCCTCGTCAACGCGTGTCAGGTGACAGCTGGGGGGCCGGCTGACGACGAGGCCTCTGCGAGACTTCTGTAGCGGGTCCGCTAAAAAAACAGAAAAAAGAAATGTAAGTGAAATGGGACAACTCAAAATGCTTATTTTTTCAAAAAATTGAAATATAATGAATAAAATCATATGCTTTGATTGGTGTAAAAAGCTATCATGACTGGGTGCCTAATATGCTATATACTGTACAGGTAGGAAGTCTAGAATATAAACAGCAAAATTTGCACCAGCAGATTGAAGTTGAAGTCAGGGCTGATTATCTTGCTTTATGGTGTTTCAATCCAAAACGGTTTGGAAATTTTGAATATTTAATCCCAATATTGTAGGGAGGGCTGCTATGATACAATATTAACCTGTAGGGAGGGCTGCTATGATACAATATTAACCTGTAGGGAGGGCTGCTATGATACAATATTAACCTGTAGGGAGGGCTGCTATGATACAATATTAAGAAGAAGAAGAAGAAGCAACCAAAGGGTGTTTTTCTCGCTTAAAATACTTGGTCAAGTTTTTCACAGGCTTTGCGACCCATACATTTAACAGTAAGTTTGAGGCTGTGCTGCTATATAGCCTGGATGGCACCATTGGTAAGCGTAAGCATTGTAATGTAAAGGTCACAGGTTTGACCCTGGCTGTTCCTTATTTTCTATTTCTATTTTCAAACATTAAAATTTCAAAATACTATAATTATGTAAACATTTAAAAAAAACCTTGTTGGTAATATTTACATTAATCAGTACTGATAACAGTATTACACAATGTTAACCTCAGTCTGGCCAGTACTGTATACGTACAATGTTAACCTCAGTCCGGCCAGTACTGTATACGTACAATGTTAACCTCAGTCTGGCCAGTACTGTATACGTACAATGTCACTGCTTCAGGAAGAACCTGCTTCTTGAACTCACAGACCACCACTGATGTGCAACGGACACCAGTGTATGCATAGTGCCATAATCATACACCCTAACAAACATATAAACGTACCCAATATATCACATTCAACCACTACAATGTATCCACTAATGAAAAACACATCTCAGCTATTTTAGGTAACAGTATGTACAGATTCACATTCGCAATCAAATTGCATTTTATCTAACTACATCAAATTGCCAACAATTATTGATTAAATCCTTCAGCTATTTTCAATAAAGGATGACCCTTGATTTTTTTTCCAATTTTCACCTATTTGTGACACTGACAAGTTTTTCTTGGTTGGATCAAATGTCTTTAAATGAAATTTTACACATTTTCTGACAAGAATTGACAGGAAAACATTCACAATTCTGGGTTAGAAAGTGTGAAGCAGAATTGAGACTAGGCAGCTATATTTAATGGTCGGCCATCTTACTAACAAGTGAGGTGTAAAAAAGTTCAAGGGAAATCTAGGAACAAAATGTACCACTACACAAACAGCTATTGTACAAATCTTTGGTTGTATTCACTGCTGTTTAATAATATTCGTCATCAACAAAACAGCTATTGAATGGAAACAACTTCCTGTCAGTTATCGTAAAACTCAGGACGTTGTTGGACATAGCTTCGCCTGACATGACAGTATAATTTAGCCCAGTGTTATTTATTATCGGTCTTCTTCACATCAAACTTCAGTAGCCCCAGTGATAGGGGTAACATTAAACTGTCAAGTCATCCACAAACTTCACAAAAAACACCTTCAACATTATCCAATTTCATTTGTCACAAAATGTTAAATTAGTCAAAATCATAAGAATTGTTCTGAATGTCACGCCTCATTTGTATATACTAGGGTAAGATTTTGTGAATGGTATCTAGATTAATTTCACCTTACTTTGTTATCGCGTTGTTCTTTTTAGATAAAATTCGCCGATTAGATATCTTTCAACTTTGATGTGCTGTAAATTATACTCATTTTGTATAACTTTTCAACTTTCAAAATATGATAGCCCTGTTTACCCAACAACTTTAATGACAGATAAGGCAATTTACAAATTGAAGTCAACTATGGCACACATCTTGATCTTTCTAACTCTTGTTCAAATTCTTACTAGATTATATTTCTTTTCCAACTTGATCTTTATTTAAATTCTGACTTGAAGCGTTAAAGGTCAAATGTTGTTTATATTTCTCCCCTAAAGGACATCTTGTTAAAACAGATTTGATAGACTAACTGAATCTTGATAACCTTCATCTACTTCCTGTATAGAAAAACAATACCAAGCATAGCTACAAGCTAGAATTTCTCTTCATAGAACATTTTTTTTTTCACAATTAAATCCTTGAATTTAAAAGCAACTCTCCCTGACGAAGATTTCTTTTTATCATTAATAGAAAAGGAAGCATTTTGCTCACAACGTCTTCCTATAGGCAACATTAGACCTATCTAATGGCTGTTATTCCTGCTGTTCTGCAAATTCAAACAATAGATTTTGTTCTTCTTTTCTTCTAAATGATAAAATTGTAATTTAATATCAGAAAATGGAACACAATTGTTTTCCAACCACCTGCTAAGCACATATTATGGTATTACAAAAAAAGTACAATAAATCAAGATTTCTCCCAAATTCACAAAAGAGACTATTGTTTGAATACTCAATTGCAATGGCAGGAAAAACCGGAATAACAAAATCCCATTATAAAGTGTGTGGCACCAACTACAGATACCAGTGTTCTGTTTAGAACTCGATACTTTACAAAAGGCCAAAAAATATTGTATGGAATTAATTCAATGGAAATCTTATATACTCTCCATTTCTGAATAGAGAGAAATACATTACCGGAGTTGTCGAATTCATAAGAAACTTTATTCTTGGTTAAACATTGTATCTGAGTGATATCATGTCAAAAGATATTGAAAGAAGCTCTGTTAATATCCATTCTTTAGTTTAGGCTATCATTGAAAAATCAAACTATTCCAGACCATAGGAAAAGAACCTCTATTCATTTGTATGGTTGAAAAACTGTGAGATGGTTTATATATACTAACAGTGACTGGAAGTCAGTCTTTGATGTGGGGTCTAGTTACTAATGAGATCTGGCATGGAGGGTAGTTCTCTATCAGTCGGGATAACATCCCTCTACCTTTTATACCTATTTATATTACTGCTATTTCACGACAACGCCTCTTATCCTAGACACATCAACGTCTGCAGTTACTCATTCAATTGTGTATCTCGCTATGTGTTGGATAAACGCGTTGAATGGAAATTTAAACCCATTCATTTCTCTCTAACTTATTCCCTTATTTTTTAAATTTTCTTTTTTCTTTTTGCATTTCAAATAAATTTAATTGTACCAAAATGTGTACAAATGGATAAGGTACAGGCATTGCCTATAGACACCCTTTCCTTCCTTTCCCTTTTCTTTGTTTGTGGGGAGGTAGTCCAGAGGATGAGAAATGTTCCTGTGGTATGGAGGAAGGGAGGATCAGGGAACACAAAACTTGGGTATCAATGACTGTTTTGTGTTTGCACTTTACAACTATTTAAATACACAGCAGAGTTCAAAAGTCAGAGGTTGCATAAAGCTTCAATTCCTTCATCCACCTTAAACCTTTGACCAGAATGGTACGATCTATTCCTTTTGCATGTGATTTGCTATTGTATATGGTCTGGCGAGTACACGAATATATAATCATGCTTGCTACCAGTCTTGATTCAAGCTTGAAGAGTTGATGGCGGTGTAGATTATCCAGAGCAATGTAACCCCTGCGCCCCCAAGCAAATTTAGCGCACAAGGCGAGACAACATTTTATTTTCTGTAATGCTCTGAAGTATCTAAAAAGTTTAGCACAGAAATCCAGTCCCTCATAAAAACTGTATAAAGTTGGTGAGCCAGTTTGTTTATTATAGAGAGTGGATGTAGTGGCTGGGTTTTATGTGTAGGTTTCCCCAGTTCATACATTGTAAACTTTCATACCTACAATGTACAACCATAGCTTTTATGTTGATGCTTCATCAGTAGATATACTCCATACTTCATTGCTCAAAACCTCTACACAAAACAAACATTTTCACACCATATTATGAAAAGGTTTTAAGAAACAAGAGATCTTTATAACCAGGAAATCCTCAGGATCGTGCTTTTTTGATCAGATGAATATTTATATTTTTTGATCAGATGAATATTTATATTTTAAAAGTATGATGTTCTGACCAGAATATTACATATTTTAGTTCAATACATAAAACTGTCCATGTTTGGCAGGAACAGAACTCATCACATATTTATTTATTTTATGTGTTATAAAACAAGAGACACCTAATACACTTTTCTACATATATCACACCCAACAAGAGGCCCACATGGCCTTAATACTCACATGAAAATCATAGTACAGGAACATTTCTAAGTGCTAAGTTTGGAGTCCAATGTTGCCATTCTTGAGAAGTCGAAAATGACTTGGACAATCAGAGGCCAGGCCGGTTATCTTGGAATTTTCTGATTAGTAATGAAATCAGTCATGAAAGTAAAACCCCTTTTATAGTGACCTCCAAACAGCATCTGTAGAGTTTTGGGTCAGTTGCTGCAGTTGTTCTTGAGAAGAATTTTAAATTGTCTTAGCTAATCTGATGCAAAGGCAGCCATCTTAGATTTAAGCATTAATACAAAAAGTAACATCAATTGGCTGTGACTATTTAAGGAACGTTTCAGATACTTAAGTAAAAGTTTCAAGTCAGTATTGCTGTGATTTGTACATGGTCAGGTAATATTTGTAAACTTGTATGGATTGGACAAAAAATGAAGTCTGTAGAACAATGAAGTAAAATTGTTATTCATTTATGTTTCTGACCTCAGAAGGTTGAAATGCAAACTTGTACACAAATTGATGTTTATAAAGGCACCAAGTTTCATGACAATCGGTTTTGGAGTTTGTAGAGCAATGACGTTGAGGATAAATAAAGACAGGCTCATTGTGGAGGCATTATAAATCCCTTTAATGTTGGAGAGTGATGACTGAGAACACTCATGGTGTCGAGGATTTAACAACCAAGCTCTATACAGCCTCCTGGTATCCTGGCAGACACTCGATCGGTTGACATCACTCTCTACCTGA